TATATGTGAGTATGTAATGCATAAGCATAAGCTACTCTGTAAATGGAATCCGTAACAAAGGAACCGATTATTATTATTATTATTATTATTATTGAAGAAACTAATTATTTGACTACCAGAAACTCATATTCATTAATATAAAATCTAATTTGGCCAACCTATTACACATTAAAGACACTAGCTAGTAATATTTATCGTTTAAAAATAATGTGTCTGGCCAAATCTTTTGGGATTAATTAATTACTATTTCCTTAATATACTTACTCCAAACATATATATGCATGTGCATTAATATCGCTTGTATCACATTAAATTAGTAAGTTTTTAAGTTAGTTTTCAAAACTATATGTGTTTTAGTTTTTAAATTTTTAAAAATTCTTGTTAATTTCTAAGTTTGTAAAAAATGTTTATTTTTATTCTTTTCTATTTGATTTCTTTGTTATATTTTTGCCTTAAAAAGTGAAAATAAATATTGTTTTATATATAAAGTCAGAAATTTAAATTTTTTAAAAATCTTAAAAACTAAAATATAAAAAATATATACAATTTTAAGGATTGATTACTCCGTACTAAATCTACCACACCTCTAATTGAATTACACCAACGACAGATCATGATCAGCAATTAATAGACAGAACAGTGTCGATAAATATCTGACTCTATTTTCCACACTCGGATCCTTTTGATAAGAGTACATGATGACTCATAGTAAGGCTCAAAAAGTTTCCTTTGTTCAAAAGAAAGAACGTTATTCTTATCCATTTATAATTTTTGTTTGTTATTTGTAAGTGTTGCATGCCTAGTTTGTATATGGCATGCATATATATTTGAGGTGCATGCGCACTATACTATGAGGAACCTATCCTTAAATGGGTGAATATGGAAGATTCCCGTACGAGTTCCTTTGATTAGTTGGGTTGGGGAAATTCTGATCTTTTGCTTTTGCCCCACTGAATGGGAGTGGGAAACGGTTTATGTCGCCTATCAACCGGATCCTCATCTATACGCATATGAATCATTTTTAAATTTGTGTGCTTGCTGATGCTGATGCTGATGCTGAGAGCGCCTGCATCTGCATACGTCTTATATGTAACTGCTAATATAAATCGACAAGGAGTAAAATCTACCTGTAGATAAGTGCTGATAGGATCTGCCAGATAAGGAACACCACAAACGTGTTCTCTCTGCTTTGGAGATTTTATAATATTCTCTTAAACATAGACTTAATATGTATTTAAATTCATATTTAAATATTTATAAATTACATTTATTTTAACATTTTTTAAACATCAATTTAAAGGATTTCTTTTATACTTTGTTCTTATTCTTCGAGTGGAGGGTAAAACACAAAAAAAATGTTAATAAATATACTAATTAAAAATTTAATTTTTTAAAATATTTTCAAAATATATTTAACATGATTTGTAATGTATTTTTACTAAAAATTTTAATATAATTTTTTATATTTAAGATTTCTTAATTAGTACATTAAAAATTTTAGTTAATAATACCCAATAACAAAATCCCAAAAAAAAAAAGTTTTATTATTCGTTTTAGTTCATATACAATGGGGAGAGGAGTAAGGGGAAACTTCACAAGTGTAACTCAAAAAATTTAAAAGCAATGAGGTTTTTGTCTTATAAACTCCTCAGTTTGTCTATGAAAGACTTTAGTCAATTCAACCAATGTTGGGAAGGGAAGTAAGGAAGAGCTTCACAAGTGTAATAATGCAACACAAAAATGCAGTAAGTGTATGGATCATTCTCCTTATAAACTCCTCACTTTATTCATCCATATCTCATCTTATGTGAAATTTTATTCACACTTGATTCCAAGACGAAAATTGGAATCATTTACTTTTATTCCATGAATTGCCCACATTAAACTATATATATTAATTTCTAAGTAGCTAGGGATATAGATATGCTGCTTATATCTTGTTTATTTACCTTCACCTTAGGTCGAGTTTCCAACTACACAGACATGTATATTTATTTAGGGTACTGGAGGAGAAAAATCTTGGTAGATTTGTATGGAGAAGTCTTGTGCTGTAAAATGACTCCATGGGACACTTCTCTTATAATTGTAAAGTACAGACAAACTAAAGTTAAGGATAAACAAATTATGATGGCCCTTCTTGCCCACTTGCAAGCCAACTTGCCATTCCATCCATCGCTTCCACCTTACAGCTCACATTTGTATAACACAAATAAAAATAATAATAAAGAGAGAGAGAGGATATTAGTGAGGAGGCAAAGAATACCAACTTGACGTTTTTTACACATCAAGTTGAATTCAACAAATGCAAGTTGCAGTTTTGAGGTTGGTTCATGTCCACCATAGAAAATTAATACGTGACGTCCAAATCCTTTTACACACACGCCCACAACAGTCTTTATTACACCGAGAAAACCCAATGAGGTTCCTTTAGTATTCTTCTCCCTTATTTCAACATAATGTATTGTCATTAGGATTTCGATTCCGATGTCTTTTCTTGACTAATACGAATTTAAGTATACTATATGCTTTAGGCCTACAGAAAAACAATTAAGAGAAGCTTCAAATAAACTTGTATATATCAATATATCCCCACCGTCATACACCGACTCCCACACTGATAATGGATAACCTCAAAAAAATTCTACTTACATCGGTACCTGAGAACTTCTATTTGTACATAAATATTATACCGAAAATTATATAATAAAGTGAGACTATTAAAAAGAGAAGACAGTATCCAAAATAAAATAGTTGATGTGATAAGAAAAAATAGTATTAAGAAAATTATATATATATATATATATATATATATATATGAATTTATTGTATAAATAAACAACTAATATTTATTGAAAATGAGCACAAGAGAATTTTTTTTTTTTTTTAATTTCTCATCCTGTTAAATTTGAATTCAAGTTGCTTATCACTCAAACCAACCTCTTTGTTAGCACAAAGAATTTTAATATGCTTAATTTTATTTCTTTGTATATAGTTAAGGGTATGGAATGCGGGCTTTCTGTGTAACAGACAATCTTTGACCATTTTAATAATTCGACTCTCGATTTAGTTTGACAAAAATGTATCAACCACACTTAAAACAATATGCAGATTGACGATTGCGATAAACATGTGTGTTTGAGCTCAAAATGACTAAGGTTTCGAAGAATAAAAACAAAGTAATTTCGACATTTTTTTTAATACATAAAACAGCAGTGTCATTATTTAATTATTAAATATTAATACTATATACCTAACACTATGAATAAATATTTTTATTATTTATTTATTTATCTTTTTAAATATACACATTTCCAAAAATTAAACTGTCCTCTCACTTAGAGTGTATGGAAAAACTTTTTTTACCGTAAATTTTAATGACTTTAAAACTGTGTGTGTGTGTGTGTGTGTTTTCTTTGGCAGTTTATACTTACTGATTCTACTAAAACTTTATGTTAGTTTATTTTATTCTGCGGGTATATATCAACAACGATTGGTTTTGATCTAAACTTGTTCTTTTATGAAGATGATCAAATGCAGAAGGGAAAAATAATGAGTGGTGACATATTCGAAAATATAATTATCAAAGATAGCCAATATTGGAACGGGTATTTGTTCAATTTATTTATCTTCCACAGGTAATGTCGTCCCATCCCCGTACGCTGATGGAGACCAAAGCATTAAATATATATAATATATAACAAAGTTATGATATTACATTCAACACCTTCTTTTTTTTTGTGACCATACACATATTTAACATTGTGTTATTGTATAATTGGATTATTTAATAAATATATTAACTACTATTTAACGTTAATCTTACATCTTGGTTACAAGTAGTTTTTTTTTTTCAAATGTAAACGTACAAATTATCGTGATTTCAGAATATAAAGTCTACAATAAGTAATTAAAATAAAATAAAACTATCAAATCTACTCAATATATCATTATATATATGTCTGGTAGATATAACTCTGTTTTATAACTGAGTTTCAGCTATACACAGTTCAATTTATACAAAATTTGATTAATAATTCATTTCTAGCGTTTAGTGAGCACATTATTTTCGTTTAAATTTCATAAGGTATAATCAATAACCTATTTTAAATGATAAAATTAAAATTTATCATACTTATATAGATTTTTCTTAAGTAAAAATTTAAGAGCTCTTTCTATTAAAAAAAATATTATTTTCTGTTTACTTTCATGTTCATGTAAGTATCTCTTTCTTATTTTTAATATATGTCATATAAATTTGAGCTTAATTTATATTAATTAAAGTGTAACGATAAATATAACAATTATAACATTTTTATTTCTTCATTTCTATAATCAATGTTGAATTTGCTTCAATCATTATTTGCAAAATATTCTTCACTTAAACTAATTAAAATAATATGAATTAACATTTTCAAACACATATAACTACATGACATTTCATTTTTTTATTTTTAATAAAATAATCTTTCAATGCTTCTTATTAGTTACCTCTATGCAGTTATACGTAAATATAGTTAGAAGGAATGTTACAATGTGTATCAATTTTATTATTTGTCAAAATTTATTGAGAATTTTGAAATTATAGATATGAATTAGATTCATTAAATAAGAATCTTCACACAATTACATAACGTTTAGTAAATAAAAATGTATTGATAACATTTACTTTGACTTAGTAAATTAGAATCTTAACGTAAATATATTTGCAAGCTGTGAAATAAAGGTTTCACGTCTAATCACTTATTTATCCAACTAATTCATATAACTATAACATTTTGAAATCAAATTACCTGATGAGTGATCAGTTATAATCGATAGGCTCTAAAGAAATTTTTTACTTGTAAATCAACATAAACTTACGAGTAAAAGATAACGTTGCAAAATAACTGCTGAGCATCATGAACCATCTTACATATACGTATGAACAGTTGTAATTGAAATTGACAGATAGCAAGAGAGGTCAAAATGAATGGAGAAAAAACACCACAAAGAGTAAAACAATTTAATACTATATATGTATTCCATTAAATTCTCTGATACAACTTAAAAACCATTTACACAAAGCAAGATGAACCCTAGCTAATTAACTACAGATATAACGAACGACCATTGATTTGGTGTAAAACAAGTACCAGCACTCCTGAATCAGACTAAACGGCAAATGGAAAAAATAGAAGAAGAGATAGAACTACAAATATATATTATATATATGAACATAATATCATCTTATCATATCATATATATTATATATATCATCACATTCATTCAACCATTGCGGTCTGACCTTGAGTCCTTAAAAAAATTCTAATAGTATATCCAACCACCAATTTCCAATACGAGCCATGGATCAATCTATGTCCAAGATAAAACACCCGAACCCGTATTCGAAACAAAAATATACAGAACATAACCCATTGAAACAAAGGGAAAAAAGACAAAGATAAAAGAAAAAGAAATAAAAAAGTGTTCAGTGTTGACTTGCAATGTTTTCAGCGATCTGAGCCAGGGACTGTAAATTGCACCGTACGATTGTGTCAACGAAAACGCAAGTCTCTTCCTTAGTGTTTCCCGGCGGTACGTCAACGACGTACGATTCGATGACCACTGTCTCCTCGTTACCGTCACGGTGCAGAGTCGTCACCGACCGGTAGTTCCTCAGGCGGTGGTCCCCGCCAACAACGCTGAAGCTGATGACGTGGCACTCGTCGTCGAGGATCTCGAGGCGCTCCGTGCTGTACCCGGCGGGGAGGCCGGACACGACGCGGACCTCGCGTAGGGCGCCGACGCGAATGCCGTCGCCGGCGACCACGTGGCAGCTCTTGACGAAGTGCTTGTAACCTTGCGGGTTGTCGAAGCGCCGAAGCACGGGCCACACCCTAGACACGGGCGCGTCGATGGGTTGGATCACGACGGAGCAGCACTGGTTGGGCCCCACCACGTGCCCGTGATGGCGAGATACCGCGTCTGGCACGAGAGGGCGCGTTGACGGCGTCTGTTTGGAGTAGTTAACGGCGTTAGCAATGGCGGTTGATGCGTCAGTTGCGGGGTTGAAACGGTGGAGCTGAAGAGAACAAGGCATTTTCAGTTGATAAAAGAAAACATATAATAAAAATAATAAAAATTTATTTATCTTAATTTCTCTGCTCTCCACCGAACCTATAGATATTAGGTATGCGATGGATGGTATGTTAAAGGGGTTCGTGCAAACATGTATATGTATATGTGTGAGGTTTTGGGTTAATATTTTTGTAATGCAAGTTGGAGTAGTTTGTGTGATAAAGAGAAAGAGGGTTCCCTTTCTCTTTCTTGAATTTGGTTTGGGAGGAAGAGAGGGTGAAAGAGAAAGAGGCATTGAATTATAGGAAGCAGGGACCTTACGCGGTGCTTCCAACTTGCAAGTGGATCCTCAACTTGCAACTGTCTTTTAGACTAGGTTTTCTCATTTTTCCCTTTCTTTATCTCTAACTCCAACTTTCCCACTCTCTTTTTTTTTTTTGTTAACTTGCTATAAATTATTATTTCTTATTCCACCAAACTTAGCTTTGCCCTCCCACTCTTATTAAAAGTTAAGACTGTTATTATTTTTTAAATACCATTTCTACTTTTTTCACCATTTTCCCCCCTCAATTTGACTCCGGACGTTGCTATGTCTTTTTCCCCTTCGTAATTTTCCTTTTCTTCTGTTTTCTTTTTTTCTGGGGGGTACATTTTCCTTTTTTTTTCGAGTTTTGCTAAAAAACGTGCACGATTCAGAAATTAATTATAAAAAAATTATATTAAACATTAAAGAGAAGATACTTTATCATGCTTTTTATTTTTAAATTTCTCATCAATGTCGTATAAATAGTAGTTAGGATTTTTTTTCTGTTTTTAAAACTAAAATTCGTACGTACGTTCCAAGGGTATTTTTGGAAATAGCTCATGTTTCAAAGAACAGTCTAGAAACTCCGATATATCAACAAGTTGATTGCGATATTGCTCAAGTGGGTCATATATTTTATTATTTTTAAACTAATTTTAAAATCGCCAGATTTTTTCGTGTTTAATTTTGAGTTTTGATATAAAGAACTAGAAGCCAGTTTGCGTGATCAAGGGTATATATATACCCTTTCCATTGAATTTACTCGTATAATTTTTCTAATGATTCCATCTCCGTGAACTTTCCTTTTTGTCGTTTACTCATATCTTTCTTCCCCTATTTTCACCAACTTTTTTTCCCTCCCCTTTTGTTTAATAATTAACCCACGTAATGCGTTATCTTTGTCGTTACAACATAAAAGTTCAAAAATAAAAATAAACATCTCAGAAAAAATAAACTAATTGTTATACGAACATAACGTTATCATGTCATGAAATATAAAAAAAAAAAAAAACGTAAGGGACTGATGAGCCATACACCAAATAACTATAAACTATAAGTATCCATCGCTTTAATTATTCACTTTATAAAAATTTTATTTTAATCTTTAAAAATAAATAAAATAAACATCATTTTATTAATTTAAAGATTAAAATAAAAATTTTGTACCTTCAAATTTAAAGAATTATAAGTGAGTACATATTCTCTAAATAATTATCCGATTATTCAGAATATATTTTATAAGTAGATGCCCTAAGAGTCACTATTTTTTAATTTATAGCAAACTTGGCGGGTACTCACTTCAGAGTTTAGAGAGGGATTTTAGAAATAAAATATTTGAAAGAGGTAAGAATTCCACATTGTTCCTTTTCTGCTTCTGGTCTATGGTTCATCATTTAGAAAAAAAAAAACAAATAACTTGTAAAATTATGTCAAATACAGTTTAAAATTAGCCACTTGATTAGAAGGATCCAAAAATTAAATATAGAAGCAACCAGGTTATACATAATCTTTGTACATATCTCGTTATTGTGACGCTAATTTTTTCTCTTTGCAGTCTAACTACATGCGAGATCTTCGGTCGAGGTGCCTTCTCGTACAAGAAAATGTTGTAATAAGAGAAATGTTATATCTTCATATTAATTTTTTAATTATTAAAAAAACTTATTTGCATAACATATCGGATCTTATTATATCTTCTCTAAAACTCCTAACACATTTATAAGGCCCAATTAATCCCACAACTCAAACTTTATCACGAAAATTTACTCGACGGATAATATTAACCGAAGAACAGTATCAATTTTTTTTAAAAATATTGCAAATTATCACGTAATTACTATTTTATACGATACCGTTTTAAAGTTTTTAACCTTCAATTTTAAAATGATTACTGTAAATGTTAAACTCATTAAACGAATTAATAGTGTCAAAGTTTTTGACATTCAATTATGGTTAGAATTGTGAACCGTAAAAAAGAGAGGTGACAGTAAAAGGTATGCGAACATGTACTTGGATATGAATGAACAATTTGGAGCTACACGCTATTTCGAATACACTGATTAAAATATATTAAAAAAACACGTCACAACATGAAAATATATTATCACTTCTCACTCTTAATTTAATAATTTTTAAAATAAAAAATGTGTTGTTAGCTCTTCTGAAATTAAGTCTCAACATCACCGAAGAGGGAAGAGTAATAAAAGAGTTGAAATTTTGCCAACAGCTTTGTAACTCAATTCGCACCAGTCCCATCTTTTGGACTGGGTGATCATGATTTTGGAATTTCGATCCTCCACCATGCTACCTTTCCCTCTTACCTAACCCAGGTGAATTTTCAATATACCATATTTAAAGATACATAACGTAAATTATCACGATTGAAAACCAGAACCTGCCTAAATTAAATCCACTAGTTTTTCAAGAAAAAGAAAAAGAAAACATATAGGCTCTCCATAAAGAAGCTAATTAACAAGTGTGCTCGGATCCTTTGTTGATCTCGCTGCAATGTTAAGCTTCAGTTGGCCCTGTTGTAACGAGTAAAGAAAGTGTGAAAAAAGAGCTTCAAACAATTTTGTAACAATTTGAATTTGACTCCTTTAAAGTTTAAAAACGAAGAAAAAAAATGTGGAGTGAAAATAAAATAAAATAAAAGCATTCACTATTGATTTTAATTAAATATATACTCTTAAATTTAAGTTATTTCAAATTATACGTCTTTAGTTTTCCACTTTATACACCACTTTCTCACGAAGACAAATACGAAAACGATGTTTGCATTAATATTTACTATCCAACACTGTTAAAGGAACCAATAACGCAACCCACTTTAACATCATTCATAAATTAATATCATAGTATGCAAATTTTTCATGGAGCGATTTGTTACGGTATTATTCATAAATAACACTCCACTCTAAGCCACAAAAAAAACATGAAAGGTGATATACATTGTGGTGAAATCAAATTCAACAAGTAATCATGTTATTGTCCTATTAATGTCATAATTCTTTTGTTCTCTATGGTGTGTTTGGGCAGAAGTTTTTGAAGAGAAAAGAAAGGGAGGATATATTTTTTTATTTTAAATTAATAATATTATATATTATTTATGATGACAAATATATTATTAATACATTAAAATTTTGTTAATATATTAATTTATATCTTTTATTTTTAAAAATATTAATTTTAAATATATTTATTTAAAATATAAATTTATTTGCTCTTCTCTCCTCTCCAAAACTCTCCTTTCCAAACAACCCTCAAGTGTCTTCATGTAAATTCCCCTCTTAACAAGTTCGCAATAAAAGCATGCCATCATAAAAAAGAGTGAAAAAAAAAAAGTCCTCCTCAAGTTAATTGAAATAATTAAAATCTTGCTCGATAATTTCCACTTTTTTTCAAGGTCACTAAACGATTGTTATACCAAAGCAGTGCATTTTAAAATTAACATGAAAAAGGAATTGTCCACGTTTTTTTGGTATCACTTTTGTTTCAAGATCTATTGATGCCTTTTTAATATGTGAGAAATTGAAAATGAAAAGGAGATTGCATTTATTTATTTTTCACGGCATGATCAATATGTTCAGGAAACATAGGACATATAAGGAAACATAACATGAGACAAGTATGAAACAATCCATACTTAGAGACACAGATGCATCCTCCTAACAACCATGTGGTTTCAGACAATGCATGTTACATATCTCTTTGGTCTCACAACAGTGAGGTGGCAGAATCAGAATGGAGATGTGAAGAATTTCTGGTGGGACTAGTTACAATCAAATGAAGAAAACAGCATGCCAAAGTGTGAGTGAACAGCACTAATATGTGGTTTCACAGTTCACAAATAGCTTGCATATATGGAGTGGGGCAGGGAAGTTCCCAGTAAGGAAATATAATTTAGACACATCTAAATGGACAAACTGTGAAATTACCCTTAAAGTGGATATTTCAAGTCCCTATTTTGAGCTTCAGAATAAAGAGCACAGCATTATTTAAAAGGATAGTCAAACACTGATTTATCATATCATAATCTTGTAGGTTTGGATTATGACTAAGCTGTCTGTTGCTGTCAAGGATGAACAATTTTACGATGTTCCATGTGCTGAGTAACAGTGTAAAATTACAAAATTGGTCAAGCATGATGCATGTTTCATGCTTATTTAAATTAATTGTGTCATATATATGCCCATAGTAATTGTGAACATGCAGACAAGCACATACAAGAGATATAATGCACATATTGCACTCACTGAGGGAGAATGCAGGACAGATTATGATGCTTTATTTTTACAGGAAAGATTATTTACCTTTCATTTGTTGGTTGAAGCCTTTTCATTCTTCATGATCATATGGAACGATTTAGACCGGTCCTCCTCAACCATTTCTCGCAGTATATCATCTTCAATCTTCTCAGCTTGCCACTGTGAAGGGTCCTCCACAAAGGCCTCACTAAAAATCATGCTTGACACCCACTCTTTCCAAGTGGTTCTTCGATATTTATCTTCCTCCAATGAAGCAGTTACCAAGAGCTGATACACGTAAACCATTTTTTGCTGACCAGGACGAAAGGCCCGAGCAATAGCCTGCTTAGTTTTTGATGGATTCCACTCTGAGTCCAACATGATCACACGAGAAGCTGCAGTCAAACTAATGCCTTCTGCACAAGCTGTAATTGAAGCAAGTAGTATCTTTGACACTCCACCAGGCTCCTCAAACTTATCCATTACTCTCCCTCGTTCAAAGAGTTCTAGTTCCCCAGTTAGTACTAAAACTTCCCGGCCCTTTTGCCATCCAAAGTACTTCTCAAAATATTCTGTGAATAATTTAACAGGTGCAATGTTGTGGCAAAAAATAAGAACCTTCTCGTTCTTGACAACACGGTAGATAAGGCTCAAAACAAATCTTACTTTTGACCCTATTTTTAAATCAAACTTGCACTTCTCTAGGTCCATCAATTGCTCCCGAGTGAAAAACTTCTCAGCACATACAGCTGTTTTGACCAACCAAGGATGTATTGAGCCAAGCGTTATCAGAAGCTCCAACTCCAGAGGGTACCCATTGCACTTGGCCATTTTCTCGTGCAGTTTCTTCAAAATCTCATGTTGGGTATCAGTTGTATTCATTAGTAAAGTATAAATTTGTAAACCAGGTAGACCATCAGAACTCCCGCCTTCATAAACATCTATGAAACCATTTGTCACATTTCTCAACATGTTTAGACCTTGCAGCCTCTCCTCACCATTATTTGAGTCAATTTTCTTAGCAATTTTATCTAAGAAGAATTTTCTAGCCCGTGACTCTAACAAATTACGTGCCTTTTCTGCTACTTTCCCTTTCCTCCTGTATTTTGGGTCTAAAGCTTTCAGTACTTCATGTGTAAATTTTGGTCTTGCCAAGCACAGAGTGTTGAAGTATTCACAGAAATTGTTCTGAAACAATGTACCAGAAAGCAATATTCTCAATTCTGTTTGTACTTTCATCAACACTTTTCTCAACCTTGATTTAGTGCTTCTAGGATTGTGCCCTTCATCCAGTACCAGGATCCCAGGACTTTCCCTCAATACTTTAGCCATATACTTTCTGTGTGCAAACTTTGAATTTTCTCGCATCAATGTTAAAAATGACGTATAGCCCATGATTAGAACACTTGGGTGCGAATGCCATTTTTGTATCTTCTCCAGGCAATCCAAAACATGCTTGACATCATCAGTGGGCTTGGGAATTCCAGGAATATTGATCGTTAATTTCTGCTTGAATACCCTATAGGTTCTACGACCATGAATTAGATACACTGGTATAGGAATTTCCCATTTGATAAATTCTTTATACCAAGTATAAAGTGTTGTTTTGGGAGCAAGAACTAGAGGCCTCTTTCCTGGGAACAACTTCAAGTAGCTAACAAGAAAGGCGATAATGAGAAAAGTTTTTCCAGCTCCAGGAGAATGAGATATCACACAGCCACCTCTTCTTTTAGATTTTGCTTCCATAAGTCCTGGTTCCATAGACCCTGCAATATTTTTCCAGAGAAACTCAAAAGCTTTCTTCTGATGGGCATGCAACTTTTTTCTAAGTTCAGGAATTAATGCCCAAACGTTATCATTTTCTTCAGATACAGGTTCCTCTGGAGAGACAGGTTCCTCTGGAGAAGCAAGAGTTGAGAAAAGATTAAAATCATCATCTTCATCAGCCTTTGGCTCTGAATCGTGTCCAGCGCTATGCTTCTCCTCTTGGTGCCAAACTGAATGTTGAATCTGCCAATATACCAATGAGATGATCAGATACAGACTGGGGAAATGGACAAATCATCCAACCAAACAAGGGGAATGAGGTTAACATCAGTAACTATTTTACAAATAGGTAAATTTTGGAATAGCATTCATGTTCCTACTAAAATCACACTTCTTTGTACAAATTCTATTAGATTTTGCATACAAGAAATAGGTTCCTAATGTATTATGCATAAAGATGGTGAATTGATGAAATAGTGAGGTAACAGCCTTGTAACTTGACTGTCACAGGTTCTAATATTGGAAACAGCCTCATGCATCAAGCCTCCATATTAATGCATATTGACTCCATCTAGATGCAAAAGGTAATGAAAGCAGAATACAGCCATCGAAGAAAATTACACACAAATCCACTTGAAAGCACACTCCCGCAAGGGAAAATTATTTACATGTTTTTAACTAGACTTACAAAGGGTGGTGAAATATCTCTGATCTCAGTGCACACAAAACCACATTTAAAGCAGTAAATTCCAATTTCTTCATTCAATCTGTAATCATGTTGACAATCTGTCTTTGGCTTTTCCAGAGTCTCACCCAAAATGACAGCATTTGAATCCTGATTAAATAGTTTGATCTGAATTAGCCCTAGAAAAAATAAAACATAAGATAAAAAATAGAAAATAGGGGAAAGCAAAACCCAAAATGGTCACACACCTCTGTGTCTTCAACTAGATAACTTGATGCCAATGACACTTCCAGTTCTCTCCACAACATATCCATTTCAGACATTTCTTCTGCATCCCCTCCATGGAATATCTCTGTTTCTGTCTTCTTCCCAAAGCCATTCGTTGTCTTGTTTTGCTTCCACTGGTCAGTAATAGGTTGTTCTTCTTTGGTTGGCCTTGTATTAATATTCTTTAAGTATGAATTTATCAAATCCTTGTAGGCTGCTGCATTTAAGGTTCTGTCTTTGTAATTATGAGGCCTTTCTTCTCCATGATTTCTACTTCTTAAATATGTGGAACGGTATTTTCTTTCTTGAACGCCTTTACTGGAATTTATCCCTTCCCATCTATTTCCAAGACCTACCATATCATCCAGATCACATAAACTCTTTCTCTGTAATTTGGGTGTGCCATAACTATAATGATATCTCACTGAAAAATCATCACTCTTTTCTGCATCATCTAACTTAGCAGGCATATTATGGGGCTCAAAAGCTAACAAATTAACATTGTCCTTGTTTAATTTAGCGCTACTAGTTAAATGATAATATTTGGAAGAAATTTCAGAAGATTGATGTCCATAACTTCTAGTAACCTTGTCATTTATATCACAATGCTCGACAGCTACTGGATCACCTTGATCAGGAAGAGGAACAATAGCAAGTGGATTGTGATGTTCATCCTGATCATGATCAACAGACTTTACCTTCCGGGATTTAGCCCTCCTATTGTACACCAGAAGCTTCCGGCAGGTGTTTGCCTTTTGATCATCATCAGTATCCTCTTCTGGACCATTTTGCTGCAAACCAAACAGGCATGATAATGGCATTGACATTTCATCATCATTACAAATGTCTATCTTAACTGGTGGCCTGTTTCTAAAAGATCCAACATCAAACTCAGAAACATTTTCACAACCAATATAACGGTCAGGTTGTACATTCCGGCGTTTGGAACGTCGCAAGCCCTCAACGTTATAAGATGGTGACACATTATCTAGCTGGGTTTCATGAACATGGTCAACCCTCTTAGTGTTGTTAGGTGTAGAAACTTGAGAAACAATGGGTACTAACAAGCCATTGTCTACTTTGAAATTCACAACATTAATATGAGACTCACTGTTCAATGAAGTGTCAACAGTATCATGTCCCAAAATTTGATACACAAGCTTGTTTTCTATTGATCTTATGCTGAATGAAACTTTCTTTACAACAGAGGCAACAACTAACCATGAAAGATCACCTAAAATTTTTCCCAGAAGCAATTTAGTGTGTGACAATGTAGAGCAGTCCTCAGATAAGGCCCATCGATAGTGCTGATCTTCACAAGGATTATGATCAAGTCTTTGGAGGATGGATAGTTGATTGATTCCAACTACTTTAATCTCCTTACTAAGAGTTCTTAGCTCTGCGCCAAGTGAACCTTGATGAACATAGATGTTGACATAAAACTGACATGAGCACTCAGATTCATGAGGTTTTCTCTGTATAGAACTTATTTTAGCATCAGTCCAAACCTATTGTTAAGAAACAAAAAAGATGTAAATCACACTTCATATTTTGGCAACTAAAACTCTCAAATTAAAGCAGAGGACTTGATAAAAAAAAAAAAAACACAACACAACACAGGCCAACTGATGCACAGTAAAAAAAATTTAAGAAAGGAGAAAATTCATAGTGATCACCTAGTAAATGCATACAAAATAAAGTATAAAATGTTTACCATGTTAATCTGCTCTATTCTGTTATCATCTCACATAAGGAGACCTTGAAATCAAATTACCTTTCCAACAAATAAGTATTGAAAAAACGTCAAAATAAAGGAAAAACCAGGATATATCTATTTCATAAACACATCAATTTATGCATGCATCATGCTCAGTCTAGCTCATAAAGAAACTACAAGATTTTGAATCAGTGACAATGTCACATGTATATTTAGGGGCGGGAACAAAATCCAGCTACACAGACCCAATCCACAACCAAATCCAAACCACATAAAAAATCTGGACTGTTAATATAACTGATTTTGTGGCCAATTTTAATTTTGGAACTGGTTTTGGTTTTTAATGCCTATTTTTAACCCGTTGTGTGATGTGGATCCACAAATAACCAAATCAATGAGAACATCAATTGATTTCCATACACATAAGAGCAAGTATAACACAATGGGAGACTCTTGAGGGGGTTTTATCCAAAGCATTGGTAGCAGAAAACAAAATGTGAGGGTCATTAATGATTTTCTACAATCAATGCCAGCTGTAAATGGTGTGTCACTGTTAAAATTTATAAAAAATATAATAAAATAACAGAAAAGCTGTCACTGGAGAAGACCAGCTTGCTGTTACACCTTCCCAACACCAATTTTATGCAAGTAGCGGATTAAAACTAAACTGGTTTTAAAGAGAGCAAGTGTATTGGTTCAAAATCCAATCCTTATAATTAATTTCAAAACCTATTTGGTTTGGTTTTATGTCAACCTCATCAATTCACATAATTATATTAGCTATGTGAGGTTACGGTAAGGTTTACTCCAGTCCAACAAAAGATAGCTTGAAGATTCTGTTGAAAATGCTATGACTTACTGAATTCAAGAACCTCAGATAAAAAGATAAGATTTATAAAATTCAGTTTAAAAGGAACACTAACAGGCTCCAGTTTAAGTCCATCCGAATCATCAGATTGTTGAGGGGCTGATAACACACATATATCAGTTCCAGGTCGTAGAAAACAGGAGCAATCTGTTGAAGTAGCTTTTCTTGACCTTATCCTAATGTCTGACAAGGGGCCTTTCTCCATAGCCATATGAAGATTATCCACAAAATGCATGCTCATAGTTCCTGACTCTATTTTTATGAACTCCACAGCTTGCCATGAGCCAAACACAACTGCTTCAAAGGCTGTTTAGAAAGAAAGTTTTGAATAAGCCAAAAGGTTAAAACAATCTTTGCTGAAGAATGTGAAATTGAGAATTTATGGTTTTGGAAAAAAAATTTGATCAATCAAGTTTTGTCCTGTAAATAATTAAAAGGGTCTTTTTACCTTGATCAAGGCCAGGAACAAATGTTATAACTAGTTGAGATTTATTATTCTGTTCATTAATTTTCTTTTCTTTATCATGCATAGTGATGATCAACTGACAAAACCAAGAGGAAAGGCTTACGGTAAGAATTGAATGGATGCTTCGATTGATCTAAACGCCTTTTTCTTTGCGCCATTGATTTTAATAGCTAATTCACTTCACTTCGAAATGGTGTGAGTTTATGCAGCAGTGATTTGGCACACAAACTTCCACTCACAATCAAGGCTTCGTTTTATATCTGTTCATAGAATAGACAGAGTCATCAATGGCACAAACAAAAGTGCTTCATTTCATATCAGTTATTTTCTGCCCCCAAAAATGGAAGGAAATTAAGGAGGATGGAATGATGTACTTCCAAATAAGAAAGGTAGAAGGGAACTAAAAGAAGGAGAAACAATAAACTATACTGTGTTCAACTGTTTCATTTTTCTTTTCATTAAAACCAAACCTTCCAACAAGGAAAGGATCCTTTGTATCAAAATGTTGTGTTAGTACTTAGTAGAAATCAGACACACTCACACATGTGAGGTCTTCAAAGCTTCAACTGAGAATTACATGCTGACAATGGCAAAGAAAAAAAAAATATTTGTGATGCCAGCTTGTGCATACACAAAAATGGCAACAATTTTGTTCCCCCAAGAGGGGAAAAAAACCATTTTTTAAGCATGGAAAATGGTTGCTTTTAGAAACAAGTCTCCAAAAAGAACCCAAAGAGAAGTGAAAAAATTAGACTTTCTTATACAGCAGGTTGATCAAAGGCATAGCATGATCAGCAGAGAGTTTAGATTGACTTGAAATGTATGTGTAATTGATGAGAGTCATTTAGATTATGTGAGATAAGTAAAAGAAGCAGAGAGTGACGCACTGTAGTGAGGGAATCTTCATCCTTACCAAAGGGAAAAAGCAGGTTCAGTGTGGAGAATCTAAAACACAGGTTTGGAACATCAGAGAGAAAGAGAAAGAGAGAGAGAGAGAACTAAGGGCAGGGCCGGCACAATGATTTTTCAGGTTGAGAGCGAATTCTTAGATGAAATTTTTTAAAATTAATAAGGATGCAGATAATTTGTTGACATAGTTATAAATAGTTATAAATTTGTCTTTTCAATTATTTGGAATATAAACTTATTTATTATATTTCCATAATTAATTACTTAATATTTTTAATTTGATAATTAAATATTATTATTTACTTTTTCTAAATAATTTCTTTATTTGAACAAAATTGTACAAAACAATAAAATACAATTTTTTATTCACAAATTTAATATTTAATAACATTAATATTTTAAATTATATTAAAAATTTTCCTTTTTATCTGTCACTGTTTCAAAAATTACTATTTTTTATTTAACAAAATTAAGTAGAGAAAAAAATAAACTTATAAATTAGATAACATTTTTTATATAAACCAAAACATTAGTTATTTTTTAAAATTATATGAAATTATCTTAAGCAATTTATTAAAATATAATATTATTATGTAAAAAAATAAGTTAATATCATGTGTAATATTGTGTAAGTTAAAAAAATATTTATTAATTTAAAGTGTTTTTATTTTAAGTTATATTTTCTCAGTCAAGGATTTTTATTGAAACAAAGGATGATAGAAAAAATTAAAAGAAAATGTTACTAATGTGTGGAAAAATATAATAAAACTGCATGGGTAAAATTTTAAAAAAAATATTTTTTAATAAATTTTTTTAGATTTTTAAGTGTATTTTTATATATAACTTTAAAATATATTAATATCCTAAGTATAATGATGGAATAGTTTTTTGACCAAAACTATTATTTTCTAAATTTCCTATTGTGAAAGTATTTTGAAAGAGTGATTAATATTTCTTTAATTAATAAAAAACATATAATATTTTTTTAATAATAAAAAAACTAATATAAAAAATTAAAATAAATTTATTGTCCTTAAGTGATATATAAAATATTTTTTAATTTCAATTTTGAAAATTGATTATCTATTTAACATTTATTAAATTAACTATTTATTCAAGAACACACAATAATAACCAACAAAAAGTAATATTTTATTAAAGTTTATAAGTTTTAGATAATATTAAACTTGACAACTTAATTAAATATCTATTCAATTATTACATAAAAATATTATATAAAAGTATCATAAAATATTTTAAAATAAGCCTCATACATTTTTTTTGGTAATTTATATAAAAATAATTTACAATGTAACTTGGTTAATTTTATCCTTTAAAAATAAGTTTAAGTATTTAAAAACATAAAGCTTTTATTGAAAACAAAAATTATACCTTCAAAATTTCTATAGAAAATAATTATCAGTAATATTTATCATAATTATATAGGTCAAAAGAGCCACAACAAATATTTATATATGAAAATTTTCATCAAAAGTTAAATACATTTATATAATTTAACATATTGATATTATTAGATATCATGATTTATAATAAAAATATTTTTAATTATTTTTTCATTGTGTGTCTTTAAGTACATATACAAAAATTATAACTAAGATATTTTTATACATTTATTTATTTAATATGATTCAGTTTGAATAAATTGTTAACATTATTACTGTAAGATAAAAATATTATAAAAATAAATAAATTTTGTCTCATAAATTATAAATAATTTATTACTTCAAATTTTTATAAATTAAAATTATTTTAAAATAAAAATTTAAATTATTCTTAATTTATAAAATCAATTTTATTTATTTTTATATTTATTTTATTTTTTGTATAATTACTTATTCATAAGTTTAATCAAATTAAAAAATCTAACTGAACCATTCAATATTATAAACATTTATAAAATAAAATATAAATATATGTTATATAACTATTTTTTATTGACCTTGATGAATGACATATTTATATATTTTAAAAATAATTGAATGAATTGTTTATTATATTTATGTATCTTTAATATAATAAATATATTTTTTAAAATAATTTTACTACTTTTTTATTTTTAAACCAAATTTCAATGATATAAATTACCAAAACTGAGGGAAATAGAGTTGAAGTTATTATTCACATATCCTGGATAAATTACTCAAAATGGCTCTTGATATTATTAATGTATAAAAATATAATTTTTAAAAGTTTAATTTAATTTAGGCACACTTTTAACATTTTTAACATTAATAAATATATCATAATACATTTTTATATTAGCTATTATAAAATTAATAAATCTTGTTAATATAATAATTAAGATTATATTACAGTGTAATTTTTTTATATTAATATATTTAAATTTAAATTTAAAAACTTATCATATATAAACTTTCATCATAAATATAATATATCATAATGCATTAAAAGAATATAAGTTATATTATCTTTGAAATAATAAATAAAACTTTACATTTAAAAGCATAAAAGTTCATGGTTTGTTTTTAAATATGGAATTATTAACAATAAAAACAATTTTTTAATGATAAAATTAAAAATAATGGACTGATGAGATGCAAATGATTTATTAACTACAAGGTTTTTTTATTTATAAAAAAATTAGTATATATAGACTAAAAAACTATAAATGTATTGATTGCTGATTTTAAAAAAAAATTATTGCAAATTTATGTTAATAAAATATTTTTATTTATTTTTATTTATTTTTATTTAAATTATATGTATTTTTATTGGATAAATGTATTTACTGAATATATAAGACATTAATTTAATCATTTAATATTATAAGTGTTTTCAAAATAAAATATAAATTTATATTGTATTAATCTTATTTACTTTTATAAATAAAATAATAGTGATTAAAAGAAAAATATTTTTAAGATTTATTTAGTCACACAAAATCAATATTGTTTATTAGATAAATATTACTTCTAGATTTTTTAAGTTATTTTAATTACAAAATTATATTTCAAGTATCTAAAATACGAAGATTTTGACCAGTTTATAATAAAACAAGGTGAGTCTGAGACGTAATAATAGTGCTGACAGTGCAGTTGTTGAGCATGAAGTGAATGCAGAGAAGAGTAAGAAAAAATAAATTAAAGTTTGTGAAAAAGTGTGAAGTAAAAGCAAATACCGACACAGCAGCGAAGATATCCATAAAAAGTGTCCAAAAAGCCTTGAATTTCGCACAGTTGCATCAGAGAAAGAAAAAGAAAACGTTGGTTTATTACCGTATATTCGCGGTTAAAAGGAGGGCAGGTCCAGGTACCAATTGAGAGAGTCTACACAAGGAAACAAAATTTATTATTCTAAACTTACAAAAAAATATCTACCATTCGTAAATAAGTTAATAAAATAATTTATTATATAAATTTTTCAAAAATATAATACTTATAATTTGATTTTTAATAAATTTTATAAATTAAAAAATATTAAATATTTAACACAGACATTTAAAAATATTTTTTAAAATAAATATATTTTAAAATGTATATTTATAATAATTATCAAAATCAGTTTTTTTCTTTATTCACATAAAACTCAAACATGTTTTATCAAACTTATTTGTTTTCATTTTTATTTTTTAAACTAATTAAAATATTTTTTATATTTTTAATAATTAACTTTATAAATTTAATGAATATAGTTAAAATCTAAGCTATAACAATTTAAAAGAGATATTTAAGATCAAATATTAAATATAATAAATTAATTTTTACTTAGATTAATTTAGTACTAATTTTATTCAATTCTTTTTATTTTCTTTTTAAATAGTATGCAAACATATTTTTTAAATATATTCACTTAAATAATTATAACTTTTATATTGTCATACTTTGAACTGTATTTTTTATAAATGAAACTAATTTAATTTATAATTTTTTTATACTCATTCTAATTATTTTATAAACAAATAAATTGACTAAATTGAATAAAAATAATAACTAAAGAGATATGATTGAATATTTAAAACATATAAAAAAATTATTTTCTATAATTTTTTTAAGTAATATTATATTTATTTAAGCTAATTTTATACACTAATGAACATACAAATTATATTAACATTTGCTTAAACTATTATTTTTAACTTAAAGCTAATTCAATTTTGCTTAAGATATTATCATACTCAGTCTTTGTTTATTACATACTTTATTAATTTAAGTGAATATTAAAATATCTTGTATGGCTTAAGCGATATTCATTCAATGAGTCATTTTTTTCTTGTAACTTTTACTTATTTGAAAAAATATAGCTGAAGCAAAATTTACAAAAATTATGCACAAACAGATGTGACCAATATAAAAGAATAGCATAAATAATATTTAAAATAATATCAAACAATACATCAATACAAGAAATAATTTTTAAAATAAATTGAGACTATAAAAATAAATGTGAAAGTTTTAATTTTAAAAATTATAAACTTCGTGTGTAGGGTTTGCAAAGAACCCTACAAATTTAAAATGATATTCAATATTATATTAATCCAAAAGTTTTTCTTAATTATAAATTGAAAATATTCTTAAAATTGTCACCTAAGTATGGAATACGTACAATGTTTGTTTAAAAAATATCAAAAGAATACTGTCAATATTATACAATCATATAAATATATAAAATAACAAGTTTTGAAAGTTTGAAAAATAATTTTTTGATGATTAAAAATATTTTAAAAGATATCCCTTTTATTAGATTTAAGCATATGATGAAAGAAGAGAATAGATATTCAGATATACTAGCTAAATTAGATTTAAATTCTGTTGATACAGTCTCATTTTTTTGTAAGAGTTTTCTTTTTTTTTTTAATTTTCTTAACTTAGATTTAATAGAAATATGAAAATTTAGATTGTGTAAGTAGTTTTATTTTATACAAAATTTCAGTCTCATTTAATAGCAAAAAAAAAAAATTAAATTTTTACGTGTAATTATTAAATTATATGTCAAACATCTGAACCATTTATTTAAAAATAATAATTTAACGATTAAAAAAACTTTCTTAATTATACATCATTTACTTATACAAACTTATTCAAATTCACACAAATTAAACAATTCAGTTATATTTTTCTCATTATTTCTTAACCTATTTTTTCTCCCTTGTTCTCCTTATTTCTTTTGCTCTTTCTAACTCTTTTTAGCTCAAACACTCTTATTTGTTCTCTTTTTTCTTACAACCTTTTTAAAAAAAAATTATTTTATTTTAAACAAAAATGTTTAATTTTTGTGAGTACTGAAGCGGATTCAAATCCGGAACTCAATACACTTCACAAAAGATTGACATTGTTCTTATATTAATATTTAAAAATAAAAATATTATTAACACAATTCTCATCATTATATATAAATGTGCTTGTTTTTATAATTTTTAATGCCATTTTTATTTATATGTAAAAAAATACATTGACTAGAAATTTAATTATTTTGTTAAAATTAATTACTAAATTTAGTTGTTCATTATATATCAATAAGTTTTTTTTTCCTAGTAAACACCTAAATGGTGGGGTTGGGCAACCATAAATTGATGGTTGACGAGAACATCATTCTGTAACAATGGCCAGGATTGAGTTGAATCTTGGGAATGTTACACGCTTGATCTTTAGATAGCAAGTGGTGGGGTCCTCAATCCACATCTCAGAAATAAGAGAGATTCTTTCTTTTTGAAGCAAACTCCTCTTGCAGTTGCTTTTCTAATTGGCTGTCATGGAGAACCAGATTTAAGTTAAACCAATAAAGGTCTTAAAGGAGAAAGAACCTTATTATAAAATATATAAATTATTATTAATGATGTATTTTTGTTGTAATTTGTATTTTTAATTAATCTGAGGAGTTCTTTTATAATATTTCAAGCTATGCTTGTGTAAAAAAATTTAATTACAAAAATATATAATAATAATAATTTAATTTAATTCATTAAAATATATTTTCAGCTGTATGCCAAAATAGCAATGTTTAGTGCATTTGTTAGTGTAACAGTTTCTATAATTAAAGAATTTTCAGTGCTAATTTTAGAATTTAATGCAATAATTAATGAAATAATCAATTTAAAACATTTTCATGAGTTTAATAAAATGTAAACGAAATATAGAGCACAGTTATAGTGACAAAAAATAATTAATGGTTAAACAATTGTATATAATTTTCAATGAATTTTAGAATAAATGTGTAATAAAGGGATATAATTTTTATAAAAGAAAAGAGATCTAGAAAAATTTTAAATCATGTGTATAAAAAGAAACTGATTAAATGTCTGTCTCTCTTTATTTTGTAGTAAAAAATCAGCCAACTGTTTGTATCCTTTTCAGCTCACTGTGCATTGTGCAAGCGGGAAAGACTTATCTCCGGCCGGCCCAATAACAGAAACAATAGTACTTAGGTTGTTTCTTCTTTTTCCTTTTTTGTCTTTTATATTAAAAGTGTCAAAATTAATTTTATTTCTCTTTTTTATTTTTCATTATAAAAGTATTTATGTTTAATATGCATAATTATCATAATATTTTAGTATTTAACTATATTTTTAATTAAATAATAAAATATAAATATCATTGTTATAAAAATGATTTTTTTAACTATATAATTTTTTTTCTTAGAAAAAAAATATTTTTTTTTTAAATCGAGTATCATAAACATTACCACCACATCAGAGTTAAATTTGTCATAGAATCAAATGAAGTATAACTTTAATATCCGCTCTTAACAATTTTCAATAAGATTTAATAAAAAATGTTAATTTTGTTAGTGTATTTAATTTGGTGTATATTAATGTAAAATATATTTAAATTTTTGTTAAATAATCTCAAATTTAATGTTTATGTATAAAAAGGTATAAACATTAGTTGAATTACATTCATATTATAAATCTTTTAAAATTTAAACAATATTTTTATGACAAAAAAAATAATAGTAAAACTTGGATGATGTAATATAAAGTTAGACCTAATTAACATTAAACTATTAATAAATTCAGCTAGAGTATATTTTAGAAAATGTAAGCGGTTTATTTATTTTAAGAATAAAATTGTTTTCTTTTTAATATTTTTATATGCAACAAATATTATTCAGTAGATAAGTCCATTATTTTTTTAAATGACTATTTGATTGAATAAAATAATTATAGCAAATTAAATTTTTAATGAACACAAGTGTATAAATATTGTTTTAATTTAATATTGTAGATAATTTTTTAAAATGTAAAATATTAAAGCAATATTTGACAACTAAAAAAAATGAGAATAAAAATACAATGCAAGTTTTTTCACATTATTTATTCTTTTCTAAGCATCAAATATTTTATTAAAGATAAAATATGAGTACAATAAGTACTCTAACCCATTACATTTCTAAAAAAAATTAATAATACATGTTAAGGAATCATTAATTTAATTCACACATATAATTTGTTACAAGCTACTTTTAAGAACGATATTTAATAGAATCAAATATTTTACTAACATTTAATATGTCATTATTGAAGATAATATTATTCTTTTGAAGTCAAATTGTCCATACTAATACAAATCATACCATTACAACTCATTTTTAATTTTTTTTAACATCAAATTTCACTCACACTCAAGTAATATCTCATGCAAAATTTCAGATAAACACGTACTGACACCAAACCATTAGAACGCCATGTACCATAGTCTCGTAGAAGTATTACAATGCAAAAAAAGGTGTAGTACCTCCTTATCTTCAGTATTACAAAATCTATAAGTTTATGAATAAATTGTCCATCCACTTTGATTAAAATTTTTCGTATTAAAATTGTATTAAGTAACAGACGCCACATAAATGTCACAACTTTTTTCGATAATGCATGTACTAGACACAACTTCAAACCGGTACATGCAATGAAGTAATTATGAATGTAGCAATAGATAGATTAAACACTATAATCTTTATTATCATTACACTTTTATATATCAACATATCATTCATATTTTTCTATAGCCTTTTATCGTTTATAGTATTCCACGTCTACTGTTATAAATTTTAAAAGTAGTTTATTAAAATTAACTAAATTTTATTTTATATAATTTTATAATTTCTTTCATGATAATAATGTTATGATGCATATTTTAGTATTTCCTTTAGTTGTGTTTTAGAAAATTTAGCATTCCACACCGTACAATAGTTCAATCTCTATAAAAAATTAAATTAAATAAAAAAATTTATCATCATATCGTAACATTTTGAATTAGCACATTATCTTACACGTGTTTAATTTTTTTTATTCATACTATATTAATATTATTAGTTTAAATAAAATTAAAATATACTATCAATCAAATAATTGAAAATGATGTTACATGAGTATTACTTTGCTAGAGCTTTTAAAAATCAAGAGATTATGCACTTTATAAAAACAGTTTAAAATATTATTAGTTCATATTATAATTTTGTTTACTTAAGATTTATATGATAAACATTTTTTTAAATTTATTAAAAATTCACGATATATATATATATATATAATTTTAAAAATATATATTGAGTAAAAATCTCAATTAAAAAACTAAAACATATAAATCTTTGTATTTACACTTTTATATTTTTGCAAGAAAAAAAATCGTTATATTTTATTTTTTAAATGACGTGAAAAATAAAAAATTATCATATATTAAAATTTGTATAACATATAATTGTTTTTATCGAATCATGAAAAAAAAATAATATATAAAAATATAAGAATTAAACAACTAAAATAAAAATTCTATAACAATATAAAAAATTAATGCTAGATTAATTTCATTCGTTAATATTATTTGTGCATATATGTATATATATAAGTTTATTTATCAAAAAAAAAAAATCGCTTAAAAATTTGAATTCTCTTTTGTACGGAGGTGGATGACCTAGAGAACTACCGTGTTCAATTTCACTCAAATTCCTGGTTAAATGCTGCACGTGAACCAATTTTTTTCTCCACAATTTTTTTATACTTATATTGATATAAAAAAATCATTCTATATATATTGGTGAATTTAGACTGGGAGATGACATGAGTCAATAATGTTGAATACGAATTTAGACAGTTTATTAAGTAAAAACAGCATTAAGAGACAGTTCCCAAATTCCGATTCTGTTACAGTTTGGCATCTTCCATATTTTCAATAAAATTTGAAAGATGTTTTAATATTCTGTAATTGTCTTAAATGTTGAATTGATGGAAATTTTTATTTATTTTTAATTAATTTTAATATTAAAATAGCATCATTGTTTCATTTGTTCATTAAAAATATATAAAATGTGAGCAATGAATATTAAAGTTATTATTCAATTAATATGGTTATTTTAAAAAAAATTGTAAACCCAGTATAGTACAAACAGCAAACTCAAAGAAACCTTTTGCAATTTACTTTTGCTATGTATTTTCACTTTAAATCATATTGGTTTGATTTGGAGAGAAGTGAAAATTCCAGTTTTAACATTTAGTAAATTTAATTTTGAAGTATGAGGCTCACATAGTATTGATATTGCTTCAAAAACAAATTTTTTATTATTAAATTTAAATTAATGTTTTTCAAACTTATTTCAAAATAGTTATAAATTTTTAACATTGAATTTTATTGGTTTTTTCAAAATTAGTCTATCAAAGCTAAAACAAAGGGAATCTTAGGCGTTTGGAAGCTCTCAATTCTCAAATGCAAGTTTGACTAGCAGAGAAAATTGTATGTCCTATACTCGTCCTGATTTCTGTCACTCGCCCATTATTTGTTTTCCATTTTTAACTTAATCCTAGTCAATAATATAAAATCACATTAATTCATTTAAAAACCTTTTCGTACTAATTAACATTTTTTTTTCACTTTTCAATCTAAACAAACAAATGAAGAGCCTTTCTTTCATTTATATTTCTTTTTTTTTCTCCGTTTAATTAACCTTAAATCTGTTTATTTTCTACTCATATTCTCTTTTGTCTTATTTCTTTCCACCCTAGTCTCTATCTCTTTCCTCAGTTCTTTCCGTGACCCCACAGTGCTAAGGTCCCCTGGGTGATTGTCGCATATCTAATTCTGGTTCCAGTTTAAGGCAAAAATTAGTCATTTTTTTTATTTTCATTGAATAATTATGATATTTCTTTCTTGCAGCAAGCTTGTTTCACATAAATTAAAATGCAAACGGATAATAGGAATAAAAGGAGGTGCTTATTTCCTGGGCAGAAGTTGTGAAACACTTGTCTCAACCCCCGAGTATTACAATTACAAAGTTCTGAAAAATGTCTTGCTAATTTAAAATAAAAAGGAAAATAAAAGTCCCAATGAAGTTAGATATCTAGCTAAAATATAGTTTTCATGTCAAAAAAGCATTACTAAGATCAACTATCTACAAATTTTCAAGTTATTTCATAATGGTTCTTTTTCTTGGGTCCAAAGCCATTTCATAATGTTTTGAGTAATTAAGTTTCATTGCTGAATATCTAACTCTATTAAATGGGTAAAGGGCCGCAAAAATCTCTCTAAAGAACGCAAGCATCATGCGAATCATAACGAATTATTTCAAAATTTCAACTACCATAACTCAAGAAGGAATCGGTTACTACAACACATACGCTGGATCAAGGAACAGGGTCAGTTGTTAATAGAGGATAGGTTCCAGAACCAAACCGTGATCTATTTTTCAGTTGTAAACAATATAGTCGAAGTTTAAACCCGTAGTAGACTCTGCACATCAAATTTAAGCCAGTATAATATCATAAATAAAGAACGCAATAAGATAAGTAACAGAATTCAGAATGTTTTCAATATATACAATGTTACTTGTTCAGTTCTTATATACAAAAGCGAGCAATGATTTACTGTAATACTATAATATTCAAGATATACTAGTTTTCCCTAGCATATAACAAACTTAACAAGAAAATCTTCTATCAAGATCGGTGCTCAAGATGTTGTATTGGCACACTCGATTATGAACAGCCTATCCTCGGCTCCACCTATGAAGTTAAAAGCAGTCCAATTTGAATCCGAGAAACAAGTAAATGGAAAAAATTAACAAATGTTGTCAGCTAAATTCTCCATTTTTAAAATTCTATAGAGAATTAGCGTATTCAAAAAACAAAAGAACATATTGAAAATAGTACATCTCTTGTATAACTGTATTCGTCTTATGCACGCACCTATATATAGCTAAAAAGGGACAACAACCGTGGAGACAAATTACTGGCAGCCGCTCGAACTAGTTGGCAAAGTGAGGCAGACCCTGTCAAACATCCCCATCCTTATCATAGAGTTGTGCACCAGCCTCCTCTAATCATCCTTCTTTATTTGCATTCCCTTTGAACCATTGTTCAGATCATCATCCAAATTAAGAAATCGCGGTTCTTCCCCTCCACCATTATAGTCCCCCGGCTCTACTGTTTTCAAGAAATCTAATCCATAATCAACACTTGACGGTGTTTGTTCCATATGGGGCAAACTTCCCAACAACTTAGCATCTGGGTTTTGTAACTGATAGAAAAAGCTTGAAGGCGACTCCACCTGAGGATTACTATCTCCAGGAAAACCCATTTGTCCAAAATCCAAACCTTGCATCAACCCAGTGCTATCAATAGGATTATTATCTATATCCCCCAAAAGTTCATCCACCTGAAATAGCTCATCCATGGAAAAGCTCTTCAAGTAATCACCATTAAAATCAAAGCCATCAAACCAAGAAAAGTCCATCTGATCTTTATTTACGTCCTCTGCAACCTGCCCAATATTATGCATTCCTTCAGGTATGATATCTTGAATTTCACCACCCCCTGGATCAGGGAGATCCTGAGGCTCATCCTTAGGCTCTTGCTTTATTTTGCTAGTAGGCGAGGCAGCTTCATACGCATTGTAACAAGCATTAACCATATTGTTCATGTTGACAGGCAGAGGCTTCTCCTTAACATCCTCAGCTGCACAAACCTCTGATTGATTGGATGTAGTAGTTGTGTCAGAGGCTGCAGGAGTTGCCACTGAAGAACAAGGAGATGATGCTGCCAAGGAAGAGTCCCTCAAAGCTTCTTTGACAGAAGTATAATCTGATATGTGGGGGAAGTTGAGGCGTGCACATGGACCGTACATGGCTCTAGCAGCTTCATCGTAGGCAAGAGCAGCTTCTTGGGCAGTAGAAAAGGTTCCCAACCAAAGCCTACTTCCTCTATTTGGCTCCCTAATCTCCCCAACCCATTTCCCCCATGTCCTCTGCCTAACACCTCTGTAGTTACACTGTGAGTTTTGGGGTCCTCCCTTTCCTTTCATGCACCCTTTCTTTGACCCTTTAGCTGGGGCTTTACGAGTTGGTCTGGCATCATCTTTACTATAAAGATGCTCATTGTATTCCTTCCACTTAGCCAAAGTCTCAGCCACAGATTTAGACCCATCCCCTCGGCTCCTACTTTTCCTCTTTCTAGAAGAATCCATGGGCCGAACAGAAACTTGATCATAAGCACCCATGTCCACAATCCTCCACTGAGCCTTCACTATCACCACTGCTTTAGCAAAAGCAACAACCTTTCAACTGACAAATCTCGTACACTGCTCACAATCTCAACAACTGAATTCACAATCTGCAGTCAGACAACAAAATAAAACTCTTCAGTAACCAAGAACTCCAAAGAACAAAAGGGCAAAACAGAGCATAAAGATGGAAAAGTATACACAAGATTTCACAACACTCATTTATTAATGACAAAATATGGAACCAAGAAACGAATTTCCTTAACCCCCAAGTAATAGATAAATAAAAATAAAAAAAAAAAACTTGGCGGGCAAGATTTTTCCTTTTTATAAAAAAAAAATCGGACAAAGAAGACACTGTCCGAAAAATAATCCAGAAGCGGAAAAGCTAAAATTTAAAAACAAAAATCAGACACTAGAATTTGCGGAAAAAGAAAAAAAATACATCCAGCAGGAACAAAGAGTTAAAAAATCAGAAAGAATTAGAATGCAACTAACCTACGCGATCTTGATAAGATTAAATTTGAGAGTGACCCTAGGGTTTTCGATTTATCCCTTTTTTCTCGGTGTTCGTAGTAAAGAGATTTGGGTTCGTGTTTGTGAGGTATAGCTAGCAATAGCGGATTCAGAAAATCTCTGGGCTGGCACCCTGTAATCCTTATTTATAGCCTTCTCTAGATATTTCTGATATTTTTTAATTGCACCCTTCATAACTTGTGACGTGGCGCTTTTTTAGTCGAGTTATGGTGCCTCGGACTCCCAAACCTTGTGGCACGTGTCCCTGGAACCTTCCCGAGCCACTAAAATGAATCATGTCGCTTTCCTTCCTCTCAGGTATTGCTCTTTTTTCTTCCTTCGGCTTTTCTGTTATGTCCCTCTCGTTTCCTTATATTTTCAGTTATGCCATTGCTAATCACGTTAAAAATAAAAAGGTATCTAGTGTTTTTTAATTTCTTTTTTACTGGATAAATATCTAGCCATGTTAATCATTATTATATTGGGTGGAATATATTGAAGGTCTCTGTTTTCTCTCTGTTACTGACGCCTGGAACGTGGGCCTTGTTCCAATGATATTGGGCCCAGAGCCCGATTGTACGAGATCTGCTTTCTATATTATTGCGAGGTGAGATCTCACATGGCAGAAACTTACACTCCTACCAATTACTATAAATTTTGTGAATAAAGATTAACATATAGTTCCACACCCAATTAATGGTTAGTTCATGTAATTTATGATAAGAAATTAAATTTTATGATCATAAGCTATACGAATACTTTAAATACATTTATGGTTATGCTTGTGTCACAAGGAAATGATTTTTCTTTTTTCAGTAAACATAACTTTACTTGAAGTTCTCTTTTTCATTCATTTAAAAATGTAAACAAAAACAAAAACAGAACTAGAAGACACTCGGTGATGTGGATGCAATTAAACAATAGTGATGATATACAAAATAACTAAATAAGCATTATCACTTCTCATATTTAGCCTTTTATGTTCACAAATTTTTAAAAATTTTAAATACCGTTTCATTTTAGAATAAATATGAAGGCACCGGTTTCCAAAGCGGTAGGTACCGAATCAAGTTTTTGAAAAATTGAAACGATAAATATTAGCTTTAACAGTGGGAAAATTCCAGAAAACAGAATACTACTAAAAGTGTTTTTAAATTTTTTAATATTATTGTCAAGATTAATTTTAAATATTTAAGAATAAAAATTATTTATTGCATTCTTATATTTTAAATAATAAATATTATTTAACAAAGTTGTATTAATTTAAAATATTAAAAATTAAATCTAAAAATTAATTCAACCTGAATAAAAAAGTTATTTGTGGACAAAATGAATAAGTGGTATACAAGTAAAGTAATAAAGTAGGTCCATGTCCTGTAACCCTAAAAAAGTAGCTACATGTCAACCGGAGAGGCGGCTCTTTTGAATGAATTTAATTGTTTTTAATTAAATGAAAATTATTATAACTAAAAATAAAAAGTTAAATTAAGTTTTTAAAGTTAAAATTGCTACTAATTTTTTTGAAAATTTAAATAACTAATTATTTTGTAAAACGATATGTTATTGTATTACTCTTTTGAAATCGTGTTACTAAATTATTTTTTTAAATTAATTTTAAATTTATTTAAAGACACTTTTATTTTCAAGTAATTAAGTTGATTTTTTCTTAACAAATAAAAATTATTTTAATTAAAAATTATAATAAATGAAAATAAAAAATACAATATTATAAATTAAAAAATTATAATATTTGTAATTAAAATTAAATTTTACTTCAATAATATACAATATAATTAAATACAAATATTTGATTAAAACAAAATTTAAATTTTAATAAATAGTATAATTATAACATATAAATTTTGTTAATTTGAATTTGCGAATTCCCATGTCCAAGTAGTAAGGATGAGACAGATGGTATTTCCTATGTAGAACGAACACGTCAAATAGCATGCACGTGGGACACGTGCCTAATTAATTATGTGCCACTTCTGTGCAAGGGAATGGTAACACGTCAGTTTTTTGATATCCACACTCAACCATTTGGTGAACGCTCTAACTGATATGATTCCGGTGTAGAAAAATATCGGGTGGTGGTGATTATGTAGTTTCCATTATTCACGTTGTATGTTAAAAATTTTATAATTTATAAGAAACTATATGTTAATAAATAATAAACTCCGAATACATGAATTAATATGTAAGAATTAGTTTGAATTAATTAATAGTTTTAAGTTTAAATTTTGGTAAATATAAATATATTAAATTTTAAAAATAAAAAATTTATTATTTATAATAATTTTATTTGGCCTGACTAAGATATTTTTTTTATATAAAAAGTAAGTGGGTGTTATGATAATTTTTTGTGTAAAATGAAAAAAAATAAAAGTTGTTTATGTTGTAATTGTGAGGTGCGTAGGGAAAATAGTGAATTGATGGGATGATAAAGGTACGGAGTTACTGATGCATGCAGGCTTTTGGGGAGCGAGTGAGGCCCATCTCCATTACTTGAGTTTAGTTTTTTTTGCATTTTTAACTCATTGAAGTTTCAATTAAAGGGGATTTAATACTACATAATTAAAAACTAATAAATAATATTTTTAATAAAACTTTTACATCGAGTGTATTTAAATTTTATAATATTTTATTTTTAATAAAAATATTATACACAATTTTTATTATGTGTTTTTTTTTATCATGCATTAGAATAATCGATTAATTAATAAGCATGAAAAGATGAATTTTGCTGAAATTGGCATGTTGGAATCTTCAACTTGTTCTTTGTACACTAAAAAAATATCTCACACACTGCTTCGTGTGGATAATATTGCTAACGTAATCGTTATCCAAAACATAATCTAAAAGGCATGCTTTTTTTTTTTTAATAAAATAAATACGATGACATTGCTATATGGATAAAACTAACATAAAAATATCATATTTAACGCATACAAAATTAGTTATTAATTTGTGTGGTTTTGGTTTAACTAAGCTATACTCCGTGTTGTTTGAGTTTAGCGATTGGTTGTCAGAATCATATTAGTATATTAACAGTAATTAATGGGGGAAAAACGTGTCTTAAAAATGAATATTGTTTTCAACTTATTGCTTCTCTTGTAGTATGACTCGTCTTGTATCAACCATTTCATAATTTTATCATTTTTTATTTTTTCTAAAATATTACTTAAATTTATTATATTAGTTTCTTAATATTATCTTTTTCTATATTTTATCCTGCAATTTGAAAATTTTGGTTCTTTAGTTATTTTAAAATAATTTGTTTGATTTTACGAAAGTGATCAATAAAACATATATACAAGCTCTTTTTGATTTTTTAAATAAACTTTATGAAGTAATATATTTAAGTAAGTTTTTAAGTTTATCCAATAATTATTTAATTAAATTGTTTAACCATAGACATGTTTAGAAGATGTTTGTTTTGATGTGTATTATTAACACCACAATTAGGAACGATATTTCTGGCTAGATTTCTAAACATGTTTGGTTAGCATTTAGTAATAATCCTACAAATGAACGAAATAATGTGATAAAATGAAATGGAAGGGGAAAGGTATGAAAATATATTTGTGAGTATGTATCTTAAAATCTTTTTTTTTTTTGTTAAATAAAGTAAAAACAACAACTTCTCTTATTTAAAAAATAAAACCAATTTAACTTAGACTTGATCTGAATCTAATTATAAGTCTTCAACAATTATTTAACTTATTTTCATAATAATATATTTTTCATAAATATATTTTTTATAAAAAATAAAATTTCTTGAACCGAGAACATTCATAACTTTTATATTATAATTCAAAAGTATTATTTGGGCCCAAAGTTAGTAAATTATTGGTGACAACTTTCAACACGATTTTTTAATATTTTCTATCCACACAACAACAACAGCAGCAAGAAAAGGCCACAACAATAGTACCCAAAATAGCAAAAAGCCCAAAATCAGATTGCAGAATCCAATAGACAAAACCTGTGCCAAGAATAAAAAGCACTGGCACAAGCAAGTGAGCCTGTTCCAAATAGACACAGAATTATTAAAATTCTCCGTAATAACTACGTCCTGCATTTAGTTATTTTTTATTTTCATTTGAAAAAATTTTAGTTAAGTGAAAATAAAAAAATACAATAACATACAAAAATGAAGAATCAGATGGATCTCGGTCCATTGGCTGAAACCACATGATCACTAAACAGTAATTTTTCCGATTGGGGAGAAGGAAATCTACATAAAATCCAAAAATATTAAAATACAGACCTAAGGTAAAGTGCCATGTTATTCAACCATGCTGATGGGTTTTGTCTTGGGGCTGATTTATATTTTTAATGTTTTTTAAAAAATAAATTTTTAAAATAATAAATTTTTAAAATATATTTTTTGTTTTAAATTTTTTTTGTCACATCAGTATCTGTTTATTTACTGTCTCAATGAAATAATTTATTTTAAAAAAATCAAATTTCATTTTTAGTCAAAAACAAAACTATCAAATTATACAACGTATTATTATCTGTTGAATTTTGTTTATTAAAAATATGGTCTTAACAATTTGTTAACCTTAATTTAAATATTTATAAATAATTTTTTTTATTATAAAAAATACATATTTATTATATAAAATTATTAAGATTTTGTCATGCCCAACCCAACTTACTAAATTAGTTTAAAAATAATTTTGTTAGTGCATTAAGTATTATAAGATGTAATCTTAATATATATTTTTTAAATATATATTTTTAATATATTTGTAGTTATTAATTAAGTTAATTAAAAATTATATAAATTTTATTTTTTATTCTTCAATTAAATATTAAGATTTTTTATTTTTTAATAAATTTTATTCTTAAATTAAATATTAGAATATATATATATATATATATATATATTTTAAATTAGTTTTGTAAATTAACCTGAACATGACAACTTGAGGCAGTAATGTAAGTTTTGTCTTTTAACAAACAAAACTTACCAAATGACGACATATGTAGTAATTCTGTGAGTTTCATTTTTTTATAAAAAATAAAATCCATCCATCCGATAATGACTCTATATGATAGTTTAAAAAAAATAAAAAGTATATATTTTATTGAAACAGTAAATGAAAAAAGTGTTGACTTGGCAAAAAAATCCAGACAAAAAATTTGTTTTTAAAAAATATTATATTTAAAAATTTATTTTACAAAATATTAAAAAAATAAATTCAGCCTTTGTCTTGACTTGAACAGAAAACCGATGATCTATCTTTGTGTGTTTTTGCCAATTCTTGGATTTGTTCGCAAAAGTAAAAAGTTGGAGGCCAGAACGTTTTTGGTCTTTGCCTCTTGATCATTATATTTTTTTTGTATAGAAATAGAATAGACTTTTACAAAACATGTCCACGGCCGTTGAACCCACATTTGACCTTCACTTCAATTAATGTAAAAAGTTTGGCACTGTATTTTTCCTAAAATTGTTGACAAAAGCATTATCTATGTTTTCTATGGTATTTCTTTGATTGTCAGATTATTTATGCCTTCCAGATTTGTATGTATCAGAATGATATGATAGCTGCTTACTTCTCTATCTTTGTGAATTCCTCAACTTAGTCAAACATTATTAGTGTATTTGGTTGTCTGCACAGAAAGACCTTAGCTAAACAATCCATTTCATCAATTGTAATTATTCCATGCACTACTATGGTATTTCCAAATTTATTTTGAAAATAAATGATCTGACTCCTACCCTATTAGTTTATTGTTTGATGATCTACTTTCATATCTGACATTAAGTGAATTGTGATTTTTTTTTAAAGTATCGTATTCTTTTTATCTCTTCACTCTCACACGCACACCCACCAGATTAGAAAAAGGGAGGGGATAGACATGGTCAAAACTCATTTGTTTATAACATTAACCACAAGGGGAAAAAACAACTAACATGAATTTAAATCATTCGGGCTTGTGATCGTATCAGATGGCATTTTGTGTTGGAATCACAGCACCATCTCTTCTAAACCCGGCTTATCTATAAATGGAAAGAACAAAGAAACAGAGCAAAAGGAGAAATATCCCCTAATAAAGGGAAACAAAACAACAATGAACTAGGAAAAATTACAAACTATGGTGACAAATTTGATAATTTTGAGTATCCTAACACAGAGGCAGGTCCTCTGGAGGGGGTTCTATGGATTGCAATAGGCCTTCTCCATTATCTACCAAGAGCACAGTGGCCAAACCCCACCCGATGTGAACATCCAAGTGACAATGCATAATCCAAGCTCCTACACACATCACATAAACCAAATTATATCAAACATCAATAATTGAAATATAATTTTTTAAGGCAATGCAAAATTGGGATTAAACTAATTTTACCTGGGTTATCTGCAACAAATCTAATAACAGCCCATCCATTCACAGGCACTGCCACTGTATTCCTCATAGGTGGATCAGCAAGGTTGAATTTTGAAGTGTCTTTCTTAGGGTCAAAGTTTCCAAACCCTTCTGCCACAATGTAGAAATCATACCCATGAAGATGAATTGGGTGGTTCTCAGGGGTAACAATGCTAGTATCTTGCAACACAATCTGCACCCTTGATCCGAACTTCAACTTGGTGACTTTAGTCCCAGGAACAGGTTGCCAAAGTGAACGGCTCACGTTACCAGTGTAATCAAATTTCACCGGAGGTTGTGACGGAAAATCAGTGGTGAACACTCCTTGAACTCCAAGGTGATGCGCTTGCAAAATGGAAACAGTGTTTGGGAGAGTAAATGACACATTGTTCATGCTTGCAGTGAAACGTGTCCCGTTGGGTCCTTGGCATTGGTTTGAATTGAAATTTGGAGGGCAATTGTTGAGTCCAAGGCCAATGGTGAAGAACAAGTTGTCATCAATTTCAGTGGGAACCTCAACTTTCCTTGGACTTCTTAAGCTTGTACTAAAGGAAGTGACAGTGTTTGTGTCATTGTAAGCTGGGAGAGAAGGCATAACTGGTTTGATTGCAACACCCTTTGCAGGACAAGGGGCTGATTTGTATTCAAGAATGGCTGTGGTGGTGGTGTTGTCAAAGGGAGCATTTTGAGCAGATTGGTAAGCACGTGCTGCCATGTAGTAACGTGAGGGTGGTTGGTCACCATTGATGAGAACATCAGTGGTTTGGCCAGGTCCTAGCACGATGACTGTGGTGGTGAAAGGCTTGAGGTAGGCGGCATCAGCACCAACCACTGTGAACTTGTGGTTGGCAATAGTGAAGAAAAGGGGTTGGTTGAGTGCAGCATTGATGACACGGAGGAGGTTGGTCTCGCCAGAATCTATTGGAACTATGGTGGTGCCTACAATGCGAATCATGTCAAAGAAAAATAAATGTCAGGTTCATGAAACCATTGTACAACATTCTTTAACCATTATACAACATTCTTTTTTATAAGTTTCCTAGGACCAAGGTGCAGGGGTAGTTGGCGGGTAGATGTGTGTTCACTACCCTGTTTCTTGGTACAGAAACTATTTGTGTCTTGAGAAGTAGTAGTAAATCGTATGGCAACCCTAGTAATGAATTTGCTTGCTTTTCTTCAAAGGGTACTTGTTTTCATGCAAAAATAAAATAAATTTGATTTTAACTGAGGCATGTGTATTTTTTTATTGTTTATATCATTAAGATATTAATTCTTTCAATATCTAATTTCAAATTCATGAATTATTAATGAATTGGCACAATATACTCTTCTATTAAAAAAATAGTGCTCACATGTTTTAACGGTATTTTTTTATAATTTTCCTGCCTACTAGTTACTATATTCAATTCTTATTTCTTGATCGTTTGCAAGATGTAAGTACGTGTTTATTGTTACAAAAGCGGCCAAAAATATTTTATTTCTTTCCTCTAATCAAAGTATTTAATAAATTAAACTATTTAATATAATTTGATTTTTATGCTAAAAAGTTTAATATGTCTTTAATCACCGTTGTCTTTTTTTTTTTTTTAATATATCAAATATAACCTTCGCAAAGTAGTTGATGAGTTCAATCAAAATTCACTAATAATCAAACCTTGGCTTGAGCACTTGTATAGATCGCCAGGTTGACCATTGATAGTGTATGCATCGGATATATTAGGCGCTGCTCCTGTTTGTGTGGCCTGTCTCACAACATCGAGTGGGTTTGCATCCCACCATTCCCCTAATCATTATTTTCACCGTTAAATCAGCTTCATCAATCATTATGAATATAATCTTTTGTCAAAAAAGATAAAAAATATCAAATCCCACAATATCTTTTTCTTAATCTTATCCTTCATGTTTTCAACAGTAACATCATTACCATTATATTCATTAGTGAAATAAAATCATTACCTAGCATAATTGGTGTCTCGCGCTTTGGCTTAGGGAAAGGATAGGACTCTCCTTCCCTAGGGTGAATGATCAAAGCTCCATAAACAGTGGCTCTTACCCATGAGCTGTGAGCGTGCCACCAAAGTGTGCCTTCTTGTCCTTGAATTGTAAATCGGTAAGTGTAGCTTTCACCAGGGCGAATGGGACACTGAGTCACAAATTCTGGTCCATCAGCCCATCCTGTTCTCATTTGCCGAATACCGTGCCTTTACAAAGAGATCAAGAAATTAATGAGGAGAAACAAAACTATATAAGCCTCTTAAATATTTGTCAAAGACTTCCATGCATGTTTCATGCAATATATATACGAGTATAACGTGCCTTCTATAATATGTTCTATGGGAACTAGATTAGTTAAGGCAAAGGCATACCATTTAATTCCCACAAGTGCTAAGAATGTTGATTTTTTTTTTTAAATATGGAGCAATCCATGTATGTTAAAATTTTTTTTTTTTATCAAATATATTTTGATTTAAATAAATTCTTAATCTCTAAAAATATGAAGTTTTTAAATTTTAATTACTACAAAAAAATCATTATTTTTAGTCTCTAAAAATCATAAAAATTATATACTTTTAATCTTTGGTGGAGGATTGAAATTATATCATTTGTCAAGGGTAAGAATTAAAAACAACAAGCATTATAATTTTAGGAATAAAAAAGCTATTTAAACTGATTTTTTTAATTATATATATAAAAAAAGTCTTTATTTCTTTTTAAATAAATATAATCCTTTGATAAAATGTATATTTAATGGTTTTTAATGTGTTTACATGTAGGCAAACATTAAAAAAGGCTGTGGTTTTTCCTTGTGGGTGGAAGTGAAGCTAAAAAATGCTAGCTTTAATATATTATACCAGTGAATGGTCACATTGTAACGAGCTTTGTTAGTGACTTTGACGACCAAAGTGTCTCCATTGTTGACTTCCAAGGTTGGGCCCGGGAACTGTCCATTCACTGTGAGGGTGCTATGAGTGTTGCACAGCCTCTTCACTGGAGTTGCTTGAATCTGTCTCGTTACAAATGGCAAGTTAATTATCTTAGCAAGAAAGGGACGAAATTAAAAAGAGAAAGACAAAGAGAGTGAGAGAACGTACAACAAACTCGTGCTCCTGGATTTTGGCATTGGCTGAAGACAAGGCTTCGGCATTGGCTAAAGACAATGCTGAAGCTAAGAGAAGAAAAAAGGCTAAGAAAAGGGTCTTGAGAGCTTCCATTTTTTAGTGTAGCAATAAACAACTTTGTCCCAATGATGGTTATGGTTGCAAATTGCAATGGATGTGAGAGTGGGATTGAAGATGCTTTTATAGGAGAGAGATGGAGTCATTGAGTTGGCAGATTAGGTTTTGTCAAGGCAAATTGGTCAGAGGCACTCTAAGAAACTTAGTTCAACCCTATAAAAGTTGTTGCACCCACTAGTTAATTACCTTTGTGAATGCTTGCTTCTCAAGTCTTCATTTAAAGGTTGAATTTTGTCAAAGTATAATTGCTTTGAGAACTTGCTCAGGGAATAGTTAAGACGGGTTTTAATTTATCACTATCATTTTCTTTTTAATAGGCATTTTATGCTGTACAATCTGATCTTTTTATTCTTGTAAAAGTATGCGACATTTTAAAGGGACCACAACATAAAAGCATAGCAAAAAGGTAAAAACCTTTGCTGTCCAAGTCAAGCTGTCCTATCATTCATATCTTTGTTGTCAATTAGTTAACATATGGCTTGAAATGGTTTGCCTGTAGAAAACTAGCATGTATTTCAGTGCAAATAACCTTGCCGCCGTCAAACGTAATGCACCTTGTTTTTATCTAGTGATTCTTGTTTGGGGATTGAGTATAATTTAATTGTAAGCTAAGTTTGGAAAGTGAAAAAGAGTGCAAATTAATTTTGTGTCAGTCCAATTTGACTTTTTTTTATTTTCTTTCGGTGGTTGGAGAAAATTAAGCCCTTATTGAAAAGATTGGTAATCGTTTGATGGAAAAGTGATACACGTTAAAAACAACTAGGACAATTGAAAACATAGTGTGCCCTTTGTTTAGACTAAATACCCTTCTTTACCTACTTAAGTATTGCCTTGATCTATAATTAACCAATGAAGGTTAAAAAGGTTGTTTCTTAAACTTTGAATCTCATGTTGGACTATTTCTATGTTTAGGGTACCCTCTTCTTAAGTGGCTAGTTATTCAAGAAGGCGTATGTTCGGATATTTAGGCTAACAGTCTTGTCTAATTCAAGTGGCTATTGATAGGGAAGAAACTAACATAAAAAATATAAAAAAATGGTACTGCCATTAGGTGCGTAGCAAATAAAATAGTGTAGAATTAACGTGATTTGATTGGGTCCAACAAGAATTTAGTTAAGAGATACTCATGAAAAATGCAACATAAAGAGTATTAAATTAGGTGGCTTGTCTCCCAACATTTCAAGCATGGACGATCAACGGGGAATTGTAAGACACAAACCTGTCATACTCAAGAATACGTACTTTGATGTATAATCAATTTCATCCCTTTGAGGAATATCAGGGGATGATCACCATAGCGCCACATGTTAAACTAAAATGTCATCGCTGACGCTATTTCAGATGTTTGACCATGCCATGAAGGATTTGGTTTCCCTAATGATCTATTTGTTAGATTCCCCAAATGCATTATAAGTACTTACATAATGATAACCAATTCAATTACAAAATTATTAGTTAAGGAGTACTAGTTAATTTCTTATGCATAACTCACATGAATTCCAAAAAAAAGTTGATAATTAATGCATTTGATCTAAGGCAAAGTATATTTATCGTAACATTGCCGGTGCGTAACTAATACAAGATATATTAATTTGACTTCATTGATGATATCTTATATATAGTTGCATCCGTGATTTAGCTACCCTGGACCCTCACAAGGATGAGGATCTTTCGATACATCAATGCTTTGACATCGTAAAGGACGTGAAAAAGGTTGGACAAGTCTATTTTAGAGTTCGTCGAGACGTGTATTGGTACAATATATAAAATCTTAAACCAGAAGGAAGATAGAACATTTCCTCTAGTTGTGTCTCATTCTATCTCCATAAAGGAAGTTATAGTTTCTTAGTGGTATGATAGATGGCTGATGGCTACATTTGAGTTGATAACAACATCTAGCCAAGCCCCCAAAATATTATTTTGGTTTGTCACAAAACCGTTAGATGCTGAGAACGAAAGCATGTCAAAATAAGGCTGAGTGTGACAAAGATTAACACAAGATAGATAGAGAAACCAAAATGACCAATTGGATAGGTGAACAAGAAAAAAAAGAATGAGCATCATATATGAAAGTTGGTAGAGTTTGTTACTGACTTTCTCATATTCTAGAGATGGAAAAAACATGAAGTACTTCAAAAGTCGTTATACAAAGTGTGAAAAAACATAAAGCAAGAAAGATGAAAATTGACACAAGAGCAGAAACCAATTCCTTGTCAAAATTTGCTGGTGCTTGGTCTCTCTCGCAAAAGCTTTTTATTTTTCTGGTAAAATAATTATTTCCCTATATCCTTTTGTTTATTCTAGTTTGGTTTTTGATTTCTTGGGTTTGCATTTTCGTGGTTAGTTATAAGTGGGTGTGAACTTGGGCAATTTTAATCCACCGTCAACGTTTTCTCTAATCCAAAATAATTAGGGAGATTAAACAAAACTAAACAAGAAATCCATTTTTTATGCTGTTTACGCCTTTACCAGAAATGGGACCTTCTTAAAGACCACGCTCAAAATGATGTCTTTACTTTCTTGTAAAATGCACATGTTACGCTCATAAGGCCAAAACGGGTTTCAATGTGAGAGAATCTTTACAAGTTCATCGAACTCACCATAATGCTTTATGAACTTTTATGTGCACGTTCCATGTGTGACGCATCTAACACCCTAATTGATGTCACAAAGGCAAAAAAATTCTAATGCCTGGTTGGTGCTACAAAGGACAAATCTTATGGTAAAATAATAAATTCATCAGTCTATGCCTAAAAATTGACAGTATAAATTTATTTCAGAAAGAATTTTAAAGGTGGGTTAAAATAAAGAAACATGAATATTATTACAGTAAATTATTTACATGAAGTGTTAAAGGTGTATTAAAGTAAAGACATATTGTATATAAAAAAGTAAAGAAATATAAATTTAATTGAAGCAGATAAATGCATTAAATAATCATAAATGAATAAAAATATGATTAAATTTAACCTAAATAACATTTTTTTATTTAAACATTCAATTGTATATGAATTCCTAAAATTATGTATATTTGAATGTTTCTAAATTAGTAACAACCACGAGAATAACAAATGGGGAAATTTTCCATAGATTATGCTATACCTTATACAGAGGCAAAGGAGATTGTCGAAATACCTTATAGAAAGTGCTTTATATATATACATACACACACTAGTACTGCAAGCATAAACGAAATATTTAGAATTCAATCGGCACAGGATGATCACTGAATGAGATCAGCAGATCGCAAAAATGCAATTGAGAATATATTCTTTTGAAATTATATGTTGACACATACGTTTTTTTTACTATAAAATGTGTGAAAGGAAGAGAGAGAGAAAAATGAAGATAAATATAAAAAAAGTGAAAGTTCGATAAAAGTTTGTATTTCTTGTAACTTTTATGGTCATTGTTAAAATAAAAAGTTGAAACATAATTGAGGCCTTTGCACATATCTATCCAAATTCCTAAGATATCGCACAGCTGCAAGAATCATCACTGTTCCACACCAGCTGCATGCCTTGGAGGTACATAGACTTTTTTGGACATAAATCTGATATATTGTGACCAGAAACTTTGCAATTGGGAACTGTCATAATACTTAACCACATCAACTAATTATAAATATACTATAATTTACTGGATTTACACAAAACTGACCACTCAGGTTTCGTTGAAACTAAGAGCATACGAATATTATTAAGGCTGTAGATTAATTAAATGTTTATTTGATCAATTTTGATCTAAGTTTTCCTTCTGTGTTTCTCAACTTGACTAGGAAGTTCCCCACATTTCTCTTCCTTCATCTTCTCCCTCCAAATTAGTCTGATTAACGGATATGCATCTTAAGTTCTTAACAGAAATACTATCTTAAGATTTTGCTAACCCCGCTGTCACATAAACCTTTAATTGCTACCTTTTGCTTTTTACAAACATATAAGCTCACAGAAATTATGTCGAGAGATTTAAGGATAATCGGATGTGATGGATTTTGTTGTATATGGAGAAATGCCCATTGACAATTCGTCATATGCGTGTGACTACTTGCCTAACTTAAATTCCATCAACAAAAATTGTTTTCTCTAGTACAAGCTGAATTATTTAGTGTGACAAAAATCATTGAGACCCACTACACCGATTGATTACCAACAAATCAATTAAAATCTCAACATACTAATTTGAACACTAAGAAAAGAAAGCAGTAAAATACTAATTATTGATGCAAAAGTCAAGTGCAGAGTTGACATACAGCTGTTAATGCTATTCCATGAACAGGTTGAACAAAAATAAAAAAATTGGTAAAAGCGACAACAATATGTTCATAAAACTATCTTATGCCTTATCAATAGATTGCTACACATCTCCAAATTTTTTTGGATCAAATACACATCTCCCATATGGACTGCGGTTTGCTTGCTGAAGGGCTTTTGTTTTTTGGGTCAACAGTGTTTAGTTTTGGGCCCATGGAGGCCCAGTTGGAACCCTTACCTAACAAAATGTTGGGAGGTTACCCTTCATAGATTGTTGAACCAAAAAAAGAAACTCTGAAAGATTAGGACAAGAGCTCGATCAAAAGAAAGAAAAAATATTTCATTTCAAACGCATTAATTAAAGCAAACATCTTCACATGCACATCATTCAGCTATACTGCTAAAACTCTGTAATTCAAATGTCGTACCCTAATTATTACATTCATAAAGAGAAATACACTGCACACATTGATAAATGTTATCTTTAGTCCTATCAATAATGACATAATGTTATTTTTAAGAAAAGGCTCATAAGAGAACTTTTAGAGAATGATAAGAAAGTGAATTAGAAAAGAAAAGTAATAGAAAATATTGCTGAAAGTTAAATTAATAATTAATTAAATAAGTTGATTTAATGAGAATTGACAAAAGATTTGAAATATTCGGTATTTTCTTACAACTTAAATTTTCTTTAACCTTCATATAATGGTCTTGATTTGGGCTCAGAATATCTAGCTTCCTCATCCCAAATGATCGCACGAGATTAAGGCAGTAAGATTAACGTTGCAAATATTCAATTGTAAAACACAACTTAATGCAGCTCTACAGAGTAGTCCACACGGTTTGTCATGGCATCCTTTTCTCAATATTAAGGTTGATAAATCGACCTTGGAAGATAGAAATAAAAGAATGTTGAATATATAATTAGATATTTGTTAAAAATTTGATACATTGTTAAAGTAAAATTATAATTTTGTCGTTACACTAATTATATCTCGATTTGAATAAAATTATTTTTGGTAAAAAAATATTTGTAGTTTTTTGAAAAATTAAACTAAAAACAAGAAAAATTGTTCATCTAAAACAATAGCAAAAACTAAAGGCGTGTAAGAATTTGATTTGATTTGATTTTTTTTAAGGAAAAGAGTGAGAGGGTAATAGGGATGAAAGATGCCTTGTTGGATATGTAGTGTTAACTGGTAATAACATAATCACAATGCAAACTAGAGAACTAAAAGAATTTGCAAAGAAACACTTGTCAATCGATTTTAGAACAAAACTCGTATGCAAATACATTGAGCGTTATCGAAGGTAGTTTTGTTGGGAAGCCTGAAAACACTGCGTCTGCGAGTGGCACCAGTTTTGGCCCTTTGTTTAATGGTTTGGTTGGTTGCATGAAAGAAAGGGCGTGGCACACGAGAAAAACGGGTTTCTCATGTTGCTAGGTTTGGTTGTGCCCATTCCTATCCTAAATCCCAATCCCATTCTTCATTCTCACGCGAGTTGACTCACCAAGAACTCCGACTCACAACTCGCTCACTCTCGCTCTTCTTCTTCAACCTTCCTTCGCCATGATTTCCAATCGCAACGAAACCTTATAATCGAATCCTCGAAAATGATGAATCAGGACCACCTCGACGAACCTCCAATGCTTCACGCTTCCCAAGACGATGAAATGGAGTCGCTGATCCTCGACGACGAAATCCACCACCACTCTCAAACGCCGCAAAGCCCTAATTCCCCTTTCAATTCCTTCCTCGACCCTCCCTCCTACGCCGACGCCGTCTTCACCTCCTTCGATTCCAACGGTCACGACCAAGCCCTAGAAAACCCCATCCTATCCGGCTCCGACTACCTCCACATCTCCGTCACCGATCCTCAGAAGGAACAGGACCTCGCGAACTCTCTCGTTCCCGGCGGCAACACCTACTACACCTACCTCATCACAACTCGAACCAATTTGCCCGAATTTGGAGGTCCTGGCTCCGAATTCACCGTCCGGAGAAGGTTCCGCGATGTCGTGACGCTGTCGGACCGGTTGTCCGAGACTTACCGGGGGTTTTTCATTCCGGTGAGGCCAGACAAGAGCACGGTGGAGAGTCAGGTGATGCAGAAGCAGGAATTCGTGGAGCAGAGGAGGATGGCGGTGGAGAAGTACCTGAGGAAATTGGCGATGCACCCTGTGATTCGGAAGAGTGAGGAGCTGAGGCTGTTTCTGGAGGCTAAGGGGAAGCTGCCGCTGGCAAAAACCACCGATGTTGCGTCGAGGATGCTCGACGGCGCCGTTAAGCTTCCGCGGCAGCTGTTCGGGGGAGAGGGTGTGGCCACGGCGGGGGGTGATGACGTGGCTCAGCCTGCTAAGGGTGGGAGGGACTTGCTCAGGATTTTCAAGGAGTTAAAGCAGAGTGTTGCCAATGATTGGGGTGGTACAAAGCCATTGGTTGTGGAGGAAGATAAGGAGTTCATGGAAAGGAAGGATAAGTTGATGGAGTTTGAGCACAATCTTAGCAATGTTTCTCAGCAGGTTTATGATTCTCTTGTTTTGGCTTCTGTGTTTAGTAGTTGACTAGGGTGCATTTGAGGGATTAGTTTAAGTAAGTACTTATTTGAAAAGGATATTCAGTAATCTTGTTTTAATGTAAGCTTAGTCAAATTTTATTGAAATAAGTTAAAAAAAAGTTGATAAGTAGGCTTAAGTTGCTTTCGAGCTTTAAGTAAACACTTGCTTAAGCACTTAATGAGTGTGTGTGAATAAGCTCCTTATAGGTTCTTGCAATTTGCAAACACTTCCTCAATGCTTGTTGGGAGTAGGGGGAATAATTACTTTTCTAAGTAGCTTCTTAAAAGAGCTTTAAAAAGAATTTATTATTACTTGGTTGAATTGAAAAACATTCCGCTTCAAGTGTCACAGTGATTATTGGTTTTTATTCTAAATATACTCCTTTTTGGAATTGCATTATGATGTCCATTTTTATTGCATGTAACTGAATAAGAATAGTGTTGTTTTTCCTTCTTTGATTGTTGGGCTTGATTTTATTTATCTGTATTAACTTGCAGGCTGAATCCCTTGTCAAGTTTCAACAAGACATGGGTGAAACAATGGGTGAACTAGGGTTGGCTTTTGTAAAACTCACTAAATTTGAGACGGAAGAAGCAATATTTGAGTCTCAGAGAGTAAGAGCTGCGGACATGAAAAATGTGGCAACTGCAGCTGTTAAGGCAAGCAGGTTATATAGAGAGCTGAATACACAAACAATCAAACATTTGGCAAGTACTAATTCTTATGATAGAGTTTCTCATCTTTATAAATCTATGATGGAAACTTTCATGATGACAGATTTGTTAGCCTCCTGGTATAATCCCTATCTCTTTTCTGTTGTTGATGTGTAATATCTTCTTTATGTTGCAGGATAAACTACATGAATACCTTGGAACAATGCTAGCGGTCAACAATGCATTTTCTGACAGATCAAGTGCATTATTGACAGTTCAAACACTGTCATCAGAACTAGCTTCTTTACATTCACGGGTTGAAAAGCTTGAAGTTGCTTCATCCAAAATATTTGGCGGAGACAAGTCTAGGATGCGGAAAATTGAAGAGTTAAAAGAAGCCATTCGGGTTACCGAGAATGCTAAAATTTGTGCAGATCAAGAGTATGAACGAATAAAGGTAACATTTTACTTAGCTTTTTCTGGGTTGTCCTCTCCCTTAGCTTCTGAAACTGATTCAGCAATTCAGCCTCTTGCAACTTGTAGCTTTTCTCCCCTTGCATATTAACTCATTTTAACTTTCAAAACTAACCTTTCAACTTTTCTTTGGTATACTATAGAATGTGTCTCCATATATTGTAGATTATTGTCTTTATTTGTTTTCATTTCATGGATGCAATTGTATATCCCAGTGGAGAATATTTGACATAATATAACTTAATCAAGTTTGATATATTAACTAAATTTTAAACTCTCACATATCCCTTGTAGAAAATCAATGAGAACCAATTAAATTATCATAAATGGTTGTAATAAAAATATGTATCATTTCTCCTTGATAATAAATTTGACTTGCTATGAATTTACATGTTCACATGATTTTCTTGTGGTCTATAATGCAAGTGTATTTGTGAACAAGTGTTGGGGTGAAGTAAAAATACTTGAATACCATCAAAATCATCTTTTGATGCACTTGTAGGACTGCTTCCGTTAAAAATGACCATCAATAGTGGATTTGGTTGTAGATTCAAATTTGATTTCTAGATCTATTGCTATCTCAATATGGAAAGACTAACGTTTTCACAAAATCAAGTTGATTGTTGTAGTGAAGACATTATTGGCTCACGGTTTACTGGTATGATCATGGTTGAATAATTGATAATTAAATATGTACTTTTTAATATTATGTAATATATTAAGTAATTAATTAACATTAAACCACGAGAAATCAAGTTAGGTAAAATTTAATTTAAAGGGTATTACTTGTCCTGCAAGAGTTACAAGTGCTTAATAAGAGGCTAAATAATACCCATTCTATTACTTAGAGCGTCAATGGACAGTGAGTACAACATCCAAGCATACAACATAACATATATATATAACATATATTATATGCCTTGGGAAGAAGGCTTTACTATTAGAATTCAAGCATACAACATATAAAGCAAAGAGGGAGCCCAGACATTCTTAGTAGACGCACCCTATGAAAAATGACAATTCAGCTGATTAAGTCTGCTTAATTAGACTCAATAGAAGAGTATATTCCATACTCCATAGGGTGTGATTCACCTGCCCAATATACGCTGGTTTTCTCCATTCTATCCTCAGATTCCTATTTGTTATTCTCACTTATATTGGATAATTAATCTGCTTCTGGGCTGTCAATAATACAATCACAAGAGCTTTGGGTTGCTTCAATGGAACCAAGGAGAAATTTATGAGAGCAAATTTTCACTTTCCAATTTACATTTTTGTTGAATTCCATATATGCTGGGTGGTCTTTCCAGATCTTCAGCTCTTAACAATTTATTCCATTATCTCTGTTATTTGTTCAGATCTAATAAAAAAATCCGTTTAAATTTATGGAACCATTTTTGGGGAAGTCTTTATCATGGAATATTGTGTCAAAATATTTGCAGGAAAATAATAGGAACGAACTTGAACGAGTTGACAGAGAGAGGCATAGCGACTTCCTAAGCATGCTGCGAGGGTTTGTTGTCAATCAAGTAACGTTCTACTTCAAGGAAGATGGCTTTTATATTATATGGTTACGGTTACAGCTATATAACGTTCATTTTAACTATTCTACTTCGTCCTTTTACAGGCAGGCTATGCAGAGAAGATGGCAGCTGTGTGGGAGAAGCTTGCAGAAGAAACGACCGCTTACTCAAGAGATAGCAGCTAAAATGTAATGTAGCACAGAGATACTTTTATACTTTCTACATTAGGTGAACTTTTAATTTTAACCCTTGAGAGTTGTTGTACATGAAAATATCCTCCTATTATTTTTGTCCGACATTCAAGATTTCGATGTATTTGGATTACTTTTTGGTCGAGGACTTTCCAGTTTTATTTTGTTCATTATTTTATTTTATATTTTTGCGTTTCCGACTTGTGTCAAAACATTGGGCTTGTGCTGTTGATTGTTTGAAGAATAGAGAATTGAAATGAGGTGGACAAGAACTTGCATAAAATGAAGTGTTTAGAAAACACTTGCTGATTTAAAACACTAACTGTACAGACACCAGCACTCGAACAGGCAAAAATTAATGTAAGAATGAAAGAATAATTAAGACCCTAAACTAGCCCTACGTTTTGCCCTAAAGAGGAAACATAAATGCAAAAGTTGTCAACACCATGGTGCGTGCCCAACACCCAAAATTTATTCACTGGTCGAAGGGATGGCTCCATCGTCACCAGAACTGGCTGATATTTCTGGTCTAATCTCTTCTAGCTGCTGGAGGACCTGCTGAACTTCTGGTCGTGCTGATGGAGAGGGATCAACACAATGCAAAGCAAGTTTCAACGTGTTTAGCAACTCGTCACCATATGTTGAAGCATCTCTCATCAGCTCTACATCGAAAACCTCATTTGTCCACTCCTCTTTGACGATAGAGGCAACCCACTGAGGTAAATCAACGCCATTCATAGCCTCACCAGGTGGCTTCCCCGTTAGGAGTTCTAACAAGATAACACCAAGACTGTACACATCAGTTTTTGTGTTGGCTTTCTTAAGCTTTGAAAGCTCAGGGGCTCGGTATCCCAATGCTCCAGCAGTAGCAATCACGTTAGAATTAGCAGCAGTTGTCATCAACCGAGAAAGACCAAAATCAGCTATTTTAGCGTTCGTGTTCTCATCCAGCAACACATTGCTGGACGTAAGGTTCCCATGTATTATGTTCTCATGGGAATGAAGGTCAAACAAGCCACGAGCCATGCCCTGTGCTATTTTCATCCTTGTTGGCCAATCAATTGCTGTTTCAGGCCCACGAGCTGCACAAAATTGGAACACAGTCAAAACCCTAATATCGGTAAATTAAACATCCTTTTTCTAACAGCAGTCCCAACCGACACATAATAAAAAATTCTTAAATCCTAAACTTTTATTAAAAAAAAAAAATAGTGTTCAAAATTAATGTATTGAATCTTCCGTTATTACATGATTTTTTTTATAAAAAATTACTATATATAAATGTGTCTTGTTTGTGTGTGTTTGTGTGTCATTTAGTCACGTCATAGAAATACTGATTAAACATTGTACAACTAAAAGAAAAATATTATCATTAGCAAACTTAGCATATCAAACTAACTAGACTTACCATGTAGGAAAGATGCAAGACTTCCCTTGGGCATGTAATCAAAAACTAGAAGTTTTTCTCCTTTGGGTCCCAAGTAATAGGCTCTTAATGCCAAAAGATTTGGGTGTCGAATTCTGCCAAGAACACTAACTTCTGATTCAAATTCCCTCTGACCTTTAGTGATCTTTTCCCTCAATCGTTTCACTGCTGCTTGACTTCCATCCTCTAATGTGGCCTTGTAAACAGTTCCATAGGTGCTCTTTCCCATTATCTCTGCTGTTGCACACAAGAGATCATCAGCAGTAAAAGCTAATGGCCCATCAAAATGGACTAGTTTTCCACCAGCTTCACTACCTGCTTCACCTTCACCTGCAACAGGAGGAACTCCTTTTTCGGTCCTGCTAGCAGCAGCAGCAGCCCCTCTCCCTGTGGCTTGGCCACCCTCTACATTTGATGTTGCTCTTTTTCTGATCAGGCAGAAGAGTAGGATGCAACAAAGTGTTACCAAAACTACAAGGAGCACTCCTGCTACTATGAGGATTATGTCTTTGATGCCTAGTTTCTTATGATGGTGGTGCTTTGATGTTTCAGAAGGTACACCATGGATTCCTCCTGATCCTTCAGAAGGAGCTGGTGAGGGACACGGGGTTGAAGGGCTGTATCCACATAGTTGAATATTTCCTAGAAATGAACTTGAGTTAAATTTATGGGCAAGTAGAGTTGGAACTGGACCAGAAAGGCTATTATGAGAAACATTGAAGAAGTTTAGACTACTTAGATTGTTGAAGGAGGATGGAATTTCTCCACTGAGATTATTCAGTGACAAATCAAGCTGAGTAAGCTTTGTACTGTTTCCAATACTTTGAGGAATGTGGCCACTAAATTGGTTACTGCCCAAAACTAGAACAGAAAGATTACGCAAAGTGCCTAAAGCTTCTGGGATTTGATTGCCAAGGTGGTTGTTATCTACATTCATTAGAGTGAGTGAGGATACATTGGAGAGTGTGGTTGGCAAGCTTCCATTTAAGGCATTATTAGAAAAATCTATTGTCTTAAGCCTAGAAAGGCTTCCTATTTCATTTGGTATAGGTCCACTAAATTGGTTGTGACTAAGAGAAATCTCTCTGAGTTCGCTCAAGCTGCCCAAAGAAGAAGGAATGCTTCCAGTCAAGAAGTTGTGATCTAGGATTAGATTTTGAAGCCGAAAGAAGCGGTTCTTCAAGCTACCACCCCATGAGTTTGGAATAGAGCCTGAGAGATTATTGTGTTGAAGGGATAAGAAGGTGAGAGAAGATAAACTAGTTAGGCTGGTAGGTATTGGACCAGAGAGAGAGTTAAAGCTCAAGTTAAGCCAATAAAGCTTAGTGGCATTGCCAAGGGTATAAGGGATTACCCCTGTGAGCAAATTGTTACTGAGGTCTAAAGACTGAAGCAAAGGACAGGAACCTAATGAAGGAGGAATGGACCCTGTGAACCTATTGTTGAAGAGTTGAACCCCTCTTAGATTGATTAGAAGACCCAATGCTGAAGGGATTGAACCACCAATTTGGTTATCATGAAGACTAAGCTTTCTAAGCCCCTGAAGTTGGCCAATCCTCTCAGTGATGTGCCCCTTCAATCCCTTCCATGGAAGCTGGATTACAATAACCTGTCCTTGAGCACACTTGATCCCAACCCAACCTCCAGAACAAGCTCCATAGCCACTGTCATTCCAGCTTCTCAATAACCCTTTTGGATCAACCAACTCTTGCTTGAATGCTTGAAGTGCCAAGAAATTTGACTGTGTCACAACCACTCCATCCCAGCGCTCTTCACCCAACACTGGCAGCAGAAGAAACCACAAACACAAGATGCAGCAGAAAAACAACCCAAAATAATGACATGGGCCATGGTAAAAAACACATTTTGAAGTCAGGTACTTGTTCTCCATTACAACAAAAGATGAACAATGAAAGAAACAAGAAGTGGGCTTAAAACAGAAAAAGTAAAAGACTTTGGTGGGTGTTCTTCTCTCTAGTAGTAGTGTAAATGTCCATAAGAGTAGTGTAGAGAGAGAAGAGAGTGAAAATAAAACAGGAGGAACAAGAGTGTGATGAAGATTAAGTAAGAATGGGAAGAGTGAGAAGGAGCACGTGATGGGTTGAGGAATCTTTGTGTTGGGAAGAGAGAGGAAAAATGTCAGGTGGTACAAAGGCTTCTTAGTTTTCTTGCAAAGACAAACGGCTAGTTTTTGCTCACAACTATGCACTGTTTTTTGTTCTCTTCAATATTTTTGTTGCTGTACGCACCCCAATGTCCCAACGGCTACTTCTTCTTCTTCTTCGTCTCAACAGTGTAGGTCCATCCCATTCCTGCATTATTCATTTCCACACCACAAAATTACAAAATGCCTCCAAATCAGTCACTTACCCCTACAGTTATTGACATGGTTTCGTCTCAGTTGCGAGAAAAATGTTATATATATTATTTTTCCCTTGTATATTTTTTTCACTCAAGATGTAAGTATTTATAAAATATTTTCCTTATTTTGACGAGTGAATTCAATAGAGAGTCTTTGGTCCTTGCATCTTTGGAAAACTTAAAATCGACATTGCAGTAAAACTCGAATGTTTTACTCAGTTTTCAATGCTAAAACTCAAATGTTTTACTCAGTTTTCAATGCTAGTTTGAGGAAAGTGACAATTTCTTTTTGTTGAAAACAATTATTGCCAAAGATTTTTAAACACTCCCTGAATACTTTTTATATTTATTACTACTCTTAAATATTTATTATATTTTAAGTAATTTTTGTCTAAAACACTATTTTAAACAATAAAAATGTTTTACATGAAAAAAATTTAAAATTAAAGTGACACATCACGCATGGAAATGATAGTAAATTCTTCTGTATTTTTTTAAAAATTTATTAGTATTTAATTCTTTAACATTTTACAATGGTAAAAAATTAACATGTCATTACAAAAATAGTTACTAATTTTTTATCTCTTTAAACTATTAGAAATTAAATATCAATAAAATTTTTAAAAAATCTTAACCTCATTTATAAGCAATTAAAAGTAGATAATTTTTTTTAAAAATAATATATTTCTAATATAGATAATATGAAAGATAATAATATTAATTTTTTATATGCTTAAAATGAAGAGATTAACAAAATTATATTTTTATGAGAATCACTTTCAAAAAGGTTTTATTAACGTGTTAAATAAAATTTAGTTTTTTTAACATATACACAAAGGTAATAATATAAAATTAATAAATAATTTTATTATTAAATTATAATATTTAATATTATCAATACTTTGTGATGTTTAATTTTAATAAAAAAAATTAGCATACATAAATTAGTTCTGAACACACATTGCAAAAAATTAGTATCTATACTTTCCATTTTAAAACCAATTTTTTTAATATCGACTTAAAGACACATTAAAAAATTAAACAAAATTTATTATGTCTAAATCATAAAAAATATGCGTATATATATATATTATGATGATTTAAAACATTAGATAAAATGTATTTAATATTTTTTTGACATAACACATTAAAAATCATTTTAAAAATACAAATTTTATGAGAATATAAACTTATTTAAGTTATTGTTAATAATTTTTTAATATATATATTTAAAAGCACCCAATAAAAACTAATATATATAATTTATTTTTATTAAAAATCATTAATATTATATAATTTACTATAGTAAAAATAATAAATATTAAAAGATTTATTGTTTTTATTATGTGTATGTAGTAAGTGTTAGAAAAATAATATATATTTTTTGGTAAAAAAGAGAATATTTTGAAATAGAGGGTACGTTAGCATTGAAAAGAAAGGTCATTAATTGAGGTTTAAATGATGCGCCAATTTGGGGAAACGATGATGGGGAGGAGCTATTGGGGTATACGGAAGAGTTATCGTCATCATATTAATTCATGTTATCCATTGCCATTGGTCCACAACACGTTTGCAGAAACCACATTACGACACCTTCTGTACTTTGACACCACCGTCTTGTCGTTTCTTGTAAATGGAGAACAATGCCGTTCATCGCCCCTGTTTTCATGATCCACTCACAAAAAACTTTAATCGTTTATTATAAATTACAAAATTTAACATTTTAATAATAGTAGCTATTTTAAAATTTAATAAAAATATATTTTACTAATTTTTATTGTATGCCCTTAATACGTATTAAATTGTTGAACGCAACGCAATGTATTTAATTTAATGATTAGCGGCCATTTTTAAAATAACTTTATAGACACTGAGATAATGTTTTTAATTTATTAATTTTCAACTAAACTTTTAAGGTGAGAATATGATGTTTCCTGTTCAACACAAAAACTTCTGGCTTCAGCAGACTTTTACATTTATTTCGCGCTAGATCTCTTCAAAAATATTCATGTATTTTTATACATTCGCTCATGTTTTAAATCAAACGAGGGGATCCGGATCCATTTACCTCAAGGAGAAAACTAGGGACTCAAAGTTATGACACATTAAATGGAATATTTGATTTTAGTTCAGCCTTGTGTGAAGGCTAGTCCTCCCTACCTTGCTATGAGCCTGTGAAGAAATTTCTCATACAATGGAACCCAACCGATGTCCGCAGATTTACTGAAAGTCCAGTTTTAGCCCATTCCATTATTTAAGGCCCACGTTTTGGAAACTAAGCTACTGGTAGGAGATGCATTCAGCCTGAATCAGCCAGAAGACCATGCCTTGCCAAGTTATTACATCTAAGGTCGAATTGTTGACCTAAAACAAAATTGCCAGAATTTAATATAACGAAAATGTTGTTCAGTACTAAAACTCACTAAAAGTTACATTCGTACTACACTAGTCTTCCAAAAGTTTTCTTCCCCAATTAATCCTTCAATTTTTTTCACCACATTACTCGAGTCTTTAAAATAATTTTTTTAATCTTTTAAAAAATTTGATTTATGACTAATTAATTATTTAGTTTTCTATTACCATTTTTTAAAATTATCAAGAAGTTAATTTAATGACATTTTTAAGGGGCTAAAACAATTGACAATTTCTTTAAAATGAAGTACAATTTTAAAAATAATATTTGCTATTTTAAATGACTAAATTAAAGATTTATTCTTTATAATAATTAAATATCAAATATTTCAATACTTTCAGTTTTTCATACTTGCCAGCACAAGAAAAACAAGAGAGCAAAAGAAATTAATAGGTAACAAGACAAACTCTCATTAAATTGTGAGCTTGAAAACACGTTGAAAAACTTATAAACCTGAATTTAATGCAAAAATTACAACTGCCTAGTCATTCAAATGTAAATCCAAATGCTCACCAAACCTATTAACCCAAACTTGACTATTCCTTCTTACCTGCTTCTATTTAAAAAGCCCATTTCAGATACTAGTTGTTCTCCGTGCTTTCACCAGAAAGAGCAACGCTTTCATCACACTTCATGACTGGTGAAATACATTGCGGATCCTATTAAACTAGAAAATGGGCTTCATGCAATCATGCATTTGCACGGAGAAGAGACAAAAGTACTTCGAAGAAAATAAACATGTTTAGCGATAAAATTACGAGACTACCATTAAGCAGGAATTTTTTTCATGCTGTAGCAAGATTTAGAGCAGATTTAATAGATAATAAATAGAAGATGAAACTCATCATTTAGCAGGCTCTGCATACATTTCATCCCACAGTAAAGAGATCTTAAAAAAGTTATGTTACTAACATTTGTCGTCACGAGAAATTAATTGTTCTCGAGGACAGAACATACTCATAGATGTATCTTCCTCCTAAAGTGATAAATAAGGGCATCCCCATCCTTAATTTTATTAAAATACAACTTAACCTGTTTCGAAGTAAGAGTGAATTAAACGAACCAAATCCTACAATAGGGACAACTTTAAAATTTCAATATCTAAGCAATACATACTACAATGGTCCAACAGTGTCTTTAACAAAAAGAGTATGACAGTGCAATCCCATACAACACAAAAGATATGAATAAAAACTGCTCCTCAATAATTCTAGTTTAAATTTCTTGAAAGGCTTAGTAATAATTAGAGGTCTATGGACAAAATAAATAATGAAAACTCAAGGAATTGAGAACCAGCAATAGGAAAAGTCAAAACGAGAAGATGCCAACCATCAAAATCAAGCCAAACACCTTTATTATTAAACTGACATAATCACAAACTAAGATTATAGGACACATTACCCTATTTTATGAAGAAGGAAGAAGACGGCCAAAAACATGTCAATTTACAGGCTCTGCAATGCATGAATCGCATGATGTAATTCTGCAGGGTGTCAAATTTTGAATCTGAAGGCCCTACAACCCGATCTCCCATTCTCATGTAACATGACGTGGGTGGGTGGCTGCAGCGGCTGCAGTCAGGCTCAGGCCACAATCATACTTAAAACAAAACCACAGACCCCAAAACAAGTTACAGTCTTGGACTCTTTATTGACACTGTCACACAGGCAAGATGCAGGGACCCATTCCGTTTATGTTGGCATCACCAGAAATCTAAATTAAACTAGTCCAAGCTTATCAATCCCATGAATAAATTAAAGCACTGATAATCTATACACACATTACACAAAGGAAGCCACGTAAATTTCTTTGTTTATATGGATGTGTCAAAATCAAAACACATAAAATTCTATATTCTATTCCAAAAAATATTTAGAATTTCTTCCAACAATCGATAATCTTATCCTTCTGGCCAAAATTTACCTACATTACAATGAACATCATAGAAGGTTTCCAGAAACTTGAACGTGCTAGAACATCATATAACTTCGATTCACACAATAAAACAGGGCATGTTTTATAGGAATCTATCGTTTAATTGATGCGTCATTTTCTGAATTTCAAGTCCAATTCCAACAACAAAAACGGATCATATGCCATGAAGTAAAAATTGCACGCGCAAATCTAGCAAAAAATGACAAGCTACTTCAGAACCAAAATCAATGACTAAACTGCATTAATTGAGATTTCATGCCACAATAATCTCGTGGCGTAACAAAAAAAACTCAAAGAACTAAACCCTAAGCATTTGCTTTGGTTCTCATAAGCCAAAGAATCTCGTAACAATTTCAATTCAGCATAATACAACATGATAGGTCGAACCAACCTCAGAACAATCCACCGGACACATCGGCCATCCAGATCCATCCGTTTACACCCGCGCGACGGCCGGCGCGGCAGCAGAAGCGGCGGCACCGCCGAGGAACGAGAGGAATCCAGTACTGTTTGGCTCTTGATCGTCGAGAAACAGATCCTCCGGCACTCGAAATGCACCGTGCGCGCACACAATCGCCAAACCAATCATCAATGCAGAGATCAACAAGGATCCAACGCTGGTGAGGAAAACAACGAACACGGTGAGCACGACAAGGATCCCTAGGGTTTCGCGATCGGCGAAGGTGCGGCCAAAGAGAACAAGAGGCTGATCGGAAGGACGGAAAAGGTAGAGGAAGGACCAGGAAGCGAGGAGGCCAAAGAGAACAAGGAGCGAGAAAGGATGCGTGATGAGCGATACGGCAAGTGCGAAAGCGATTAGGGTTAGGTAGTTCACGCGGAAGTAGGAGATGTTCTTGCGGATCCGAGAGTAAGCTTCGGCCAGGGTTTCAGGTCGAGACATGGAGCTCCGGTCGATTAGTTCCGACCACGGGCGGCGCTGGGAGAAGCCGTGGCGGAGGGAGGAGGAGAGGCGCGAGATGAAGGCGCGGAAGGCCGGTGTAGCAATCGGCGGTTGTGATTGCGATGTGGCGCCGGCGGCGGTGGTGGATTGGGAAGTGGAAATGGGGAGTGTCGGTGCGGAAGCCATGGTGGCGCGTGAATCTCCAATTGCCGAGCGTACCTATGGAAAACCCAATAGAGAGGGAGAGGCAATGGAGATTCGTGGTTGGGCCTTTGGGGTTGGGAACAAAGAGGTATGCGCTGTGTCAGTATGTAGAAGTAATTGTTCTAAAATAACCTTTGCTATTTGCAGAAAGCGTAGTGCAAAAATAACGTAATAATGGGAAAGTTAAAATTTAAAAATAATTGACCATAATAATGTTAGATGCATAATAATTGAAGGATAGCCACTGGTTCCTTTTACTGGACAATATGGACTTGAAAATATCTATAAGCAGTTTAAAGTTGAGCATCACGGATTTGGACAAGCCTCTTGAGATAATTTAACCTCATCCAATAATTTCTTTTCTCTTCACTTTCATCCGATAATTTCTGCTTCGTGTCTACGACGCTCAAAATCGATTTTTATTATATTGACGTTGTTTATCACGGTTGATATGCTTGCACATGTAAATATCGCCTATGAATTTTATTCAAGTTTTTGTTCTTCTCACTGGAGTTTGGCCCATATTTCACTTCGGGAAATCGGGGTAAACTATTTTGACGTTACACGATGTTTTATGACGCGTAATACTTTTCCAAATTAAAAAAAATGATTTTTTTTATTAAATTGACATCTCATATAAACATAACAATACTTTTTATAAATGAATAATAAAATTTAAAGGGGTAGAATGATATTAATATAACGAATTTCTCACAAATTGATACTATTCAGAAGCATTATATAAAGCATTGAGGTATAGTTTATTTTGGGTTGGTTCAGTAGCCCAGCGTAGCACAACAATCGAGCCAGATCGACTAAAGCCCAAATCATGCTGAAGCTAACGCATTGTATATTTAATATGCTGTTGTGATAAGCAAGCAGGCTTGGTTGGTTTCCCTTTGGGGACCTTTATTCTCATACAAAAGAAAGCTTCAACTGACCGAAACAAAGGGTCCAACTTGGGGCACATTTATCATGATGTGATGGTAGCAGTCCATCTTCTGTAATCCAAAACTCGTTATTTTACAAAACCTCGCATTCTTTTCCCATTCCCCTGTCCCCTCTTCCATGAACTAAAAAATCAAAGCAAAAAATAAAAAAAATAAAATAAAAATTACAAGTCATGAAGTGATTCTATAATATTTTGACACAGGATAGCAATCATTACAAATACACAAAGTTACGTGCTAGACTTTATTATTGATGTAACATTTATCTTATGTAAATTTAAATTATTGATATAAACATTCCGAGTCTAGATTAATAATATGATATGTCATATTAGTATGTAGGATATAAATTTAAATTTTTTTATTCTAATATTAGTATATAGGATATTAATTAATATAATGCATTCATTTTTCAAGTAGATTCACAAAATTTATGTTAATAATTTTAATTTCATAAAATATTTATAAAAGCAATATTAACATCTCACAATTTTTATAAAATAAAATATTTAATATTACTCTATTTCAGTTATTATGCATTTTAACTTCATGTAGATTGCAACCATATCATTGCTAATCCTTAAAGGAAAAAAAATGTTTGAATCCCAATTAATTATTTGAGTTTAGAGTGTAAGAAATATTTGTATAAAAATATTTTTGGATAACAACTCGATCAGTTAAGCGTTTATTTAAATTTAATTGTGAAATTTATTAACATAAATTAAAAAAACTTATATTATGTTATATATATAATATTAAAATAAGTTTAAAATATTTATGAAAATTATAAAATATTTTCATAAACTTTTTAAAATATTTTTTAAATCAAAATTTAAAAAAGTTTAATTAATTTTTAATAGGTAATAGCCATAAAAGTTGAATAAGTATTGATCATATAATTTGTAATGTTAGTTTAACTATAAAACTTATTAAAGTTAATTAAAAATGATGTATTTAAATAAGTTAAAAAACTATAAACTATCTGTACATTCTTCCATATAATTCTTAAAAACACCAAAACATGCACACACCTGATGTTTAGTTATGATTGAAGAAGCATATCACAAAGACTACTTATGTGTAACACTGGTAGATCGATCTTGCATAAAATTAAAATTGCTTTTTTAGATAATCACGATACTATCATAATTTTAAGCAAAAATAAAAGGTTAGTCAATGTTGGGTGCATCTAATGCAAAACGGAAAAATGACAAAATATTATCCGATTATGTAGTGTAGGAGTTTTTTCCCATTTGGTTTACGTGCAAGCGACGCGAGTTTCTCGCTATTTTCGCAAGATTTTTTGAATAAGTAATTTTATTATATTATTTATATTTTACTACTTAAAAAAAAAAAACCCAAGTACTACAAAAGCACATTTTATAATTTTTTAACTATACATTTGTGTTTCTCAATAAAGGTTTTTTTATTAAATAGAAAAACTGTAAACGTTACTCTTTGCAAATATTATTTGAAATGCATGCAAAAACTTTTGTTTTAAAATCTCTCTCAAAAAGCCTCACATTAAAAAAAGTTTAAAGAAAAACTAATCTAAACCCACTCAATGCCCAAATTTGTTAATGTTAATATGCCAATGTGCCTAGACCATATATAGCCAGGAATCGTAACAAAGTAGTTCCTTGTGTATACAACAATTACACCTTTACCTTTTCTACCAAATTTTTTTATATATTTTCAAAGTGGAATATATTCACATATTATTAGGTTTACGTTGAAACAAGGTTGCATTAAGCTGCAAAGCAGAAATCGACGCATTTATGATAGGTTACTTGCTTTGTTGAGAAACAGAAGTCAACAACTTGGAGCATCTTTTTAACCTAACTTGCCGCAATAAAGTGCCGAGGCAAGTTATTTCAGAGTATGTTGAAGAATCAGGACTAAATAAGAGTTTAACTTTTGATTATTTTGTATGTAACTTTTTCACACATTTTTTAATGTTAATATATAGGTTGTGTAGACAATGGATAATTGGATATATTCATTGTACATCTGTAGAAAAGACTTACAGTAGTGAATAAGATAAATATCTATTTAACAAAGTTGAGTTTAGAAATATGATGAGTACGGGTATGAATATAACTACTATAGTGCTTATAAATATTTATTTACACTAATGTATATAAAATAAAAATATATAAATACATATATTGTAAGCTTATATATAATTAAAATAAAAGTTTTTATAAACAATTTTAATATAATTTGTACATATATTAGTTTACAATTTGATATTTTATTTAGCTTTAGATAAATTATTTTATATTTTATTTGAGTATTTCTAAAAACACTCTTTATTTTATAATAATATTTATATGTTATTAGTTTATAAAATTATTAAAAATATATATATTTTAACAAAACGTGAGTAAAGAGTACAGAAATAAAAATTTGAATACTCAGTAAATATGAAAATGTGAATCAAAATTATTATTAAAGGAACATAAAAACGGGTACATGTATTTTTAAAACACAAATATGAAGATGGAATTATAGTATCTTATGTAAATTCTACACATTATCATCTCTAAATTTGTTTAAAAGGGTTGGGAAGGATTTATAAAACATTTTCTATGAACTTTCTCAAGCAACCGACATAATTAAGAATTCGATGCTACATTTGTGTGTTTATTTACTCATTAGGCACTCGTTAATAAATAAATAAATCTCTTAAGGTAATTATAATCAAATAAAATGCCTGCACATAATTAAATTATAACATAAATTAAGTTAAAATATTAACAGTAAATTAAAAGTTCATTAAATTGATTAACAAAAAGAGTAAGCACGATCATTCATCACGGTCCATTCTTTATTTCCTTTCAAATGGGTTGAATTGCGTATCCAAGTGAGATGACAAAATTTTAAGTTATATTCCCAACAGTCAGACTTATGGTTCATATATTCCCTTATCAAACAGAATATGACTTGCTTTTTTTCCCATAAAAAATGCGTTATATACATGATTGGAAATAGTGTACTATATATTTTCCCTAATTTTCTTTCCTCCTCCAGTAAAATACTCTCTCTATGCATTATAAATTAATACGAAAGATAATTGGTTTTGTAAAGTTTTGCGTAGTGACCGCTGCATAATGTTGATATATTTCATCTTTTAATCAAAATTAATTGTATAAAATGGTTATCTTGATTTGATGTCGGTATCCATGTCATCGATGATCATTAATCTTTCCTCTTGATAGTCGTTCCTTATCTCTATGGCCAATTAACATGTGAAAAGGGAAAATTTTTAACAATATGAGCAACTTGCGAGTTTGAACTAATAGTAATAAACATTTCATTGCACACGAATCTGCGATTGAACTAAATATTTTTTTTCCCTAGGTAATGGACTATCTATATTCGTTAGATAAGCACTATCTACGTAAATTAGCTATGATTTTCACGCATGTGGGGGTGAAGAATCGAATGTCCTTATAAATAAAAGATGCCATTGCCCGTAACGTGCCTCGTAGAACAATATATGTAAATTTATGATTGATCTTCCTTTATTTTATCTTATTTTATTTTTCTAATCTTTGTTGAAAGAGAAAATTTTCGCATCGATTATATTAGAACAGATATTTTCATTATTGAGACAACATTTTGCTAAAAAAAAAAAGCTCTACTGTTACCTACTATTTCTCTTTCTCCTCTTCTGTTACTATTCCTAATACCGTGTAATGTAACGTTAATAGTAAGACAAATAAAAAAAAAATATAAAATTACCTTCGTTTTGTCTTTACAAAGTCGTTTTCCATTATTTTCATTTTTTTCGTGCAAAACTAATAATTTATGCATGCATTTATTAGAAAAATAGTTTTAAAAAAACGATAAATTAATGAGTAATTGAATATGGTCTAAGAATACGTTTGGCTCACAGTTTAACTGAATCTTTATTTTATAATTTTTGCACAATTTGAAATATAACCTGAATTTAATATTAAAATACATCGGATATAATTTCTAAAATTCAAACTTATCAAACAACGAAACAAGTATTGAATAGTCATGATCGTAGTCATGCTAAAACCATGCATTTTAGACAACTAGCACGCACACGATGGAAATCATGAACACAAAAAATAAGTTTATCTTCGACGTACAAATAATCTATCTTTGCTTCTTCAAGGTGCTAATCGTTGTACTAACATGCACTACTTTTGACTTTCTTGGCCAACCAGAATCTTTGCTTTGCATCCATTAAATGGAGAACCCTCCAATACATGAAGCCCCACAGGATAGCATCCATAGAGAGAGTCTGAGTAATTAACTAGCTTGGTTACTCCCATATGGCTAATTGCAGAGTTCTTGATGTGTTTTCCTGGATTCAAAAACTTCCATCAATCTCAGAATGGAAAACAAGTTCCATCTCCCTCACCCTATGTTCTGTAAACTCATCTCAACCATCACTTAATCTTACAATAGCGAAAAATCATCATCCCTCAAAACTCACCCTTTCCATGGTCGCAGACTTTAATATCCCTATCACTCTTTGGACCTCAAAACCCTTCAAACCTAGCACTAGAACCATGAAGTTAACAGATGAAGAAACCATTTCCAATCTCCTTGTTAACTTCATAGAAGATATCCTTCATTATGGCTCAAACAAGAACAGTCCCTTTATCAAGTTCCCAAGACTTGATTCTATTTCCAACTTCTCAGACATTTTCAACCTTGCTTTCCTCACTCTCTTGTTCTTAGTTTGCATATATGAAGCCCCTTCAGATCTCCGTTCTGGTTGTCTTATTACTATAAAAAATCACTTGGCTGGGTGTCAATCAAGACAAGCATCAAAATTGCTGATGAAACTCTTGGGTTCTAACTTGGAAGAGCAGTGGATGCGTTCTGTGAACCTTGCAATTACAAATTGGATTGTGGAACTCCATGAAGCACATCACAGCACCTTCAGAACACCATCTCCTCTATTTTCTTATGCTTTCTCAACATTTGGGTTATGGAAAGTTCAATTGTATTGTCCTGTCATAAACATGGATCTTGTCAATGCGAACAACCATCCAGCTGATGAGAGACTTCAATTCTCTCTCAAATATCAACAACTTGAAGGCGTTCTTCAATTCAATTACAAAGTCATAATCAAAGAGAAGTGGGTCGAAATCGTGGTGAACATTGACAACATAAGGTAATCAATAATATTATCCAATTAAAAGAGAATAATTATTTATAAGACCAATTAAGCATCTTAAGCGAAGGAAAAAAAATAGTCGATCATCAGCATATATGCAGGTAGTTAATAGAAATTTAGGGAGAGAGAAAAAAGAAGGTAACTATCATTTGCTTAATTTTTTGTTCGCCATTATAATTTAATAAATTAACATGTGTGGCTTTCTCTAATTAAATTGTTTTAAATATCTTGGATGGAATTAAATCACTTGTTTTCATATGTTCTCTTTCTTGTAAAAAAATCAATTTCATTAAAATTAGTCTATTAGACTAATTTTAACTATATCAAAGCAATAATTTTTATTTAAAATATATTATATTTTTTTATAAATTAAAAGCTATTTTATTAATAAAATTATTGTTTTTAAATACTTAAAATGATTCCTAAAAGTTAACGTTCATAGTTTTCTAAAAGATAATTCTTTAACAAAAAATTAACAAGAGAGAGAGAGAGAGAGAACCATGATATTTTTCAAGCAAAGGAAATAATTTTTGTAATAGATAAAAATTATAAAAATATGACAGATCTTAACTATCCCTTATATGGGGAATAGATCCTCTCATGTGATAATGGGACACCATCAATTATATTGATCTTACCATTTATTTATTTGACATTTTGTTTTTCAAACAAAATATATTGTATTAAATGTTCATTTGATAAATAGGCTAAGATAAAAAAAATCGATATAAGATTTGGATAAAAATACAATATGATAAGAGTAAAATATATTTTTATTTTATTTTTATATTATGAAATAAATTAAATATATTATGCTATTACATCTTGTTGATTTCTAACACGTTTTTTTTTATATAAAAAATTATAGTAAAAATAAATTTTTTATTATGTTGATTAAATAAAAATAAAATATAACAAGAGAAAATTTCTTATTCAATTGTCTAAACATGTTTACCAAATAAATCCTAATAATACATATTGAAAGGGCTAGATCTCATGTAATAACAAAGTCATTGCAGAGAATCTATAAACATGCATGGATGTGAAATTTTTATACCACCAAAGATGTTATTAGTTGAATGAATATGGCTTCTCAACTTTTTATTATATTTATGTATGTATGTGGAACTGATTTTTATTCTTATTCTTTAAATGTCATGTTCAATTAATTTACTATTTACATTTCTGTGGAAAGGTGTGATGTTTTCAAACTGGTAGATGACACTCTTATGAGAGAACGAGGGGCTGGGGCAGCCGAAAAACATTTTCCATCAAGAATATCATTGCAACTTACCCCTACGCTTCAACATCAAGTGTTGAGCGTATCTGTTGGGAAATCCTCAGAGAACCCACGAATAGAGATTGGCGTGGAGAAAAGTATAGAAGCTTCATTTGAGCCACCAAACCCCTATTTGGGACTTAACGTTTCAGCTGGAGAGTCCACAACCGTGAGTTTAAAGCCTTGGAAATTTGAGGAATCTGTTTATGGGTACAGTGCGAATTTGAATTGGCTTCTTCATGATAGCATGGATGGCAAGGAAGTGTTCTCGTCAAAGCCTTCAAAGGTTGCATTGTTTAACCCAAAGTCATGGTTTAGGGATAGGTACTCTAGTGCTTATCGACCTTTTACTAGGCAAGGAGGGGTTATTTTTGCACGTGATGAATATGGAGAAAGTGTGTGTTGGAAAGTAGATAAAGGCGCTATGGGGAAGACAATGGAGTGGGAGATAAGTGGTTGGATGTGGTTAACATATTGGCCTAACAAGTACAAGACATTCTACCATGAAACTAGGAGGCTCGAGTTCAGGGAAACAGTCCACCTCAAAATTGCTTAGCTTAAGGGTGACGCGAATTAGTATCAGCTCTTATTTGGACGATAAAAATGAATCTATCTTGAAAAGTGATCGTAATTGTAAAGAAAATAATAATGGAATGAAATAAATGGTTTGTTTTATTTTTATCGCCTCCAATTCAGAATCACTTGTGTGCATTGATTCTCACACATGAATGTAATATTTTAAAAGTTATTTCAAGAGTTAAATTTACTTGAAACTAAGTTGGATCAATCATGGGGTAGGGTAAAATTAAACTATTATAATGAAAAAATAATACGAAAAATGATAATTTCTATTACAATTTATTGAAAAATAATCATAATTCTCAAGGCAAAAAACACAGCTTGAAACTAAATAGGATTATATACCTTAAATTTGTAAAACAAATGGATATAAAATTTATTCACATGTGATTTTAACACGAAAAATTTCGTTTAACCGAAAAAATAGACAGAAAATTGAAAATACACACTTCAGAAAGTTTCAAATTAAAGCAGTGTAGTACATTTAAAATTTAATTTTTATTTTTAAGTTTAAAGATCAAAATAGTATGACATTAGTTACATACGGTGAATTAGATTTTTCTAACTATATTAAAGCACCTAAGATTTTTTAATACATAATTATTTAATAAATTGAACATTTATCACATCATTTGAATAAAGTGTAATTACAAAATAATGGTGTAAATTAATTTTACAAACATTGATATTATAAATACTTTTAAAAATATAACAAAATTAAGTTTTAACCTAAAAGTTATATTTTATAATGTTGAAATAAATGCGTATTTAAGTAAATTTACGTAAAATCAAACTAGCGAGGCTTGGAATTTTGCAACTTAAAAAATAACTCGTATAATCATATTTGAAATTATCGAAAAAAAAAAGTACAGTTCAGCACTTGAGCTACCATGTGGTTCCACGTGGCTGTGTGCATATGAGAAAGAAGCTACGGCGTCGCATAGGAGAAATAATATTCGACAACCATCAGAAATCGACGTAAGAGAAGGCACCAGAGTGGTTCATTACAACAGGGCGCATGTTAGCGAATCTGAAAGTGGAACGAAGAACATTTCGAAGCATCGAAACCAATATACGTTTATAGATAACAACTTGGCATTTCTTCTCCATACGATTTACGCATTATGTTCTTCCACTCTCTGCAAATTCCGATTCCTTCCATGGATTACTCCGCTGCCATTCGATCCTTTCACTGCATCTCTCCCTCTCTCTCTGTATTTGGGTGTGTATTGTGAATAATGAACGCATTTGGCTGAAACATAACGTTTGCAATAAACTCAAAACATAATTGTAGCTCTGCTTCTGTTTGTGATATCTGATCTCTCTCTGTTGCTGAAACTGTCGTATTTTTTGGAGAAACGTACAAGTGTGACGGTTTTTGCAACTTCATTTGCTCTAAGGCGTAACTCAGATTTGCATTTATGCTCTTCCACGGTGTATATACTCCCTTCGCATTTTTATATCTGTCAACCTATGAATGTAATTATTATCTTCATTTTCTGTAATGCTTTTTTCAATTTGTACAAGCCTTTGAAATGTTTCTTTCCTTTGTAACTAATTGACTAGTTGCCTTATATCCTGTTTGTTTTGCTTGGGAAAATCACATTTCAGGTCATGGAAGTTTTATCAGCAACATGTTTGTTTCGTTAAAATTTTGGGTTTTCTAAATCTGCTAGTAGAGTTTATTTAAACAAATGACGTTAATGAATTTTTTTATATGTTTTTAAATAGGGGGGATTGATTCTAGGTGTGAGATTCATTTTTTTAAAAAGTATTCCTACATTTATACTTTAAAAGTGATTTTGTTTTATCATAAAAAACTCTTCTAAAGTATCTTGCTTGAGTGATTGTTGTTGCCATAATGTACAGAATTTAAATTATCATTCTATATTGAAAACCATTGCGAACTGAATGCTTCGTATTACTTTTTGACTTCAGGTCCCACCGGCACTATGTCTCAAATGCAATCCTCACTTCAGAAGGCAGGTATAATTCCCAACCCCTGTGTTGGATGGAACTCTCAAAGTAGGCTTTTCATCCAGAACTTGGTAATTGGTGAGAAGCACATTAATTCTCGCAACAACTGGAAGCAAACATTTGATTCATGTGCAAAAGCAACTGAAGCTGTGGACAGCCCCAAGTCTGAGGGTGGGTTGTTTTGATTTTGAAATGACTTATGTACTTCTGTTTTTATTCTTTGAGGTGGATGGTTGAATGAGGTAATGCTTATTCTTTATTCTTGTTATTTTATTTCTGATATTTATAACAGTTGTTTTATTTAAAATTTTGAAATACATTAATCATTGTAAAAGTTTTTGGTCAGCAGGTTCATATTTGTATGCATGTAATCCAATATTATATTCCCCTCTTTATTTATTACTTATTAGGAAGAAAATGATACGAGAAAGTGTTTTCCCTCACTATTCTTATCAAATTTGAAAATTTAACTTCTGTTAATATTGGCGATCAATATGATCATGTTAGAATGATAAAGAGTTGACTTATAAAAGTACGTATCATTTCTTCTTGTTTCTTTTCTTTTCTTTTTCTCAGAGTAGTGATATTATTATTTGGATGCTTAAAATTATGCAACAATTCTACTTTTGTTGCTGGTGAAGATTATTATGACAATTGAGAAATGTTGTTCGGAGTTTACATGTTATAACTTTGAAGAAGTTGGCTGTCAAGTGTAAATTTTTCACCTAGAATTCTTATTTCTTAAAACCTGATAACTATGTTATGATGTTGCAGCTTCTTTGGATAGAAAACCTTTGCAAACTACTACGTTTGCCAATGGATTTGAGGTCTATAGCAATCCTTCCTTTTTTTTTTCCCTGAAACTTATTAGTGTTTTTTATATTTGATAAATGATACACTTTGGTGTTAATTAGCAATTGTAATATATACATACGTACGTACATACATATATATATATAGTGTGTGTGTGAGAGAGAGAGAGAGATCAAATTGTTCAATGTAAGCGGTTAGAGGGAATTAAGATAAGATATTTTCTACTTAAAATTATTGCCTTTTGTTTAAGACTGTTAAGATGTCCCGGGCTCCCAGCTAGGAATATGGCCACAAAATTTTTAACAAGACTTGTACAATTCTCCTCTTTTAAACAAAACTTTGAGATATAAGTCTAGTCCATTTCTAATATGTACTACCGTTATTCAATTTTAATGTTGAATCTCCTCTTTTGAAAATTTCTTTGACTTGGAAAATGACCGGTTTGCTTATGATTAGGCTCTGGTGTCAGAGGTATGCGATGAGACTCAAATTGCCGAACCGAGAGTAAAGGTGACCTTCTACTAGTCTATGGCTTTTTGCTTTCTTAGAATTTGGATTACACTTTAAGTATAATTCACAAGATAAAAAGATACTTCAGTGTATGCTTATAAGCTATATGGTTTCAACGTCTCCTTTTAATTTGTATATTTGGTTAGTTTCAACTGAAAATATGCAATCTTATGACTTTTATTTCAAAAATGTTGTTTGCTAGATGTACGTAGCTCCCTACTTTGCTGTGTGACGAAATTTAGTGAATGCAATAATTGTTTTTTTTTCTAAATATACTTCATAGCAAATGATAGTGCTGCTTTTGTCCAGTTTAGCACATTGTAATTCAAGATTGAGATAGTGGTTCTTTAGTGCCTCACATCATACCTGAATATGTTATTTTTCTTTTCCTTTGTTCATGAATATTGTATTTTTCATAAATTTGTAGTTAAATATTTTATACAACATTGTATGAAACAACTTAGATCTAACATCTTTTATCTGTACCTGGTTCACCAAAGGAAACGTGATTTCAGCTTGTTGAATATGGTGCAGATTTTGTGAGTGACCTTATTTGACTTCTGTTGTGATAGGTTGGAGAGTTTGAGATGCATCTGAAGCGAAACATTGGAGCAACAAAAGCCCCTCTGTCTTACATTTCACCAACTACATCACCTCTTGTTCCAACTAAACCGATGGTTGAGTCAGTGCCTTCTATCCCACCTCCTTCCCCACCAAAATCATCTCCAGAATAGACCAATTCATTGTTAAATGTTTCCATAGAGAAGTCATCAAAATTGGCAGCATTAGCGGCTTCTGGTACCAATAACTATGTCTTAGTATCATCTCCTACGGTATGGCACATGTAAATATACTTTGAGCTTTACTTTCACTCTTTCGCTATCTTTGACTTGCGCTATGTAGGGTTTGCAATCAATTTTTTCTCTTTCTCTGTTTCCAGGTTGGTTCATTCCGAAGAGGTAGAATAGTGAAAGGGAAATGGCAACCTCCAATATGTAAAGAGGTACATGGTGTTTCTAAGTCATCAGCTTGTTATGACCTCGATCACTTAATTCAATTTCTTAGTAAGCACTGGTTATGTTTGTTCATATCCATAAAATTAATAAATATTCTAAATGAAAGAAAATATTTATAATAATAAAATAAAACAAATAGTGTTCTTTATTATAGCATTTTACATCTATTCTTTTAATATGAATATTCATTGATTATTGTTGAAATGAACAAAAACAACAGTAACTTTATTATGAATTAAACAATTTTTATGTATTTTTTAAAATAGTTTTACTTTCAAATATACAGAATCATTAAAAGAAAACAAACTCTTTGAAGTGTTTACAATTTGATGAATTTGCATCTGCATTTTACCTTGATTCCCACATCCACAATATATGATTAAGGACATGGCCACTTGAAGGAGTGCCTAATTCCTTTTATGTCTTATCCTTCAGATGCTCTGTCAATTTGTTTGTGGATCTCACTTTCATTGGGTAACTACAAATCACTTTCTTCATTTTTATTTTCTATTTCATTTGTAGCATTTTTGAATAAACTCAATTGTCTGTTTTAAATTTTAAAATCGACAGGGTGATCTAATAAAAGGAGGACAAGTTATAGGGTATTTGGATCAGTTTGGCACTTCACTTCCTGTTAAGGTGATCTTTCCCTTTTCTTTAATTGTGGGTCCATAAATATCTACTTCTCCTTACTGGTTTTATTTTGAAATCTTGCACACAGAAGTGGCTGGAGAAGTGTTGAAGCTACTGTTTCAGGATGGAGGTATAATGTCTGATGTTCCATTAACAAATTCATCGATTTGTTGTACCCAAAAAAATGCATCAAATTGTTTGATATGAGATTAAAGATATAATGGCTTCTTAAATATGAGTGGTAGAGTGTATTATGTATCACTGTATCTTACATGCTAGTGTGAAATTTGGGTGTACGGTGTACTAAATTCCTAAGCTCCACTCATTGGATGTCTGTTCCTTGCACATGTTTTGTTAAAGTATGATAAGTCACAGGATCTTGAAGATTAATGGGGTTCATTATAATTTACAGTATATGGCTACTGGTGGTACAAGTTTTCATGGATTTTCTAGTTTGTGACTAATAGGAATAAGTTCTTCAATGCTGTGTTGATTAATTTCTCTGTTATTCTGTGTGAGCATGGTTCTCTGATTTTCTGAAACCTGTGAATTTGCAATAGTTACTGCTCACTTCCAAGACTCGAGCAATAAGCAATATTATGAATTTTCATCTTATTATGGCACTTTGATGAATGGCAATTCATACTTATTGTTCTGCTACTCTAATCGATAGGTCAGTTTGGGAACATACATATCTATGATGAATATCTCACTGTTTTTTCCGTTTACTATTCACAGAACCTGTTGGTTATGGAGACCCTCTTATTGCTGTCTTACCGTCATTCCAGAATATCAAGTGAGCTAGCCATCCTATTGTTGATGATTAGTCCTGCTGCATGGATTTGTGGGGGAGCTGAGATGCAAATTTGATTTATAGTCCAATCATTCTTTGTGTTCTGCAGTAAATAGCTTAAAGGTTGTCAGAAAGTTTTTAGTACTAGAGTCAGAAATAATGATTTGTGCTTATGTATTGGGTAAGGGTCCTTTGAAGACCATATTTGGTATACTAGTTACATAATGTATTAGATTAACTATTTCAAGATCACTTTATTATTTATTATAGAAGAGTGGCAAGTCAAAGGCCATTTCAAAAGTACCATTTCTATTGGTAAAAGAATGGCAGCACTAGTTGCCAGAGTTTGGTTGCTTTGCTTGTTCCTTTTATTGTAAATTAAATATTGGAGTTTTGAACCAGAATTGAAACAATATGCTTACGTTGCTTTTTGCTAGCATTTATAGAAAAGAAAATTACGTTTGTTTTTGCTTAAAAAATGTACTCAGCTTCTATGATGCGGACAGAATGATGTAGGATCACAGTGATCAGGTACATGCAACTAGAGCTAATATGCGTATTCGCACCGATCACCAATCCAATTCTTCATTACCCCTATCATTATCGGAATTACTTGATCCAACAATGTCTGATTTTGAAAAAAAATGTATATTTTATCAGGGACTGTAAAAGGAAAATGATAAACATATTTCATGAATAAATCATTGTCAACAAGAGTATTATGCATCAGCATTCATTTATTCTTATAAAAATAATTCATGAATAAACAATTGTCAGCAAGCGTATTTTGCATCAACATTCTGCCTTTTTTTGATCCAGCTCTTCACTCTTTCTTTGAGCCAGCATCTCTTTAACTTTGTGCAAGGCATGTTCAAGGTTCTCCAGCTGCATATTTGGCATAACTTGATGAGTCTACCGTTATTTACTTGTTTTAAATTTATAGTTTCAATATTTTCAGTACAGTGAATGATTGTTTTTTCCCTATAACAATTAAGTAGACAGTTTTGAATACTATATTTTGGGAAACAGTAATCTGGATTGCAGTTCCATACCTCTTGGACAGCGAATCTATTATGTATGAATAATCCACAATACAAGTCAAAGCTATCCCTAGTGGTGGTGTCCTTCTGCAATAAGTTGTAATATGTCAATGAATTCCATATTTGATTATACCAAGCCTGGTTGGGAACAAAAACATGAAAGGAAAGCTTTTGGAGGAAGAACGGGGAAAATTTGTAAACAAAATGATTGAAGATATACCAATTGCACAAGTGTCTGAAAGCCCTTTGTGTCAATAGGTGTGGACTTAATATCCATTTCTGCCAATGTCCTGATAAAAAAGAAGCCCAAGTTACTTGTACCTAGTGAGCATGTATATCACTGTATGTTTTAATCTATGGTTGATTAGATGTGTAGAATGATGTATACCTGCCTATAGTGTGTGCGATAAATTGACTCTTGGAAGCTACTTTATCATGTTCCTCACAGGACATCTGTAGCATTCTACAACCCTGTTAAAAAAAAGCAGGGTGAAATGGAGAATCAATCACCTTGGATAGTGTAAGACAGTCACCAAGAATTCCTTCGTGCTTGTTTGGGAATCCAAGCAATATTATTCCGAAGTTGGAGGAAGATATTGTTAAAAACTAGCGTAAAGAGTAAGCCTATATTTTCAATCATGCCTATGCTATAACATTAATGACCTTTTCCTTGTGCCACGTTCCTAACCTATTAGTTGTTCTGAATTGTGATTACTGCACTCAAAGATTTCAGCATATAACTAATGTTATGTTGATACTTTATTATTTCGTTCTTCATTGGCTGCACCATTAGTTGGAAAGCTTTTGTGATTTATGGCATCTGAGTATCTGACTGAGGAAATTAACCTACCTCACTTCTAAAAATGTGAAGGAAGTTAGAGCAGAGAGCTTCATCTCGGATCCGAACTTCATCATACATGAAAGTTAGATCTTTCCACCCATTCTTCCCACTCTCTGGTCCAAACATTGGGTGGGTGCAGAGTATGTCCGATTCCTCTGGCAATACCTGTTATCAAAACATTATTACAATTATCGATTTTTTTAGTGCGTGTTAAAAAAAATATTAAACATGCTTTATTAAATACTTTAAATTACCATAAAAAGTATGCATAAAATATTTTTTATAATTTTGAGGTAATAAATATTCTTATTTTCAATAAAAAATTCTATTTTTAACTTTTAAAAAGGTGATACATTAAGAAAGAACTGTAAAATACATCACCCTACCGTTAGTTTATTTCACCTATATATTTCCATCATCAATTCATTTTATAGAACTTAAGTATTATGTCTAGCACTCTTACACGTGACTTCCTCCATCCATGAGTTAAAAAAATTGTTCTCACCAAGACAAACACACATTGAGAAGGAAACAAAACTAGAGGGATCATCCAAATGAAGCAAGTCAAAAATTGAAGTACCCGAAGTAATTCATCTCTTGGGTGCTCTTTAACCGAGAGGACATCAACAAAGAGTGTTGGTCGCTTGAGACGAGTAAGTGGCATAGAGCTGAGAACCTGGGAGAGAGACAAGATCGACGTGCATAGTAGTATGACATCGTTGTCCGCCTCAACGAATGCAACAACATCGCTGCAGTGTGACACATACACACAAAATGATACAATATGAACATAATGAAGGTTGTTAGCCTTGGTGATTTACAAATTAAATTAATTTCAAGCAATTTATGATGATATAATTTACCTGAAGAATTGGATGCCCAGTTGAGAGCAGATGTGGGAGTAATCGGTACGAGAAGTTGCCCGTAGAGTGTGCCCTTGTTTGATCATTGTCTTAGCCAAAAATTGCCCGAAAGAACCAAGCCCAACAATGCCAATTTTCAGAGAGGATGATGAACAAGGTGACATGATTGGGTGACTTTGTTTACTTCTGTTATTTCAGTAACGTCGTACCACAACTGAGAAATAAGGATCGAAGTCCAGTAAAACCTCGTTATATTTATTCCGACAAAATATGTCTCCAACAAAAGACGTTTAAAAATATATATATATTTTTAAAAAACAAATTCATAACTACTAAAGATTCAAATTTAAATTATACATAATGATTCGGAATTTTAATATTAAATAAAGTAAATCTGAGGCCTAAATCGAATGATTAGTAAGTACCATTACTGTATTAGACGGTCACCGACTACGAGAAGATGAGGACGAAGCGAAAATGCTGAAAATGACGTGTAACCTTGTGTGCAACGATCCCGGTCCAGGTCCAGGCCCATAAACGCAATCTAAAAACCGTGGGCTATACACGGATGTCACGTGCGTAACAACACGCTCAATTCCATGTCGTTTTGGCTACCACTTGCCCCTATAAATACCGACGCACAGGGTTGCAGATAAGCATCAAGTTTGGACACTTTACCACTTTATTCGTCGTCAGTGTTTTCATCCTTATCCTGTGACATGGAAGTGATTTCCGGTACTAGGTCTTCTTCATCGTCCTCGTCGAGGTTGAATCCCGATGCTCCGATGTTCGTGCCGCTCGCTTATCGGACAGTGGAGGATTTCTCGGACGAATGGTGGGCCCTTGTTCACACCTCTCCGTGGTTTCGCGATTACTGGCTCCGCGAGTGTTTTCAAGATCCCCAATACCAAAACGACACTTACGATTTCGAGTTGGACGAAGATACCCTCTTCCATCTCCACCAACTAGAACATCCTCGTAACTTATTTTCTATTCCTTTCACTTAGTCTGATTTATATATTTTATTTTTCAATTTAATTTTTTTGATGGATGGATCATGGATGGATGTAGATCATGAAGAAGTCGGAAGGGAAGGGAAGGAGTTGGTGTCGTTGGGAGTGCTGAAGTGGCGTTCATGTGGGGATTGGGCCCAAGTGCCGAGGTATGCAGAAAAGGCTCCCAAGCTTGTCAAGCCCAAGGTGAGCCCACGGGCTATTCATCAGCCCAGGTAGACGATACGCGTCGGTGGGTTAGGTGCCGTTTATGTACATACATAAAAAGTGTGATGCGCTGCGCCTCCAGAGCTTTCTTCACATTTCTTGTTTCGATTTTCAAGCGTTGCTTTTGTTCTATATTATAAACTCAATTTCTTTAACAATGACAATTTCTCTCCTTCTGTAAGCGTTACAGATCTCATTATCTGCAAGGTCTTAAGTTCATTTTTTATTTATTTATTCAAGATGTGAGGTTTCGCAAAGAGATAACCAAAGCGCCAAATCCACAACTTCTGTAAATAATTAACATTTTTCTTCTGATGAGTGACTGTCCTTAAGCCGAATTAATTGACAATTATCTGAGTGAAAATTGGTGAAGTGCTCTTTTAACTTCCAGGCAGATCGGGATCCGAATAGTAAGTAAAGCGGAGAGAGTAGGAACGTTTTAACTTTTTAACGCCTAATATGTTATTTATGAGAAAGAAGGGCAAATCATAATCAATATAATTAAGAAAAGAATAATAAAATTGTCGTACTATTAATTGTTTAAAATTATTTATTTATTTAAATTGGCAAGAGTAGAAAAAAAAACAAAAACTAATGGATTTGCTGTATTAAGTGAAAGAGACAGCAGACAACAGAATACGTAATTGTTTGGACATTGGATGCGCTTTTTAACTTTTATTAAAGAAATATCTCAGACCCAATACCCGAAGCTTCTATATTCAGGACTTTTATTTTCGGATAGGGGGCCTACTGGCTTAGGCCCACAAAACAAAAACTACAATGACCCAATAAAATCTCTGACCAAAATCAGGGAATGATTAAATTGGCTAATGTATCAATATTATGGAGCATATGGTCCTTCTCTAAGCTCCAATTTACTAATAATATTCTACTCCTTTTTTATCCATTGTATTTAATAATCTTGTATCTCAATTTGACACAGCTTCCGTGCGTGGAGTGCTTCTTTTAGTGAGGAAATAGTAGGGGAAGAATCACTTTTGTCATTTTATGCTACTCCAACTCTCACAGGATTTCCCAATTCCACCACTGTATAAGCGGAGCAATGACCAATAATAATAATAAAGCTTTTTATCAAATATCCATTCATTTTCATGTATAAAACACTTTGTCAACGTTCAAAGAGGTGTGTTGTTCGCCTTCACCAAACTCCATGACGTTCATATACTTATAACATTTTTCTTAAAAATTATAAATTAGTTTTCATTTTATCCTCTCACTTTTATATTAGAATAATGTTGTTACAATAAACTAATATTAAAAACTAGGGCCATTAATTTTTTAGTTAACTTCAACCCTTAAAACTAAGTTTAAGCGTCTACAAATAATTTTTTTTATAAATTAAAGTTATAAAAGTAAAATAAATGTTTCTTTTTTTTCTAAAATTTTGCTATTATTAGCTACTTATTCTTAACTCTAAAAGTTGAAGTTAACAAAATCTTAAATTTTTTTAAGAGATTATTCTATTATAGATTAAATCTCAATAAAATTTTGTATTTTAGAGTATGCTTTAATACATCGCAAATTCAGTTCTTCCTGCTTTGTTTTCACTCTAGTAATACTTGAGATATAATAGTATAAATAGAGATACGAGGAATATGATGTGCATGTAAAGACAACTATCACCATTAGTATTTATCATGTAACACACCCAAAAAATAACATGAAAACATGCTTCCATTCAGTTTGTTTAGGATAAGTCCTAAGACAAATCATAACTACTCAAATTATGCTAAGTAAGCAAATAAACAGAATCCTTCTTTTTATTAATCTATCATTTCATCCAATGCCTCTCCATCAGAGATGTTTTAATTCGGTGATAAATGTCAAGAATTACAAAACTGACGTATACCTCTACAAACTCTACATAGATGATAGAATTTCATATCGTGCGTGGTACCATAATCTCATAAGCATAACTAAAATGTTTCGTAGGGAAATAAAACTTAAAAGGCTACGTAGTAACTTGAAATAATGGAATCGTTAGTTCAACAATTGGGTTGGGCTTGAAATTCTTCCCACGGGGTTGCATTCTTCCCAATCTTTTGAAGAACTCTAATCACTTCTTCCTTTGTGACATTGCCTGTAACGATGACCTTGTTCAGCTGTTTGTCCACATTATATGTCTCAATATCTGCAAGGGGTAAAAAATTATTCACTGAAACGAAAGAAGATGTTATTGTAAAGCAAATTACAGTCATAAAAAAACAAAAGATATAGTGTTTTCATTGTGACCTTTGGAAATTAATTAGTTGATTAATTACCTTCAATCTTCTTGATGGCCTTGAGAATTTTCTTGATACACTCGTCACAGTGTAAACCAACCTTCACTTCCACCACCTAACCACATACAATTAACAAAAACCCTTTGATCAGTCCCATAGCTGAGAACAAAAGGATCAAGTTCAAATACAAAGGGGTTTGTGATAGGATCTCACATTCGCCATTCTAATTGACTCTATGATTGGAAAATTGGTATAAAACGTCACAAACCTCAACAAAGGTGAGGAGCAAGAAGAAGAAAATAAAAGTGCAAGGTGGTTTTAATGTCCTAGGTTAAGTGTGACATGAAATTGCAACCATATTTATATGAATAAGCAACACTGGAACAAGTGAAGATGGAATTGGATTCTGTACATGAAAAAGATGGAATATTTCACTTTGTGTCAATAAAAGGTGAAACTTTATTCCTAACTATTGACTTGGGAGTAACTGGCCTCCACTCATTCGGTAAGGTTGGCAACCACTGCTGGGTTTGGCCAAAAAACAAGTGAACAAAGGTTGAGAGCAATGAAACTCTCATTAGATTTGTGACATTTGTCTAGTGGGGTAACGAAAATGCTTAATGCATGTCAAAGGATGCATTAGATGCGTAGTGATGGACAACACAAAATAGAATCACAACAGTGCAAGACGTTTGATTACACTATAACTTCTTTATTATGTAGGGATTTGCGTTAGGTGCAAGCCCAATTGAGTTTTATCGGTTTAAATAGATGAGTAACTAAGAAATTTAGACTTTTATTGATCCTTTTTTAAAAATATGACGAGATATTTCCGCTATCAAAAGTGTGTGTGTATTGATTGGTAAAAGTGTATACTTCATTTGATTATATAAGGTAAAATTTACTGTTAATTATTACTGAATTTACCACAACTTTTTACACACCATTTTCTATTTTTCACAGCTCAATAGAAGTAGAGCCAGCAAGCAAAGTGCATCGCTCATTATTCATAATAGCCATCAATTAATCATACACATGAAACTTTCATCAAACCAGAAAGTCACAAGTTATCTAGGAGAGTCGTTGATACATTGTTCAAGAGTGGAGGGAAAATGATAAGAAAATTAATGGTGAAGATTCAATTCGTGAGATTTCTATAATGTTGTGTGCAGCATAACAATTTCTTCCCCTTTGTATCTTTCTGTCGTTGACGCAGTGCCAACCTTGGCAGTAGATAGTATAGTAGAGAAATACAATGGCTACCGTACTCTAATCTGAACAAAATTTCTTTTAGACTGGACAACTTTTTGTGTTTTTTTTTCTTCCAATTATCTCCATCACTGTGAAATGGAATAATAACCACAAAAGATTCCAATTTCTACCTCTGGACAAAAAAACCATAATACTCCCAAGGAAGCAATTACATATCCCTTGTCATTGTTATAATAGAATGAATACAAAGCAAAGTCCATTAAGGCCAGGGACATATTTTGAGAGTTGTAATAACAATTCAAAACATAACATGAGTTTTTACCAAAAAAAGATATTAAATTTAAAACATAAAATTTGACACATTAATAATTCAACTTTTTTAAATAAATATAAACATTTAAAGATCTCTTAAAAGTTAGTTAAGACTCCTATTAACCGTACGATATAATATTTCATACGGTAGCGAGTAGCACGTAACTTTCAAACATTACACATGCGCGTGTGCATCGTTGATTTTTAAAAGTTAGCATTACGTTAAGTTTTAAACACGCCAAAATCATCTATTAATAGTCGCTAACAAAGCCAGAGTTCTTAACGCGCAAAGGTGTTGCCCACATTTCACGCTATACCGTTGACAATGACTCGAGAACAGCGAATCATACCTCGCCACGTGTCATACTGCTCCATTTCCTACCCTATCCCAATACCAGATTCGCTGCCACCCCTAGATTTTCTCCTTCATCATCTCTTTCATCTTTCTCCAAAGTTTCAGTCTTTGATGAAATTCAATCAATGGGTAACGCCCTTAGATTCCTCTACGCCCATTGCAGCAAGCCTACTGCAGCTGGTGATTCTGAATCCCTTGGACCACATGGTGTTTCCTCTGCCAACGCTAGTGTTTCAGCACTTGCCCATGATCTCTTTCACTTTGACATCACCTCACAGGTACATATGATGTTCCTTTAACTCTTCACAGTTTGTGATTTTGTTTTTTTTTTTTTTGGCCAATTTGGTATAGTGATATTTTGTAAGATCTGTTTGTTTTACTTTTTAGGTCCCAGAAGGACTGACTAAGCATGTTGTGTCTTCTAAGAAGGCTCAGGCTAATTGGTATACTTGGCACATTCTTCATAATAAATTGATTACTGTAAAACGTTTAGAAACCTTCACATGTGAAATATGAGTGCCCTTTCTGTTCGTTACAATGTTTTTGAAGGTATAGAAAGTTAATAAATGCTTGGAAAGAGGCAAAACCCCCTCCCAAGACCCCTGAAGAAGCAGCTCGCCATGTCATTAAGACCTTGAAAAGGCATCAAAAAGCAGATGTTGAGGTTTGCAAGCGCTTTTGTAGAGAGTGTAGTATCACATAACAAATACAAAGCTCATGGCAAATGAAATTTCTGTTGCTTAATTTACAGGGGTTGTTAGCTTTCTATGGTCTTCCTCTACCACACACCCTTGTTGAAGTAACTGTCCAACCCCCTTCATCTTTGCCCGATGGAGTACTATATGAAATGCACACATTACCAGTAAGAATAACATTTCTAGTTCTACTCAGTACATTTATGCTGAAAATGTTGTTGTTGCTGTAAGTTGTAACTCATCATTTTCTCGTTGGGACTAGATTGATCCAAAAGCAGTGGCAGATGGTGATACTATAACAGTGTATGTTAGCACAGCAGACCCCAGGGAATCAGCATATGTCCCTGGCAATGTACATTCGGCAGCCGTGCGAAGATCAGAAGCTCGTGCTCGAAGAAACTTTACAGAAGCAGATGCATTTCACCAACAAATCATTGATTCAGGATATCGGTTGGTTTGTAGTTTCCCTATTCCTATAGTCTATGCTTCCAAGTTTCAACACTACATTTTTTTCTTCTAAGTGTTTTCTTATTCAGGGTGATTGCTCTTCAAAATGAGGAAGTCCTAGCTAAAAAGTATAGGATTCGACTAAGGTAATCATCAAACAAACACTATTATTAAAATGTTTAAGTTGGTATGGAAGGCATTAATGCACACTGGGAACAAAACAGGGGAATTGATGCGCCAGAAAGTGCAATGCCATTTGGAAAGGAAGCCAAAGTTGAACTGACCAAGATTGTTCAAGGTAAGCCATTGAGGGTCCTTGTTTATGGAGAAGATCGCTATGGTCGTTGTGTAGGTGATATCTATTGTAATGGCATTTTTGTGCAGGTATTCACTTTATATATACATTTTAACACTTTGCTCTATACATGCTATGACCTGCTAAGTTTCTCATTTTGCTTTTCTTTTATGATAAGGAAATGATGTTAAAGAAGGGGTTAGCATGGCACTACATAGCCTATGACAAACGACCGGAACTGGGAACAGTAAGTACTAACTCATGATCAGGTTCTCATTTTTCATAGGTGTATCCTAACTTGATTGTGTTCTTTTGCTAGTGGGAAAAACAAGCTAGAGCAAAGAGACTTGGATTATGGGTTTCTAAAAATCCTGAGAAGCCATGGGAATGGAGAAAGGACAGACGAGAAGGTGCATGACATTGCCTCAAATTACACAAGCACAATTACCAGAGTGCTAAAAGAAAATTGAGCTAATCGGCAAATCCATGGGTAAAACTCACAAAAGTCCTTCATTCAACATAAACATGTGTTAACAAATTATATGAATATAGAGGAGCTGTAAACATCTATGTTTCTATTGAATCCTTGGACCATGAAGTTAACAAACCAGATTTCAAGCATTCAAAACATTAAGCTTGCACAAATTGTTTTAGCAACTGGCTAATCCTTACGGTGTTGAATAACTTTTTTACAACAAAAAGCTTAAAGAATAGATTATTTTGTGTGTCAATTTAATTTTAAATCATGTGGAGTTCAAGTTTAAACGTGACATTAGAATAAAAGATTTTGAAGAGTAAAAGTAACGTATTTAAAATTCCTTCAACAGGTAAATTAGTAAACAATCAACGATTTAAAACCCTTTCTCTTCCGCCAGTGCAGCCATAATGTCACTTAAAATGCAGCACAGCAGAGATACGAAGAAAATGAAAATTAAGGATGCAACTCAATATTGAACGAACACATCTTAGGCTTTGATAATATTCATAAAATCAGACTATATATAACAAAAACCAGAAGTGTATGACGTGATAGAAATCAATAAATCACTGCCAAATTTCAGAATCAGATATCGGGAAATTTTTAAAAGGACGAGAACTTCTGGACCATAACTGTTCCCAACGTTATAGATACTAGAATAAGAAAAAAACAAAGGAATGCCCATGAGGCACTCGGTGTATTACATTTCAATGTGTGTCAATAAACGAGCAGTGACATGATCAGAATGTTCTGAAGACCAAAAAGGACACACAGGAGCATAATGTAGAGAGCAATTAATATAATAATAAAAATAATGTTTTTATATCTTGCTATATATAGTTTCGCTTCCAAAAAAAACTTGCATTTGTTAGCATTTCAGACTAGATTACAATAAGCTTTCTGGTTCAATATGTTTGACTAATTTGAGTATGTGTAGCTATAAGTAGCACTTGTCACACTGAACAAATTGCAGCTTGGTGAGCTCAAACTGATATAGCATTGAAACAAATGCAAATGCTTTCTAATTTCTGAATCATCATTCTTCAATATGTTCAACTATTTACAAAATCAACACTTCAAGACTGAAATTGATATTTATAAACCGTACTACACTTCTGTGACAGTTTCATGTGACAAGAATAAATTCATAGGAGGGGTCAAGCGGCTTGATTGTATATTCTGGATGTCTTTATGTCTAAGTCAACTAACATGAACCCATGTACAAAACACCCAAAAGAATCACAAAAATTGACATCTACAAGTATTGAACATTTAAACTCAACAGATATAACTGCATCATCAGTTATGCATGTAATGCACAGAACAATACTCTACATGCTGGTCAATAATTAAACATTTCTAGCTGTAATCTTCCAGAGATTTGATGCGTATTGCGTATAGATGAAATCAGAAACAGGGTCAATACGGTGTGTCGTAAATAAAACATCAATTTGCTGCTTTATGAAAAAGGACAGACAACAACTCTCTTGTAGGCATACCTAAGCAAAACAGTTGATCTTTTGAGTTTCTGTAACACCTTCCTTGAAACGAACAGCACAACCACTTCAAATAGGAACAAGGATCAGTAAACAAAATCAGGAATTTATTTATTTTCATGCTTAAATAAATAAGTGATCGTAACATTAACCTATCATAGAGTACATATTACATAATTGAAATCCAATCCAGCAAGTTAATGATAATTAAAAATAATGGAGCACTGACGAAAAGGACCAGAAATGGGATGAGACCCTTTTTAATTGCGATGATATGAAACACACAGAATTAATAAAAATGAGAACTTTTGAAGATCAATCGAAACCCCATAAGGCAAATATATTTGGGCAACGAGAAACGCCTTCTAGAATAAAACCCACGTAAGATAGGGGGTATCCGAAATTGCTTTCATCCGAGGTTTTCATCTTTAGCTTTGCATATTTCTCAGATGCTGGAATGGCGCAGGCCACAGAGAGGAAACAGAAGGGACAAATATTTAATAGTTTATAGCATGCTTAACTATATATTATTGTTTCATTTAAAGGATATATTTTAAACATTTATCATCAAAATAAAAAGTATATATTTTATAATGTTAAAATATATAATTTAATAATATTTAATATTAATTTAAAAAGTGTTATTATTATTATTATTATGGCTCCCCGAGCACAAGTTTGGGCCATATTGAGCTGTTTTAGTTTTTTCACTCCAGTGTTGGGACCATTGTTGGCCCTTTGTTTGGTTGAGTCCAACTTTGTATCAGGAACAAAACAATAAATATTTCCTTACATTACATGAGTGGTAGCATTTTACCCAATACAACGACCAAAAATATAATAAAAACGGTGATTCCAGTTCGCTTAATTAGACCAAAAAAAAAAGGTCGCTTAATTAGTCTTTTAATTAAATTAATTACAGTAACAATAATGGTAAAAAACATTTAAGTGAGTTGAATACTGGTATCTGGCACCAAATTTAGCTTCATTGTTAGAGTTTCCCACCCTACTTAGGCCACTGTAATAGAATGGTATTTCAGTTAAACGGTGAAAATGAAACACTAAAGGACCACTAAAATACATGAAGACAAGAAGTTAATTAAAAGCACTTTAACTATAAGTTTGCGTGTGTTGCATATATTGCTCAAATTGGATGCAGAAGGTAAATTGTAGACGTCTTATTTTACAATGGCAAGAAAAAGTTCTAAATATTTCTTCTGTTTCTTAGTATATGCAAATTGCTCAAATATAGGAGTATATTTGAGTAATCAAATTTCATAAATCAGATAATGGTGTAAATGGTAAATCGCTAGAATTGATGTTTTAAAATGTGTATGAAAACTGTGTTACAGATTGTTTAGATTTGGACACTCCTAACTGAGCAATTTATATGTACAGGTTGTGCTATATTTGAATGGACTTCTTTTCAGGTTCTATAGGTTTCAAAGTGAAACGATTCAGAAATGGACTTGACGCAAGATTAAGATGAAATTACTGGAAAAACTAGAATGTGTGTACCCATCTCCATACTCGCATTATAATCATTATCTTTGTTTTAGGCAACCGCTGTAATTCGTATCTCCACATGCACATATCTGCCGAATATTTAATTTTCATCAATTTTTCTTTATTAAATTTTCATCAATTTAGTTAATTAAAATATTATTTTATATTTTTATCAACTAATAAAAAATATTAGTTACGAAATACATCAAATATAAAAAAAATTATAATAATTATAAAAAACTTAAATACAATATAAACTTCCAACATTAAAATATTAAAGCTGAGTATTATAAATTACACTACCATTTATCCAACGTAAAAAAGAACGAAAAAAAATTGAACTACAGGTTTATTCTAGAAAAATAACATAATATTGAGTAAAAAAGAAACAATGCTACATATAATGGTATTAAAGACAAATATACAAATTACTACATTTTTTTATAGGTTTATAGAGAAAAATAAAAACATATACACATTTTATTATGATTTATAAATATTATATATTGATAAACAATGGATATCTATATATAGCCGTTAGGGAGTATCAAAATATCTTTTCAAGAAGACAAAAGAAGAATAAGACGTAAGATGTGAGACGACAAATATCCCTGCAATTATACAATGCATATTATGATTTGTTTTGTTTCTTAAACATATATCAGTCAACTTACCTTGATTAATTATTAAAAAAAAACACATCAATTATTAATTGCTCCACATAAATTGGGTATTTGTACCCACTTAAATGTACCTTACCAATCATTTTGTTTTTTTAAATTTATGGTTTGTGTTTTATGTTAATTTAATATTAATTTTGTTTTACTGTCATTGTGGAAGGTCTTGTAATTTAAAAAAATTGCAACACTTTTCTATCGAATAAGTTGATTAGGATTTGATGCCTGGTGTAATGATTGAGAAAGATTGTAACCCTTCAAAAACTAAGTTTCAGACCAAAACACAGAAAATTCAAGCATGTTTCATGACAGAACTAAAGGCGTGTTTTATTGACCAAAAACAAAAGAGCATGTTTTGTTTTTTCAGTTTGATAACCACACATCAATGGATATTTTATCCCTTATCAAAGTCACATAAAAAGTCTGATTCAGAAAACTGAATAATGAATATAGCTGGGTTATATATTTTATGAACTCAAATTGTTTTAGATCCCCAGTTCCTTCACAAAATTAAGTAGGTATTAAATATTATATTATTTCCTAGCTGGCCATAACAAGAAATCAAGGGTATTTATAAAAAAAATCTAATTTAACTTAAAACACACAAACTATAAACTAAAAAAATATTTTATTAATTAAATTGGTTGGATTTTAAATCCATTTAAAAACTGATTCAATTAAACTAAAGTCAAACCAAATTTATAATCTTTTATATAATTTTATTTGTACAATTAGCATATTACTCTTACAAGTATATATTCATGAAATTACAGTATTAGTTTAATTTTTATGGTCTTATTATCTAAATAACATCTTATTATTTTAATGTAATTTTTTAAAATGTCACGTGTCTTATGCTTTCCTTTATTGTATTTTTTTCTCTTTTATATTTAAAAATATTTAATTTTTTTTTTCAGAAGAGCTAAAACAAGAATTTTTTCTACCATCTAACAAAATAAAACAAAACCGATCTAATTTAAATTGCTTTAAATTGAATCTGTTCGGATTTGAATTTAAAACCAAACCAGTTGAATGATCAATTTTAAACATAAACATAATTTCTCAGCAAAAGATGCTACTGGTTGGAATTGATAATATCCAAACAAAATAAAAACGCATTCACACATGAATAGTAAATACAAGTTGGAAAACCAAACCTTGTTATGAATACACAATCATCGATTTTATCCTCACAAGAAGGAACACGCTAAGAAATGTACAATACTCTCCACAATCATTTTCTGTTTGTCGTATAAATCATCTCATACAGGGGGGAAATTGTACAGAAAACCTCAAAAAGAAAGCAAGAAATTTGAGTTCAAACAGACAATTAATTACACAATGTGACTAATAATCAACACCTAAAATCTACATCCTAAAACTCATGGGTGATATAAACAAGATGAGAGAGCTGAGAGAATAAGACCATGACTTGGGATACAATCAACCCAAATTTTTATGGGTCATCCCATATAATGTCATGTTTATTAGGAAGCACAAAAGATCCACTTTGAGGACTAAGGAGATTCTCTTTGTATTGATGGAGGGATTGGTGGATTCATTGTTCCATCTTTATCTCTTTTAGAAGGCTCTTCTTTTACTGTAGATAGTGGCCTATCAGGACTATAATATCCCTTCAAGAAACTGCTTGAACTTAGGGGACTCGATGGCTTGATCATAGAAGGGGAAGAGTTGTAACCCAAAGGAGAACTTGTGCCAGATTTGGTTGATGCCACATCTTCGCGAGGCAGAGGTGAAATTGGCTGCTGGTCACCATTATGAACTTTCCTGCATAATTTATCTTCTACAATGTCATAGGTATTTCCGGTTCGCACTTCTTGAGCAAGAGAGCACCAACAACAGCAGAGCCAAAGTGTGCAATCAGAAGCTGAAGGCTTTCCAAAACAAAAGTCATAAGAAGGCAAATTGAACCTTTTTCTCATTTGAATCCTCCAAAAGCCACCATATAGTAAACCAAAAAAACATAGAATGATCCCGGTAGCTACTAGAGCCTGCCTAACAGTGTCATCCTCAATATTCACAGCTGCCAAGATAAAAATCCAAAAGGGAGCCATACAGAACAGCATAAAAGTGGCAATATGAACATACATGTTTCCAAAGCCAAGTCTCTCCATGTTCCAACCAAAGACACAAAAAGTACAGAAAAGTGATAGATATGCTTGAGAAATGTCATCCCAAATGTCAAGTATTCCTCCACTCCACTGCGGTCTACTTTCTATAATCCTTTGTTGGTTTCTGGATGCAAATGAATATTTCTTCTCAAATGATTTCACACTTGATTGTTCCTGCTTTTGAGCAACAGAAACTTGAACCTGCGCTTCTTCGTCCATCTCAGAATCAAAATCTCTACCTAGTGGGCTAAGAATGGTATACAGACCAGCAATTGCAGGAGCAGCAATTGCAACAGATATGCATATTCCAACCCCTATGGCCGGGCGCTCTGATCTTTTATACCCCAAGTTTAGACCACAAAGTGCGTATTGAGCAAAACAGTTCAGTTGAAGGAGAATAACCACTACCATCATGTGAGCCCATTCATGAGGCTTATAAGTCCCATTCTTGCAATACACCTTTCTTAGTTTGGATATGTCTTTTGGACTCCACCTAAACAGAAGTACAAGGTGGTAACACCTCTTCGGATGCTGGTACAAGCACATCAATGTAAACAATGCATTGAGTATTTGATTGTTAACTTCAAACCATGCATTCCTTTGGGACTTCTTTGGAAGCACATTATTCAACATACCAGTCATGACAAGGAACAAAATTGCACCTGAAACAGCAACACATAAGATCCACACAAAAAGGGCTAAGTTCATTGGGTCCCTAATCCATTCTACACACATCTTCTTGAGTGAACCCCAATCAAGTTTCTTAGAAAGCATGCCACTGAAGCGTTCTCTTATGCCAATTGAACCGGGAGAAGGCACAGATTGTGAAACCTGGTCCTTCAAAGTAGCAAGCCTCTTGAATTTGGCAGATGCAGAACCAAATTTCAAGAAGTTGATCCTATTAGGAATAGAACTCAAGGTGCCATGGAACTTTCTTTGAGGATTTTCATTACCCATCAATGTTCTTCGAGAAGTTGAAATATCTATGGAAGCAAACTCCTTTACTTTACTTCCATTAGATTCCTCAATTTCATCTTTACCATTATCAACAGAAATCATTCTGATATGAAATCTGATCTATTCAGAACCTTATAACCAATGGCAAAGGTACAGAACAAAATCTGCAAGTATAAAAACAGATCAATTTGTGCTAAGTTTTCAAATCCATACCAAATTTCATGTGATTTCATAAGAAAGAAGAAGATATCCAGCCCCCCCCCACAAAAAAAATGAAGACAAACTTCGATATATCATATATGCGATGATGACCCAGTAAACAGCGAATTATAAACTTTAATTAATTAAAATTTACAATTCATAAACTATAAGTTAGAAGATCACCCTCAAAATCAAAACAGTATTACTAGTAATAATAATACTCTGAAGGCATAAGTGGATGGAAGAAAGGTAGCGATGCAAGTGAAATCATACCTCTAATGATAAGCTGAAAAAATAGGAAGAAGGCGTTGAAACCAAGTAAGAGTTGTATTCTCTGCAACACTCACAATCAACTGACAGAATCTAAACTGTGAAAAGTGCAAACTGTGAAACAAAACAATCGCATGTAAACAGTTAGAAGTCGCAAAAGAGGAATGGCTCCTCGTACTTGTACTCAGCACATGGTCAAACAGATTGCTTAATGCCACTTCCAGAAAATAAAAGGGAAAGACAGATAGAAAATATTGAAAAATTATTTGGTAGGTGCAAAAAATATATATTTATTTCTTGTTCAGCAACCACCCATGAAAAATTGAAATTATCTAGAACTAGAATCTTGTCATCTAATGGGTCCCACCTGCCACTACCGTGTCAAATATGATATTACATCTCTCTTTCGTTTCGTGTCACTCGTTTTTTCAATCTTTATTCGTACAATTATGATTCTTTATTACGTGATTGTTACATTTTGGGTTTTTCCTGTTCCTTTTCACAAAACAAGAGATTAATTTTCCGAGAAAGTTTCTTGATAATATATTTTATAAACATATTAATCACATATCAAATTTAAGAATAAGCACTTTAGAGACTCATTACATTAAGTAATATGAACGTAAGTGATAATTGCTGGAGCATAAGTTTAAAATATCAATATTACTCGTTTTCTTTGCAGGGTCAATATTTTCTTTTATGTGGGCTGAGCTCAGCTTGCATGAGGTGGCTCATGAAATAGACCATGCAATGACTCGCCGGTTCCATGTAGTTGAGCTATTTAAATTTTAAAATTCAATAAATATTGTTAAGATGATATCACGTTGAAGAGCTATGCGAAATTGTTTATTTTAGTGTTTATGCCTGCTTCACAATATAAATGATTATTAATTAACTGTTACTATAAAAGTATCTACATATAGTTTTGAGAATCAATGTTGTTTGTTATATTGTATTGTTATTTTCTTCTTCTTTTTTGAGATTAGGTGAATTAGCTTATGTATCCATTTACTATATTTGCAATAAAATAATAACTTATTTTATTTTAGTCTTTGTATTGGCAAACGAATTAAAACCAAGATTTATGGTGTTAAAATTCACACCGTTCATTATTAAGCTTTAAATTATTATTTTTTTTGGTCAGAGAGGTTAACGTTATTAAACATTAGATTTTTGTTTCCTTCATTTTGCAGGTTGGCCCAATAGTATGCTCCCTGCCCTATTCAAACAAACTACTAATAAAAATGTTGACAAAAAAAAAAACTACTTCTAAAAATGAGAATCCAGGTGTTTCCGTTTGAAGAGTGAAAAGTGCTTTACGCTTGCTGGAACTACACACCCACCCATCTGCCTCCAAATGTAGCTCTAAAGTAATCCTTGACAAAAAAAATTATTTATTAATTTCTTAGATAAAATGTTTAAGACAAACAATATCATCTCATTTTAACTACTATGGGATACTATTTTATAGAAAAAATGTTTGTGACCCATTATTAGTATTTATTTTTTCTTAATATATTAAAATTAAAATATAAACACTCTTGGTTAAAGGGTTACGCAATCCTATATTAGCTAGTAACAATTCTGATCACACCTTCCTTTTTTTTTTCATGTAAATTATGGGCTTTACGAGGTGCAGAGAAAGGCTACCATAGTAAGTTCATTCACAATCACAATTAAGGAAATAGATGGCAGGGGAAAGTATACATTAAAAAAATTGAAAAAAATATGAAATAGAAAGCATATATTAAGGAAAACATCATTTGGCGGTAAGGAACAAATAAAATGAAAATCATGGAAAGAATTCCATTCAAGCACGAAAAGAATCGAACATCATAGAAAGCATAAACTCTATTAACTGTTTAGTTGAGAAAGTTTTAAGTGAAAAAATGTAAGAAGGAAACATGAAAATGCATTATTATGAAGGAAAGTTATGTCCTGCAGTGAAAATAAAAATTTGTTGAAAAAATGTATTCGTACAGTAAATATGTATAATTTTTTTGTACAACAAATATATAGAAATAAAGATAAGAGGAGAAATGCAATATATGATTAGTGTGATAAGTAGACTATTAAGAGAAAAAGAAAACAGAATTATAAAATATATTGTAAAAAAATAGTGCGGATAATATAAACTATTTTATTTGTTGGCTTCCATTTTTGTTATACCAAGCAAATGTAAAAGTGGTTTTTGTTCCAAGTTATGAAAATAAGTTTTCCCCAAGTATTAATTAAATCATACCGTTAATTCATATTTCTTGCAAGAAAATTAGCAAATACAAATTCGGTGGTGCCCGAAAAACATAGCGAACTTATTTTACCAGAAGGAAATAACATCTTCCAAATAGTAGTGCGAGACCTTGTACGTTATACTATAAATAACATCTCTTTATGATGACAACATGATGTTGCCTTGATAAGTTGATATGCAGATCCAATAAAAGTGGATAAGATCAGACTCTATCTACCTCACAACATATTCATTTCAATAATTCGTGGAGACCACTTCAATTGCAACCCAAAGCAAGTAAACTTTATGATAGTATGTGTATGATGAACAACTGGACAAACAAGCATGAAATACAAGACTAATCATCAAAGATGAAATTCAACCAATTGAAGACTATTATTGTGCTATTCAAGTTAGATCATCCTCCTCAAGTTCTTTGGCTTTCAGTTTTTCCTTCACCCTCAAAAGAAGTTTTGTTTTCCAAGAATCCTGCACAACATTCGTACATACAGGCAATGTTGATGAAATACAGAGTAGAGCTATTTATGAACTCAAAAGAAGAAAGATCAGAACGAGTTCAAGTTTATCACAGTTCATAACTCAGTTGAATATGACTACATCGACAAATAGTGATTACTTTTCCTTGATTTTCTTTTCATAAAGAATTTTGTAGAATTTGATGAAATTTCTAGTGTCTGACACATTTCATAATACGTAGAATATAATGTAAAGAGAGAGAACGAGTTTTGAACTAGTGCAGACACTATATGTGAAATCTTTTATTTTTCATGGGAAAATTCAAAGCAAATGAAAATTATTGAGAACATAATTAAATTTCTGTGAAATGGGATTCAATCATGACATTGTTTATTCTGCAAAAGAATAAGAATCTAAATTTTATTAGAAAAATTCTTGTTAGACACCAACTAAAAATTGTTCCATTTTTCAACAATTTGGAACTTACCAGATAGCTCATGCAATGAAATTCCTTGACAGCTTCAGTAAATTTTCCAACATCTTTTTCATCAATTGCAGCAGCAACATCCTGCTCGTTTTAATTTTTTTGAAAAAAGTCAATACTTCATCTGGCATATATCTGAGTAATGAATCAGTCAACGCAATAATAAAATGTTATAACAAAATACCAAACTTTAAGGACATTATAATAGAGGAGGCAGTTATTGAAATGTTGGATCCAAGTCCTGCACAAACAAAAACATATCCAAAGAATTTAGTAACTGATGATGTTCCCATTTCAAGATGGCAATGTGAAAATCATTCAAAAATATTAGACCTTAGACCTGATATCGCTCTAATGCATTGGTAATAGCACCGACATCTGCTTTACAAAGTCGGCAGATGCCAGCATTAAGAAGAAGTTCGCTAACTTCTGTCTTCAGCATATCAATGTTGACACACTCGCGAGCTGTCTCTTCATAAATCTCAATTGACCTCTGGTATCTGGAGAGTCATCCAAAAAATTGAAACAGTTAATATTCAATTTAACATAAAGAGGAGGCAATGATAAAGTTGTAATGCTCTAATTAGAAAGGCAACAGTGGGCTAATATTTGTTATAACCATTCATACAAGTCTTAGCAAGTTAATCAAACTTGGGTTGTGGGAAGAAAAATATTAGGAGTTCTTTTAAGATAATGAAAAGAGTTTTATTTATTTTATTTCTTTATTTTCTTCTCTTACAGGTACTTTTACAAAAACTTACCCAAATTGATTCTATATATTAATAGTAATTTCATTAAACCAACCGGAGTTACAACAAAACGATATAAAGAAAAGGAAGAATTATAGAAAAATGTTGTAATCAATTTAAAAAAAAAATTAATTACTCTACTATATTTGTTGATTAAAATAGTTATATTCTAATTAATTATGAAAAAATTATTTTAACTTTAAAAAATATTTATTTCACTCTAAAAGAAATCAATTAATATTTTTTATTATTTTTAAATTTGTTATTATTGTTATTTTTTAGATTTATTTCTAATTTTTACAATTTTTTAAGAGATTTTAATTTTATTTTTTAAAATAAGGAAACACAATAAAAAAAATTATTTGTTTTAGTTTTGTATTAATGAAATATATTGTAAAAAAAGAACTTATCTTGATACTATTTTTTATTTTTTTATGAAATAAAATAAAATTTTTAGTTTTTATTTTTTATAAAGAAAATGTACTTGAAATTACTCTTATTTTAAAACAATTTTAAAAATATTTTGAATTTGAAAAAATTTAAAAAATATTTTAAATTTGGCATGTCATGTTTCTATTCCTACATAGCTTTTGTGTGCAACAGATGAGTTAAAGCTGTTACGTAATTCTTTTTTTTTTTAAATCAGGTTTAGATAAGTTTTAAAGATTTTTTTTTGAAAATTTGATTTATATTTTATTATTATTTTTTTAAAGTAAATCCACTCTTGCAAAGAACACACGGCTATACAATAAATCCTTACAATCTAAGTAATGTTGAAGATGTATCTACTATTCTATCAAAATGGCTTGACCGTTACATGAATTCAAAAGATTCTATTTTTTGAATAAAAAATTGATGTACTAATTAACATGAGATTTTTGCATGTCAAATAGTTTTTGTCTGATTTTTTTTTTCTTCTTGGTCTTTTTTTTCATGTTCTCTCTAAAACTCTCTTAAGGTTTCAATTCTCTCTCTTTTCTTTTCTCTTTATCAAAGAGGTCTTCCTATTTATAGGCACTTCTAATTTATTATATATTTTTATTTTTTAAATTTTATATTTTAATAAAAGCTCCAACATCCATGACTTCTTTTTTTTTTTCTGATGATTGATTTTTTCTTTCACATCCACTCTTTAAAAAATATATAAAATCTATAACTACTTTGACCATTTCTAAATATAATTTTAAATTTAAAAATTAAAAATTTAAATTTTAAATTAGTTTTTATCTATTTTACAAAATTAAATAATTATATTTAATTTTAAATTTTAAAAATTTATTTTTAAAAAATAACAGGATAAAATTGAGTATTTACGTTATCTATTCCTTCACATTTCACGGTAACAAACAAGATAAAATAAGCAGAAAAATGGAAAATCTTACTGTTCTAGCTGAGCAGAATATTGAGCAACTTTTTGCTTGCAGTGTTCTGCACAAATAACGTTTCCATTTTCAAGAAAATCAGCAGCTTTTTCAAAATAAACAACAGCCTGCTCGATGTTCTGTTCCGATTCATGTAACTCAGCAATTTCCTGTGTACAAAAGAAAATTTCCTTTCCATTCATGACACGTTTGTGATGCTAATTCAATAAGATAGCCTTAAAAAGAATAGGCTAGTGCAAGAATACCGTTTACAACCAAACATGCATCCCAATCCAAGAAACTAGATTTCAATGATTACACCAAAATTAAAAATTAAGAATAAAAATCTGAAACTATAATGATGCATACCTTCAAATGTGTACCAGCCATAAAGAGTGGTCCAATTTCACAGAAAATAGGTACAGCTTTGTCTAAGCAAGATATAGCTTCTGCATTAAAAAACAGAGAACGCAAAGCTTAATATATTCGCTTCAAATTAACCAAGCGATTACAAGCAAACACATGCTTAGCCGCTTCATGTAATTTGATCATACAAAAAGCCATATTACATTGACTTGGACTATAAATCTACATCCATACCATTTATATTAGTTTTTTTTAGCAATCTGCAGCGCCAACGTAAGCTAGGGCAGCTTTCTGCTTGCTATCCAACTAGAATCAGAACACAACAACACGAGTCATTACAGCTTTAGAAGAGAGTAAAAAACAATGAACGCGGAAAAATGAAATCAAAAAGTTACCTTCACATGACAATTGGCTAATTTGATGTAGGTGGATCCTGCTTTGTCCCCTGAAACGTCATCCTTGTAACCACGAACACCTTAATGAATTAGCGTCAACGACATGCATACAAATGCAAATAATTAACATTGTAATTAAGGTTACATGATCTAGCGAGCTTGTAGGAATTAACAGATTTATCGAATAGATATGCAGCGTCCCCGAATTTGGAGCCAAACAAACCCCAACCTCTAAGCTTCTTCTCTGCCTTATTCTCGAAATCCTCAGCCTTTGCCAATTGATCTCCCATGATCTCACGAAAGGAATCGATCAATTGATTCAATTTCTTCTCTTTCATCCTATTCAATATCAATTAATATTTGTTACGGAATACAGATAGATGCTATTGTGTTCAACACCAAACTGCAAGAAAATTATAAAGCCATGCAACAGAAAAACTACGGAAGGGTCTACGTTTCACGCAGAATTGTCAATTTCCACTTTTCGGAATTATGCTTGCCCAGGCTCCTATTATTGGGCTCCTTTAGTTATTGTAGACGTTTTGATGGCCAGGCCCATTAGAAACCATGAAAGAATATGCACTGTTTCGTCTCTCTTTTTAACTTAGGACTTCATCAAGTTTGAGAGTAGAAATAAGAAAAATGTTTAAAAAATAAGATATAATAGGAGAAGGAAGGAAGAAAAAAGACTCGAAAAAAATCTTTTACTTTGCAACTTAAAAATGAGTTTAACTTAATTTTAGAAGGTTTATAATATTTTTTATCTAAAAATTTACAAATAAATATTATCACATCCCTTGAGAGTTGAGACAGAGAGAATACTATACGTAGACAATTGGGATTAGCAAACAGATTTTTTTTCTCTCTCTAAAATGTATGCATGGACATTTATAATCTCACCTATAAAATTTTGAAATTCTTTTTTAAAAAAGTGTTGGTGCTACCTATATAAAAAATATTGATAATTTCTTACTTATGTATTAAAAAATATTTTACTAAGAGAAATTATATCCTTTTTATATTATCTTTTATGTTCAATTAAAAATTAATAATAAGGAAAAATATTGTTTTTAATAAACTTTAATTTTTTATAGAAAAAGAAGGATTATGTAGTTTACTCCTAAAAATATTTGTTTAGCTTATGATTAATTAATGGCTTTAATAACATAAATCTATCAATAATTCAAACATAAATTTTCTTCTAAAATTCCCACTCTAAATGTTTTATTCATAACATATGCACAAAATGTAAATATAGTTTTCAAATTTTTATTTCATAATAGATGTTATGAATTAAAAAAAAAAGAGTTAAGAGTCATGTCGTAAAATTAATGTCAGAAAAAATATAAGTCATGACATAAAATTTACAGGTATATAATTTATATGATTAATTTCTTATTAGACAAACAAAATTTATTTATTAAAATTTTGATCACTCTGATATGTCTGGATATTTAATAATAGATTAAATAAAATGATAAACAAAACAAAATAAATATTTTATTATGAAATAAGTTAAGTATTTATTTCATTATTAAGTTGTAGATTTATTAATAATAATAATAATAATAAAATAAATAAAATTTATCTTATGCCATCATAATTAAATAAAAAATAGAGATAATAGATTAAATGAAATAAAATATTTTTCTTATATTTTATTCATTTTAATTTATCTTAAAAAATTAAAAAAACACAATTAACATTTACTTAATTTTTTATTATTTATTATGAAATTAATATCTTCAAAACATTTATTTTCTCCAATTTCTGAGTGACATTTATTTTTTAAAATATTAATTTTTATCCAATTTTCATTTAATATATTTTAAATAATAATTAGTGTATATTAAAACAAATTAAATTATATTTATTTTTTATTTATAAGTAAATTACTACTAATTGAACAATAAATACAAAAAGAAGTTTGAGCAATAAAAAATAGTTTTGTTAACTTCAAATTTTATAGTTTAAATAATTAATAATAATAATAATTTATTGTAAAGTTTTTATTATATTTTTATATTTTTAATGTATGTTAAGAATATATATTTAGAAACATTAAATACGTCTGATTAAATATTTTAAAATACTATAAAAAGTAAACATTAAATATCTTTCATGATTTTGAAATAATAATTTTTTTTTTATAAAATGTATCCCTTTTATATACTTAAAGATTAATGAACTTAATAAAAATAAATTAAGATACAACTGACAAAGGATAAAGACCACAGGGGCGTGTATCGATCGACAACAATCATGATTCAACAACCCCCAAAATGAAGCTTGCATCCATGTCCAACAGCACCCAAGTTGTTGCTCCTCTCCTAGCGCCGGACTGCGAGTACTCACCGGAAGATCCGAGTCCGCAAAATGGATCAATTTCCGGTGCGGTGTTCAACATATCAACCACCATGGTGGGTGCCGGAATCATGTCGGTTCCGGCGACCATGAAGGTGCTAGGCATAGTTCCGGGGTTGGTGGTGATCGTGTTGGTGGCACTTGTGACAGATGTGACGGTGGAGTTCATGTTAAGGTACACAAGTTGCGGTAAATCCACTACCTATGCGAGCATGGTGGGTGAGTCATTTGGTTCAGCAGGGTCTTTTGCCGTCAAGATTTGCGTCATCATCACCACTCTCGGTATCCTTATCATCTATTTCATCATTCTTGGTACGTTCTTCTATTCTTCATCCTTCATTATAAATTCCTTTTGTTTTCTTCTTCCTATTGTTTTCTTGTACTGGTTCTAAATTTGTAAGCTAAGTGCCAACTTTATTTTTTGCAGCACAAAATTTTACTTTTTAGTTTGTAGGATTTGTCAAAACACAAGTGGAATAATTCACACTCCTAGTCTTTGTACTCATTTCATTTTAAAAAAAAGTATAATAAAAAGGATAAACTTTTTTTCCAAAAAAGGAAAAACTCTACTTTTGATCTATTTTTGAGTGAAAAACCATTCTTCTTTTGTTGGGCCAATGGATGGGTGCTGCGGGGTGGGGCCAGTCACATTGCCGTGCAGCTCAGCAATCCAATTATTTATTTACAGGGTATTGTTAATTATTAAACAATAAATAAATAAACAAGTTATTAAAAAAATTATATTAACACTGCATTAAAAATAATAAATATTTTTATAAATATTTATTTTATGAAAAATTATATATTTTTAATCTTTTATTTCTATAAAATTTCTTAATCATTAATTAAGGAATATTAAATACTTTTTTATGTTTAAGATAATATATATACATATATATTTAATATTTATGTTATAAAGTACTAAAAGAATTATTAAGTGACATGAAAAAATTTATTAAGAATATATAACAAGGCTCACATTATATTTATAGCTATAATATACTTGACAAATACTTATTCTGTAATATAAATTATTAGTAAAAAAAAAAAAAACTAGTGTTATTTATGTTCTTCTACATATTTTTACTGGTACAAGATTTTTTGTGTGTGCAAGGAACCTCAGATTTTATCCGTCTTGTAGCATAATTTGGATAAGAAAAACCGTATTCATACACTTATCAGATATACATTCACTTACTAGGTGTACAAGAAGAAAACAGAATAAAAAAAATGATAAGTGATATAATGTGATAAATAAAATAAAATAAAATAAAACAAATATATGACATTTTGAGAAAGTGATTGGATCATTTAATCAATATTCTACTAATTTGGCATCAACAGTAAAGTCAGCAAGCGTTACTCAATAACAACATCCAAATCAGAATATTTAAAAAACAACATTTGGTCCTATATATATTAAAATTTTATTATTTTAAAGATACGCATCTCAAAAGTATATCATAAAATTAAAAAGAGATTATTTTAGATATCCTAATTAGTTGTCAACATAACATTTTCCCTTCCAAATTATCTGCTCCGAAAGGATTTCGCTGATTCATCCATTTGTCTAGCCAGAATTTTGTAGGATCGCCATTTCCCTCAGCACATGAACGTGGTTGTCGAGCATCATGGGCCACAACTTGACAATAGTCTTCACAAATTAGAATAATAATTTTTGTTCTTTTACTTCCAGCCAAATTTGCTCTACATCTAATTAACTTGATCCGAGAGTATTAAAATCTAATATGAACAAGGCTATCTAACTGATGCAGGTATAATTTTTAAAATTAAATGGAAGGACAATGTAAACTAATACATATCTCAAAAAGAGTTTTTGAAAAAAAGAAATAATATATCTTTGCAACTTTAATCTTTACTAAACATGCTATGAGCATTTCTACCATTTTTTTTAATGTATACGTATGGATTAGCAATATTTTATTATAAAAATTTGATCGAGTTCACTGTCTTCGTTTTGGAAGGAGACGTGCTATGTGGAAATGAATCCGAAGGAACCACACACTTTGGTATTCTACAAGAATGGTATGGCATCCACTGGTGGACCTCTCGCGCTTTTGCTCTTCCTATAGTTGCGCTCTTTATAATGCTTCCACTAGTTATGTTACGCCGTGTTGGTCAGTATTACTACCTCTACTATTACCCAAATGCACAAGTACATTTTGCAAATGATCGAAGACTTTGATCTTAATTAATATTCTCTATGCTTAATTTATATAAATAAAATATACAGATTCACTCAGGTATAGTTCTGCAATTTCGATCCTACTAGCATTGGTCTTTGTTGCAAGTTGCTCATCAATGGCTTTTAGTGCATTATGGTCCGGCAAAACACAATCACTGAGGATACTCCCTGATTTCTCGCAAGTCACTGTTCTTGATCTTTTCACCACTGTCCCAGTGTTCGTAACAGGTTTTGGATTCCATGTCAATGGTTAGTCTTAAGGGAATAACAGTACCTCCCATTGTCATATTCATACATGAGATTTGATTTATAATTAGATAGATGTTAGTAACATATTTTTTTATTATTAGGGTCAACATGAGATTTGACTAACTTACACATGATTTTCTACAGTTCATCCTATTAGATCAGAGCTTGGAAGACCTGCACATATGAGTAAAGCTGTGCGGATTTCGTTGATAATTTGTGTGGCGATTTACTTTGCTATTGGCTTCTTTGGGTACCTATTGTTTGGGGACTCCATCATGCCTGATGTGCTAGTAAACTTTGACCAAAATTCCAATACCAGTGCTGGTAGATTGCTAAACGACGTCGTTCGGCTAAGCTATGCACTACATCTTGCACTTGTGTTCCCCGTCATGAACTATTCCTTAAGAGCCAACATAGATGAATTAATATTCTCAAATATAAATAAGCGTACCCTGGCATCAGACACCCCAAGATTTGTGTCTCTCACAATCATTTTGCTAGCACTCACATACTTGTTGGCTGTGGCCATCCCAAACATATGGTATTTTTTTCAGTTCTTGGGATCCACAACTGTTGTTTGCCTCTCATTCATTTTCCCTGCCGCAATCATTCTAAGGTGTCTAAAAATCCTACCAATTTCTTTTTCTATATTTGATTAATTTATATACAAATATATGTTTAATAACCCAATCTTCTCCTATTTTGAGCATAGGGACATGCATGGCATATCAACGACAAAAGATCAAATTATGGCAACAGTGGTGATTGTTTTGGCTGTAGGGACAAGCGGAATTGCTATGTGGACCAACTTGTGTAGTTGAGGGAGTGATCATTGATCGACAATAGAGTCTTTTCGGGTTTAATCTCGAAACATCGAGTGTTACTTCAGAGAAACTCTTGCAATATGATGGCTTCAGAAAGATTGGAACACGGGTCTGCGTCCATGTTTATAATTCCCTTGTCACTTGACTCTGCATCTTGATTAAGTCCATTTCTTATTCTTCTTCTTATATATTATTACCATTTTGCTATCTGTTACTCTTAGATAATTAAAGGGAAACTCTTTGTTAATATGACATTTAATATTGCCTCTCTTACTATAATTTTTAATAAAAGCTTTTATTTATTAAGTTTGTTTAATTACTTTCTAAAACAACTGCGTATGAAAAAAGAGACATGTTTGAATAAATGATTTCAATAAGGACAACTTTTTTTTTCATGTAATACTGTTTAGGGAAAATAAAATCCCCCAAGGTATAGAGTTTTTTTTTTTTTAACCTTAACCACACTTTGTTAGCTATTTCCCTTCAAAAAGTAACACTTAGGTGTTAAATTTACTCTTCTCAAAAGAATATTGCATTGAAATAAGTTTTTGATTTGGAGTTGGGGTAGATATTGTCAACTAAAATTTCACACTATGCCTCCGATGATAAGATTTTGAGTGGTCTTTTTAATAAGTTTTTTTGAAAATTTATGGTAAAAAGAAAAGTGATTTTTTGGTCAAAAAAGAAAAGTCTTTTTCGTCAAGATATTGAATAAAGAGAAATTTTAATGAGTTTTATACATAAATGTGACCTGAAAAATATGATTTTTTAGTCAAAATAAAATGACATTCAAACAAGTTTTTTTTTGTGTGTGTGTGTGTGTAAAATATAACAAAAAAAGCCTTAACTTTCTAGTCAAATAGAAGATGATATTTTTTATGAGTCTTTTTATAAATTCATGACTTTTTGCAGATTATAAAATATTATATCATCAAAGTTGTTGAAGAAGCTCTTTTAAGGTATCATTAGGAAATGCTGTAATTGTCAACAAATGAGGTTAAAAAGAAGAAAGAAAAGAGAAAAAAGTGGAAGAAAAAGAAATTATAGAAATGAGTAAGAAAATAAATAATGCACACAATTAAAAAAAAACAGTTCTAACAAGAAAGAACTTGCTTAAATTTTTGAAAAAATTAAAAATAAATAAAAAATAAAATAAAAATATGAAATTAAAATTCATCTTAAAAATAAAAGATGAAAGTACTAGTTTTATCTTCAAATTAAGCAGTCTCTATTTTTTGTTTTTTCTAATTATTTTTATTACACTTATATCAGTTTTTTCTCAAGTCTAAACCCTCCTTTTTTTAAAAATATAATAATAATATTATTATTTTTTATATCAAATGTTAGTACACGGTCTCTTTTCTATTATTGTTACTATTATTATTATTATTATTATTATTATTATTATTATTATTATTATTATTTTAGTTTCTTTTTCTCCTTTTACATCTCTTTCACTCATCTAAATCGCACCAAACTGAGTTCCAAAACATGATTATTATATATTCAAATCTTGAACAGCTTTAAACCGTAGATAGACACATCACAAAAAGCACGATAATTGAATGTGAATAAGATTATGATTTATTCTAATAGTGGGCCACGCAGGTGAATTGTGGGTGTTGATCAGCGCTGAACATGCAAGAGCCCCATACGACATTTTGAGGTATAATTCTATCGCATGCAATAATGGAAAGGCAGCCACTATAATTAATGTTGGAATCTTTACTAACTTGAGTTATAACTAATAATTGTGAAATAACATTATATAAAATTTAACTGATTACATGTTGGAATATACCTTTTGGTGCATAAGTTAGAGTAAACATATTTTATCAATAAAATTATGTTTACCCTAAATTTTAATAAGTTAATATATTTAATGATGTATTTCAAAATTTAGTTCATGAATTTTAAAATTTATTTTTCTTTAAAATATTTTCATTAAATTATATTATTTATTTGAAAATGCCTGCATGTATTTAAGACACTGATTAAAAAAATTTAAAAATCATATAAAAAATATTACCTACTCAATCTATTATGGTTTCTATTACAATCAATTTCATTGTATTTTTTTTATAAAAAGTATATATATAAATTTTTTTAACATGAGTTTGTAAAACACTTTTCGACAGTTTGCTAAATAATTTGGACAAGCAATTCATTATCAATTTTTTTAATATGAGTTTAAAGATACATATTAAGAAATTAAAAATATTATTATCTTTAAAACATAAAATATATTTAATATTTCCTAATATATGTCTTTAGTTAAAAAAAATGCTAATAACTTATTTTTCCACACAATTTAATTTATTAGTTAAAATCTATTAATAATTACAAAAATTATGTAGATTTATTGTTTCTCATTCCTTATTTAATGATTGTTTTTTATATGTTTACAATTTTTAATAAATTTTAGTCAATAATTAAAGTATTTAAAAATGATATGTTAAAAATATGTTTCTAACACACTTCACCTAATTAAACCTCCATTAAAAAAATAATGGAAAGTTAAATTGCAATAAAAGACACCAATAAAATATTTAATGTATTAATATGTTTAGTTTCTATTACTTAGTCATCATATCCTTTGTTTCACCTCAACTTGGAGAGTACATAAGAGACACTTCTCAGTATTCACGTCCAGTAAGTGGCAAGAAGGGAAAAAAGTGATCTGTTGTGCAACTCAGAAATATTATAACATTCATTTTTAACCAAATTTTTTTTTCAAATCATTCAATGTAATTCAAATTACTTTAAACAAATTATATTATAGTAGATTAAATATAAAATTTTATTATAATAAATTCAAACTGAATTTTATAATAAAATAAAATAAATTTGTCTACAAACTGATTTAATTCAATACATAAACACCACATTTTAGTGAGCACTTACAAATAAATTACAGATGCCCTATATTTTATTGTTCAATGTCTGATTTCGTAGAATACTTGGGTGGTCTGTTTTACAGGACATATAAAAAATTATTTTTTAAAATTTATTTGTATTTTTAAAAAGATTTTTAAATTAAAATATCTTTTTAAATGCAATCAAGCATGCATAAATTAAACTCTAATAAACACGTTTACCAAATAATCAATCAACTACGACGCGCCTTGATGGTCTTCAATTTTGGTACGTGTGGCACTTAATTTTATCCTTGACAAGTTGACTGACTGTTGTCTAAAACGAGGAACTTGATTTGCTTTTTGATATGAATAATAATAATAAATGTTCTTGTTATATTGCCTCATAGTTTATAAAAGGGATAGATCCATTGACATTTTTAAATTTAAAAGATTTACACTAAATTTTAATTTTACAAATTAAATAATTTAATAATTAAAAATTTATATTTTTTCATGCTTATAATTTATTATTTTATTAAATAAAATAACTTTTTAATTATTAAATCATTTAATTTATATGATTGAGATTTAATGTAAGTATTTTAAACTTACACATGGTGTCAAATTTGTCTTTTTTATAAAATTATAAAATTAAAATAAACATATATATTATATTAAAAGAAAAAAATATTTTATTTTTATTTATATTTAATTATATAATTTAGATTTTAGTTTTTAAAAGTGTATAATATAATTCATATTTTTGAAAGTATTTGGATTTCGCGTTGCACATTTCTAAAAATTAAAGTTTAAATTGTAAAGAAATAAAATAAAAAAATTTTATATTAAAAATATAAAATATATTTAATGCATTTTTTATTTATATAATAAGATTTAAAATTATTCTTTTTAAGGTATCCAATTAATTTATGGTTTGTCAAAATCAAATGCTAATTTTTTTTTCCTATAATAGCATGGGTTGAATTAGACAGTGGTATTAAATTTAGAAGTTCAATTGATATTTACTCTAAAATTAAATAAGAAAATAAAAATAAGAATTAATTTATTTAAATCTCAGAGAGTATTTATTATTTTTTTAAAAAATATATAATTTTTTTTATTTCTTGTATCATTTATATAAATAATCCTATTTTAAAATGCAACCAAGAAATTATCTTTCAATAAGAATTCAAATTGTGATTTATCACTTATGAACTCAACAATTGCGTGGAAAAGTGTTTATTTTGTTGAAAACCTGAAAAGTATTAAGAAAATAAAAACAGATAAAAATAATATCATTTTTCGTAATAAAAATATTTTTAAGTTTCTTTTAAAGTAAGGCTTAAGATGTCAATAGCTTATTTTAAAAAAAGGTTAAAAATATAAATAATTTATCACAAAATTAACCAATATTAATTATTTGTAATTTTTAATATATCTCATATAGGAATGACCAACAGTTATTAATTTTTATTTCAATTGTTTGACCAATGTGCTAGAGAATAATAATTAACAAAACGAACATTTTATAAGAACAGAAAGCGAATCAGAGAAAAGCAAACAAGAGATTCACAATATCCACTTCTGCGTCCAAGTTCATTTCCTGAGTTCGAATTCCTCACGCTTCTCGCTCATTGCTCCTCCAACCTGTCACCTTACACACATTAACACATCTGCACCAGATGCTAAAAATCCCATGCAATTTACAATCTTACCCTTTTCACTTCTCCCCTGTATACATGCTTTCAGTTTTGCCGGTGGCATTATAGTAATCCAATAACCTTAATTATTAATCCTTTGAACTAAATTAATACTATAAATCCAACCCTTTCGTACGTTAATCCTGTACAACTAGGACACCACAGTTTCTTCTTTCTTTCCATCCGTCAACTCGCTCACCGCCGGGATGTCGCCGGTACAAGGAGCTCACGTACCCCTCTTGTCGGGATCGACGGGTGCTACGCCGGCGACCGTGTCCGGCGCCGTGTTCAATGTGGCCACGAGCATAATTGGCGCTGGGATCATGTCTCTTCCGGCGACTCTGAAGGTTCTTGGTGTGATTCCGGCGTTCGTGTTGATTCTGGTGATCGCTTTTCTGGCTGAAGTATCGGTGGACTTTCTCATGAGGTTTACACATTCCGGCGAAACGATGACGTATGCTGGCGTCATGAGAGAATCGTTTGGACCCGTAGGAGCATTTGCAGCTCAACTCGCTGTCGTAATTACTAATTTCGGCTGTTTGATTATGTATCTAATTATCATTGGTAAGTTCATTTTTTGTAATAATCTTATTTTCTTTTTAACTTTTATACTTATATGTTTTATGTTTTTAAATTAATATATATTTAATACTTTATAAAATAATATTAAAGTTATTATAAAAACGTGTAAAAAAATATAACAAAACTCTTTTTTTCCTGTATTTTTTTTAAGCAGTTGTATAATAAAAATAATAGGAGAAAATAAAATGGATAAGCATGCAGTGATAGTTTAATTTTGATTCTTTGAGCCGATCATGAACTTTCCATTTTGGTTGTGAATTTTTGCATCAAAAGGTTCTCTTTTTGAATTTGGGTCTCTGCATTAAATGATTGTGTGAGAGATTGGGTGATATATTTTTCTAACTTTTTGTGTATTTATTTGACGCAATGATCAGCGGATGTGTTTTCTGGAAATCAACTTGAAGGGGAGGTACACTTCGGTGTTTTGCAACAATTGTTTGGAATTCAATGGTGGAACTCACGGGAATTTGCTCTGTTCGTTATATTGGTTTTGATTTTGCTTCCATTGGTCTTGTACCGTCGCGTAGGTCAGTGCTTGCTACATTTTAATTTAATATTTGAGCTTTAACTTTTAATTTGATCTTATTCCATGGTGATTATATGATAGTCAACTTTTTATTGTGATTTGGCTGTATGTAGCCATACAGATGAAATCGGTAAAAAGAAATTTTACATGTAGATCAAAATTAAATCCTTAATATTTACCTTCCAATTTTGTTTGTTTATATGAGATTTCAATGCATGCTTATCACATGTTTCTAGTTGTTTATTTTTATTAATTTCAAGTTGGAGAGATTCAATGGTATGACATAGGCATGACTAACATTCTGTGTTGTTGTGTGATGCTATTGTTTGGGGTAAGCAGAGTCCTTGAAGTTCAGTTCTGCACTATCAACCGTTCTTGCCATTGCCTTTGTTACAATATGTACTGTATTGGCAATTGTTGCTATTGTAGAAGGAAAAACACAGTCCCCTAGATTGTTTCCACGTTTGGACCACCATACCTCTTTCTTTGACCTGTTCACTGCAGTTCCAGTCATAGTCACAGCCTACACATTTCATTTCAATGGTAACTTAATTCCTAATTAACATAATTAGCTTTCACTAGTGGCTTAATTTGTTGCATCCATGCTTAAAAGATTTGTTTGGTTTTACATGCAGTACATCCAATTGGGTTTGAGCTTGCAAAGCCATCCGACATGACAACAGCAGTTCGAATAGCATTGCTACTTTGTGCTGTCATATATTTCTTCATAGGCCTATTTGGATATCTCTTGTTTGGTGATTCAACACAATCTGATATTCTAATAAATTTTGACCACAACACCGGTTCTGCACTTGGTTCCTTACTCAACACTTTAGTCCGTTTAAGCTATGCATTTCACGTTATGTTGGCTTTCCCTCTCCTTAATTTCTCTTTGAGAGCCAACATATATGAATTCTTCTTCCCCAAGAAGCCTTTGCTAGCTACAGACACCAAGAGATTTGTGATCCTCACTTTATTGCTGCTTGTCTTGAGCTACATTGTTGCCATTGCTGTCCCAGATATTTGGTACATCTTTCAGTTTATGGGATCAACATCTGCAGTGTGCCTTGCCTTTGTCTTCCCTGGTTCAATTGTTCTAAGGTAATCTGTAAACCTTATTCCTTTCTCTTCCGTTGTACAATTACAATTGCCAAATGTCTAATTAATTTTTTTATTTATTTTTCAAAAAACGACAGGGATTCTCATGGTATATCATCAAGAAAGGACAAAATTATAGCACTGGTTATGGTTATACTATCTTTAATTACAAGTGTGATTGCTATCTCCACCAACATATTCAAAGCTTTTCAGTAGTTGGTCGTAAATTTGTGCCTTTTTTTTCTCCCCCCTATATACAGAAATTTTGATTAGGAAAAGAATGAGACTGGAAGAGAGAGACGGAAAGAGAATTCTAGACTAAACAATTCGTGTATGTAGAAGAAAATATATAGATATGTAAAATGTGAAATTCCAAGCATGCATCCATAATGAGATCCAAATATACAGTTGAAGGGACATGCATATAATATGAGGTCCAAATTTAACTGTTGAAAGGTGACAAAGACTGGCCACCATATCATGCAAGAATCCATAGAGCGACTACACTATTTCTGGTTGTCACGTATTGGATGTTAGTACCTATTAATAGAACAGATCTTGTAGCCCTACTCACTTTCAATGGTACATGTATTTATTCATTCTATGTCTTGTCATATGGTCTATCAATTTTTTTAACTATCTATTTCGCTTTTTTTTACCTTTAGAAGGCTACTTCACTTCACTGCACAAATGACCATAAGCCAAATTGGTCTCAAAGCAGCTTGACCACACATGCATATATCATGCTAAAAAATATTATCAATGTGGCCAGCTGCTAGTATATATTGATAATACTCGTTTTTCTTGTGCGATGGACGCATGTGTGCAAAAATGGAAGGTATAAGAAATTAGATCGTTTTTAATTAAATTTATTTTTTAAAATATAATTTTTGATGAATTAAAATTTTCTACTTTACTAATAAAAATTTGATAAATTAAGAGATATTGGATTTTCTCAATAGTTAAGAGGTGAATGCTATAAAGATTTCTCAATCCATTAAAATGCTAATAAATTATATGTTTAAATATGTTCATTATATCTAAAATTATAATATTTATACACAAATGTCATTTTTTTCCTTCCCAGGAATCCACTCATCATTTGCCACCTCTTGACCTACTTGTAAAATAAAAGTAACGATATCAGCACAATTTTTTATTATTAAATAAATTTTGTAAAATTTATATAAATTATATGTTCCAATAATTTATTTTTATTGAGATTCATATAAAATTTACTCAATGATAAAAATATTTTAAATAGGTATATACAAAAACATTACTAATATTTCTCTACAGTAAATAAATGAACAAAAATGAAAACATATGCCTTTATGAAATGTATTTACATCTAGCTGATCAGACATCGAATGTCCTATATATTACAGAACCCTCATCATATATTAAGTATATACATACTCATACAAGGAAACCAGTTAAATGTAGTCATTTTCGGTGACTATTACAAGTAATGCCACGATGAAAGCATAATCCACCCTGCGTTGACTTTGACTCGATTACTTTATTTGCCTTTTGTAAAGTTTCTCCACGTAAAGCCATCATTAACCGGTCCCCATATACTATTAAGATCATTTTTCGGCCCTATACTTCGATGATATATCCAAGAGTTGTTTTGTTTTTATAATTTTATTTTATTTCTTTTCATCAAATCACTTATCTTGCATTTTTCATTCTTATTTTTTTTTTATCACAATCTCTCTCTTAGTTATAGAGAAATTGTAAAAAAAAAAATATGAATAAAATTTATCAGAATTATATATAGCCATAGTCATTTCACTTCATAAGTGTCTAAACAGTATTTGAACCTTTTTCTTTTTTCAAATTAATTAACACCATGCACATATGTGAAATTAAAGCGTAACAAGATTGGGAAACAAAACATTTGAACCTCGTACCTCTGCAATCATAGTTTGGCCTCTATAAACTCTACACGACAGATCACAGTAACTCCCAACAACGTGAAAGTTGCTAACATCTTTGTTTGTATTGTTTGGCAAGAATACATCAAGCCGCGTTTTCATTTGGAAAGGGTGGGATCGTTCAACTCTGAATATGATATCCTTCTTCTCCGAACTTTCACCTCCATGACCTGTGTCCATCGATGATGCAGTGAAAGCACCTTCATAATCAAACTATCACATTTGATCACCTACTTTGATTCCACTCCAACTTTACATGCATAGAATTATATATATTTATTTTATTTAACGTAATTTCATAGAAAACTTCAGTATTTCGTTGTTCTTGATGAAAATTGATTGTCTTTAAACCCATATTTGGACCAATATAATAGATTATATTTTTGTTTTATATTTAAAAATTTATATTAATTTTTACTATAATATTTCTTTTTAAAAAAAATTATAAACATAAATCATCACATTTATATTACTCTATTTGATTTAAAAAGTAAATAAATAAAAAGTAATAAAAAAAATGAAAATATGTTGTTTACTTGATATACATAAATAAATTTACAAACGGTCATGACCTAAAGTGACTTAAGCACATAGAGAGTAGGTGCATATATATAGCAGAGAATTATATATACCTTCTCACGCATGGTGAGGATAGTTGAACCAAAAGCCATCGGCTACAACACTGATAATGGAGAATCCATATGGCATTTCAGAAGCTGAGGCCTCCACTCTATGAACGCCTCAAAGATCTGATTTTAATTATATATAAGCTTTTGTGTGAAATTTCTACTTAGTTTTTCGTAGTATTTATAGTGTGATTTTGCTGCATCCTTACGAAATATTTAAGATAAAATTTTCATTTTTGTGTGTGTGATTTCTAGAGTTTTCAGTTTCTTTATAAAACATTATTGTACCGAATTTTAATTATTATCCTCAAACGATAAACTTGTAACTCGTTTTTCATCTCTTTTACATTAATTTATGTCAATTCAAAAGAAATGAGGCGTATCTGAGATCAGCATTACTATCAAATAAGAACAAAAGACACTTCCAAATTTCATTAAAACAGAAACTTCTGAATTAACTTTGATTAACGCGGTTGCAAGGTCAGACAAGGGACTATATATTATCTTACTAGCATTTGCAATTGTTGTATGGTCGGAAGTCAAAGTAGGGGAATAATCCTAAGTCATAAAAAAAATAACTGTATTTTATTTTGTTTGAGCAAGGGTTACATTAAACATATCATAATTTTAAATTTAAGTTAGTTTAAGTAAACTTTTAGAAAAGTCTTTATAAAAAATTAATATAAAAAAATAAATTTTTGTCATTGAGTTAAAAATAACTTATCTTTTTAAATTTAAAAAAAAATGAGAGATTTTTTTTTTGTTATAAAAACTTTTATCCAAAACTAAGCCTTATTAATTATCATCTTCTAGTATTCCTGGCTACACTTCGCTTTGAAAGGTTGGCTTTTTGAGGCTATGGGACACAATGATACGGAGCACTTAATTACAGCTTTTAAACATTTGAAGCAGCTTATAGAAAGAGCTTATCAAAGTATACGTTTGGTTGAAGTTGTTTATGAGATTTCAACTTAAGAATTTGTTCCAATTGTGTTAAACTCAAACATTAAGCAAAATTGCATAATGTTACAAAACAGTTGTTATTATTGGAATCAAGTTTGAAGTGAATCCTACATGAAATAAGATATGAGTAAGTTAAGGTTTATAAAGAGATGGATCCATGTACTCATTGCCTTAAAGTTTTGGAGTTGTATTCTGGTGTCCTATTCATTGTAAGGCTTCCTACCTAAATACTCTCCCAACCCAACAGTGGTATCTAATCTAAGGTGAGCGACTCATACGAGTAGATGAGCTGCGACCAAGTGAGTTAACAGTGTGAACCCATGGTCAATGTGAAAGTGAACCGTAAAAAAGAAACAGTGACACTTGTGGCACGTGTGGAGAGTGTGAAGCAGCCCAAAAAGTGTCGTGTGGGCTGTGGTGTAGACCATGGATACTCACGATGAAGTTGTGGAGGGAGCTGATATGCATAGATAGGTTCACACTTGAGGAGAAGTGTTGGAATTCAGTGTGAATGGAATATGAGTAAGTTAGGGTTTATAAAGAGATGTACCTATGTACCCATTGTCTTAAGATTTTGGGGTTGCATTGTGGTGTCTTACTTATTGTAAGGCTTCTTACCTAAATACTTCCCCAACCAAACAATTTTTTTTTTTGTTAGAGGTAAGAAGAAAAGAATTATACTAATAGGAGGATTTTATTAATTTATCACACCAAATATATGAGTATAATTCACTATTTATAATAGCGATATTACAACCTTTAAGTTACATTGAAGAATAATTGCTCCGTAAATATCAAGTGGTTACAACAAAGAATGATTGCTCTTAACCAAGGAATTATGGTCTTTAACTCACACTAACACATTCACTCACAACTTTTCAATTTGTAACTCATGTAACACTTTATTTTTAATTATTATTTCTAACATCCTCCCTTAATTAAAAATTCTAAAAAATTATTCCACACTCCAAGTCTTTCTCTCAATCTTCTAAGGTCTTTAAACTTGAGTGGTTTGGTAAAAATATCCACAACTTGATTTTGAGTCTTCACAAAAATCAACTCCACTTCTCTCTTGGCAATGCATTCTCTAATAAAATGATATTTCGTATCTGTATATTTACTTCGCTCATGAAACATCGAATTCTTGGCAAGCTCTTGTGCGAATTTATTATCAATGTGAATTTTAGTACTTTCCTTCTGATTCAAACAAATTTCCTTCAATAATCTTCTAAGCCAAATAGCGTGACAAGTGTAAGAGGTTGCAGTAACATACTTAGTCTCACAAGTAGAAAGTGTGATGTTCGGAGAGTAAGTGTATTCATTAATAAGTAATAAAGGGTTCTTAAATTAAGTTTCTAAAATATCATCTCACAAGGATTGTTTTCTAATTACTAAAAATTTTCTAATTCAATTGTTTGAGCTTCAAATATACGAGATCAATTAAAACAAGAATTTATAAAATCAATTATAAAACTAAGAGTAGGGAATACAATGCACGTCCTGGCTAAACTTATCGGAGAGGAACCTAAGGTATATGGGTTTTCTTATTCAATCTTTTATGTTATTTTTCTGTTTAACTCTAAATCTGATTTCCTTTTGATTATCAATAATTCATACGAGTACTATTAATACCCAATAGTCATGCAATATTAATATTCTTTTCTCTAAATTAATATCTCCAATGATAATGCAAGATATCAATTTAAGAAAGTTTAAAGAGCCTATGAATTTATTAATTTAATAACAATTAGAAGAGAAAGATTAGTTTGGTCAACCTAATCATTTGTCTAGTTTTATTCTATAGATCTATTAATTAATCGAGATATGGTCGTCTGACAATATAATTAATTTAGGATTAAGAGAGAAGCGCAATAGGATAAAATCTAATCACAGAACAGAAATTAAATTTAGATTCAAATATCAAAATCCCATAAATTTATGAATGATAGTTCTCATAGCCTTAGCTATGGACTTAGTTACTCATGCTAAAGAAAAGAATTAAAACAATTATAAACAAAGCCATAGAGAAAAGCAAACTAGAGTGAGATAAGTTCTCAGTCTTTAAGTACGGTCGCTCGAAGCTCCAAGTCTCGTCAAGAATATGCCAAAGATCCCCTCGAAGAAAGATGAGGTGAAAAGTTGTATTAAAGAGCAAAAGCCAAGATGTAAAAAAACTCGTCTTCTTTGCGATGCCTGAGATCTCCCTTTTAATAGGGTTTGGAAACCCTAAAGACTCTTCATAACTGGGCTTCCCGCAAATGAGCACGACCGTGCAAGGCCTTAAGCATGACCGTGCACGGGCTCGAAGCACCCACGTGCTTGTTGAAAGGATTTGGGCGTGTTGACTGCTGCAAAACTCGAATCTGCCATTAATTTAGGCCCAAAACGCACCAAAAGTCTACTTGCGACATCTTTATACCAAACTACATAATTAATATATAAATTAGTGTAAACTCCAAATAAAATAAAGGTCAAATATAAATATATGGACTGTAAAATAGGACCTAATTACAGACTTATTATGTGACAATAAGTTATTTTTAGAATTCCAAAGAAAGCACAATCGCCCATAAACAACACAAATCAAGAAATGTTCTTTCTATCATCAACATCACCCACAAAATCATTATCACATAATCCCATAAGTTTGAAGTAATTACAAAGAGAATAAAATAACTCAATCAATTGTACCTTTCAAATAAAGAAGAATTTTCTTTGCAATTTTTAAATGAGTAGAGGTGGGAGTTTCCATGAAACGACTCACAACTCCAACTATATACAAAATATCAGGCATTATACTTGTTAAGTACCTCAAGCTTCCTACTAAGCTTTTGAAGACCGTGGGGTCTATCTTTTCTCCATCATCAAGCTTCAATAATTTTAATCCACTTTCCATGGGTGTGCTCACAGGATTGCAATCAAACATATTAAATTTTTTCAAAATTTCCTTTGCATACCTTTCTTGTAAGATAAAAATACCATTCTCCATTTGCTTTACCTCTAATCCTAAGTAATAGGACATAAGCCCTATATCTGTCATCTCAAATTCACAAGACATAACTTTCTTGAAATCTTCAAATAAAAATGGATTATTGCCAATAAAGATAAGATCATCCACATAAAGGCAAATAAACAAAACATCACCATTGTCAAAAGTTTTAACATAAAGGGCATACTCATGTTAACAACAGAGAAATCTATTGTCTTGAAAGTATTTATCAATGTGACCGTTCCATGTCCTCGGTGTTTGTTTTAATCCATATAATGCCTTCTTCAGCTTCAAGACCTTTTCTTCTTGTCCCTTGACTATAAATCCCATTGGTTGTTCAACATAAAAATTTTCTTCAAGATAACTATTCAAAAAGGCTGATTTGATATTAAGTTGAAAATTTTCCATTTCATTTGAGCTGCCAAGGAAATAAGATGAATTGTCTTCATGCGAGCAACCAGTGCAAACACTTCATCATAATCAACTCTATGTTGTTGCCTATATCTTTTAGTAACGAGTCTTGCTTTGTATATTTCTACCTCTCCATTGACATTCCTTTTAATCTTGAACACCCGTTTTACTCCAATTGCTTCATGATTCTTGGGAAGACTTGATAGTTCCTAAGTGTCATTTTTTTTCAATGGCTTTGATTTCTTCTTCTATGGCTTTTCTCCACCTTTGGTTCTTCATAGCTTCATCAAAATTCATAGGTTTAGTGTCAACAAATAAACAAAATAAATCATTTATCATTTCAGTTTCATCATATATTTCTTGGAGACTTCTTATTTTTCTTAGCCTTTCACTTGAACTCTCTTCAGAAGATGATGAAATTTCATGAGTTGGTGAAAGAGGTGGAGTAGAAAACTCATTCAGTGATTGGCCTCCTTCTTGATCTCCTTCTTCAAAGTATGGGAAAAAATTATAAGTGTTGTCTTTTTCCTTCTTCCAGTTTCAAGCTTCTTTTTCATAAAATTCAACATCTCGACATCTCGACTCACTATTATTTTGCCAATATAGCTTGTAGCCTTTTGACTTTTCATCATAGCCAATGAACACATACTTCATACTATAATTATCAAGCTTTGATCTTCCTTGGTCTAGTATATGAGCATATGCAATTCTCCTAAAGACTCTAAGATGGTCAACTTTTTGGCTTCACTCCACTCCATGCTTCTTGCAGTGTTTGATCTTTAACAATTCTTGTAGAAGAGCGGTTAGACAAATAAACTGCACAAGTAACAGCTTCGGCCCAAAATTCCTTAGGCATATTTGTAGCTTTTAACATAGATCTTGCCATATTCAAAATAGTTCTATTTTTTCTCTCTGTTATCCCATTTTGTTGGGGAGTTCTAGGAACCGTTAGAAGGCGACGAATCCCATGTTTTTCACAAAATTCATTAAATTCCTTTAATGTGAATTCGTCACCTCTATCGGATCTAGAACTTTGATTACATAACCACTCTCTTTTTCTACAAGTGCTTTAAAATTTTTAAAAGCTACAAATGCCTCAGATTTTTTCTTTAAAAAATAAAACCAAGTCTTCCTACTAAAATCATTAATAAAGGCCAAAAAATATTTATTTTTACCAAATGAGACAAGATTAATTGGGTCACATACATCGGTGTGAACAAGTTGGAGAGGCTCTTTTGCTCTTGATTCAGCTTCTTTAGAAAAACTCCTCCTTGCATGCTTGCCAACGAGATAGCTTCACACAATTGATTAAGATGGTTAATGGAAGGCATCACTCTCACCATCTTCTCATCTCCTAGAGCCTTGAGTGCACCAAAGTTTAAGTGCTCAAATCTCTTATGCCAACACTATGATTCATTTTTTGTGCTAGTCTTCAAACATTTAGCTTTAATGGTCTCAATGTTTAAAATAAACATTCTGTTTCTTGACATAAACACCTTGGCAATCAAGTTAGAATTTTGATCTCTAAGCCAAAAATAGCAATCTTTCATAAGGATTTCATATCCTCTCAACAAGTTGTCCTAAACTTAAAATATTACTTTTTAGTTTAGGAACATAATAAACATTCATGATCATTTTGTGAGCACAATCTTTTAAATAAATTAAAATGGTACATTTTTCTTGGATTTGCACCTTGGAAGAATCTCCAAAGGAAACATTCCCTTTCACCTTCTCATCAAGCTCCATAAACTTTTCCCTGTAACCACACATGTGATTACTTGCTCCATTGTCAAGATACCATAAGCATTTGTCACCCTTCTCTTCATTGTTAAGTGTTAGCAACAATGTTGGCTCTTTATCTTCTTCTTTCTCTCTAGTAAGGTTGGCCTTCTCTTCAACATTTGTTCTACACTCCTAAGAGTAATGACCATATTTATTGCAATTGAAACATTCACATTAGATTTATCATACCTCCTTTCATATGTCCTACCAAAATTGCCTCTGTCTCTTCCTCTTCCACGATCTCTAGTGGGTTGATAAGCATCTCTATTGTCAAAATTATCACAATCTCCTCTTTCTCCTCTTCTTTGGCCACGACCATGTCCCTTTCCACATCCTCGTTGATTTTTTTTCTCCTCTACTTTCTTTCAAAGAGACTTTGGTTTTAATAACTTGCTCCAAAGACTCTTCTTGTCTTCGATTAAATCTCTCTTCATAGGCTTGAAGCGAACCCATCAACTGGTCAACAGACATTGAGTCTAAATCTTTTGACTCTTTAATAGCACAAACCACATAATCAAACTTTGTAGTTAAGAAGCGAAGTATTTTTTCTACTACGCGAACATCTTCCACCTTTTCTCCATATCGCTTCATTTGGTTTACAATAACCATTACTCTATTACCAAAATCCGAAATAGGCTTGGATTCCTTCATACGCAAGGATTCAAACTCTCCTCGTAGAGTTTATAAATGCACCTTTTTGACCTTGTCAACCCTTTCAAGGTTTGTTTTTAAAATCTCTCAATCTTCTTTGGAGGTGGTTGCATTAGACACTACCTCAAACATGGCTTCATCTAAGCCTTGATGAATAAATGCAAGTGCTTGTTGATCTTTTTTCTTTTGCTTTGTCAAAGTATCTTTCTCATTTTGTGACAAAATAGCCTCATCTTGAGGCTTATCATAACCTTTCTCTACAATCTCTCAATCATCTTGAGACTCTAGTAAGGCTTTCATGCGTTGACACCAATTATCATAATTTTTTCAAGTGAGACGTGAAAATTGAAATATATTTAGGCCATTGTTTGCCATCTCTCCACTTTCAAAGTGTTTCTCTCAACTCTCAATATCGAACCGAGCTCTGATACCACTTTGTTAGAGATAAGAAGAAAAGAATTATAATAATAAGAGAATTTTATTAATTTGTTACACCAAATATATGAGTATAATTCACTATTTATAATAGTGATATTACAACTTTTAAGTTACATTGAAGAATAATTGCTCTGTAAATATCAAGTGGTTACAAATAAAGAATTATTACTCTTAACCAAGGAATTATGGTCTTTAACTCACACTAACATACATTCACTCACAACTTTTTAATTTGTAACTCATGCAACACTTTATTTTTAATTATTATTTTTAATAGTTATTTCAAACTATCTTATGATTGATGGTGTTTTTTATAGTATATGTCCTTGTCCATGAAGCAGATCACAGTTAAATGTAATCATTTACGGTGAGTATTACAAGCAACGCAACGATGAAAGCATAATCCACCCCTGCATTTATTTTGATCTTGAAGCTTTCTTTCCATTTGCTGAAGTTGCTCCTCGGGTATACATCAATTAACTGCATACGTGATGTAGTTTAATTTATTTTATTTGTATTGTAAACAACATCTTTTCCTAGAGAAAAAATAAATAAAAAATTACAGAAGCAATTCAACATTGATTATTTTAAAATTATCATAACAACTATAATTTAGAGTGATCTCATACTAACTTTTTTTTGGGTATTATTTAGGGACATTGGACAAATTATCGACTCAACAAGAACTTCTCTCAATTTTATTCTGGTCATAGGAATTTTGTACATGTTTTATGATCTAAGTTTTACATGTATTAGTTTTGTTTTTGCTTTGTAACCTGATTTTTACCATGCTTGATCATATAAATTTTATTGAATTCAACTTAATGAAATGGTATCCATCGACCATTATATGTGAAATGTCAATTTTAGCAGAATACTAAAACCACGTACCTCTGCAATCAAGGTGTAGCCTTTGTAAACTTTGCAGGACTGATCAATGTAGCTCCCTATAAGTTGAAAGGTGTTGATATTTTGAATGATATTATTGGTAGCCATGAAGACATCAAGCCGTGGAATCATGTCAAGAGGGTGGGATCTTTGAACCCCAAAAATGAGATCCTTCTCCTCTGAGCTTCTGCCTCTATGAACCATCCACCGATGGCGCAGTGTTAGCAGCTTAAACTTCAATGTGCCAACACACGGTCAATATGAGTATATTTTCACTTGAAGCCATTAATTGATAATATTAATTTTTTACTTTGTTAAAAATGATATTTATTATTTCAATAAGTTAATTTTTAATCTATATACACCATAGAATGATAGATGCATTTTTAAAACTGATTTTAAGCACTTATAAATAGTATCTTTTTATTAATTATTTGTATTTAATTTTTAGGACTGACAAGATTTTCTTTGAAAGGGCTCCATATGGCATGTGATCTAGTGAATTTGATATGCAAAACGCGCAGAGTCACTGCAAGAATTTTGTAACTACGGGATAGAAAAGTAATTAATAACAATATGCAAGTAGAGTCCTAATTACACATTACTAGGCATATATATATATATATATATATATATATATATGAAGAAATGGCAGGAACATAGAAAGTTAAGAGAACATTGTACTTCTTCACGCATTGTGAGGATAGGGGAACCAGCAGCGTCACGCATGACCCTTTTCTTGTGCATGTTTAGGCTTGAGCCATCAACTCGAAGCAAGAGAGTACCGTTAGCATCAAGCACTTTGTATCGTTGGTTTAAGAAAAATCCATGGTATGTTTTCTCGACAGTTATTTGTGTTGGGTTAGGGACACAGAAACTGTCCTCTACAACATTGATGATGGGGAACCCACGTTCCACTTCCAATGTCAATTCAGGAGCGCTGGGCACTTGCATTGAAAATGCCTCAAGCAACTTCAGGAATCAGAGTTTTTAGAAATAAGCTTTGCTTGTAATGCAGAAAACTCTCATATTAAAGAAATTATAAACATACAAAATAATAAGATTTAACGTAGTCTTATACCCACCTTATGTTAATTTATTAGGAAGCCTTGCCTAATCTTTGATCATTTAATTAAGTAGTTCAACATGACTTTTCTTATTTCTTGGTCATCTCTAAGACCCGAAAGGTAGATAAAGACTCTGAACGCGTTAGTATTTTGACGCTTCAATTTTGTAATATGTTGTTCACTGTTTTATGTAGCAGATTTGCTCAATTAAAGTGATAAGACTTGGTAAACGAGAAAGAAATAGTGTTTTTAAAATTGAAATAAAATGGTAAACTTCACCTATTTTGTTTATATTAAAAGGGTAGGCGCAGTTTAAAATTTTTCACTTGGCATACTTTTCAATTTTAGAAAAGCTGAATTCATATTCAGTGTACTGACCTTATGACTTTTGTTATTTTCCTGACTTATTTAAGGGTACAAGTTCAAAAAACGCAAGTAATAAAACTGGGAGGAAGCCATTATTGCTTAGAGAAATCCAAAACCTGACTCACAAACTCACTAGACAAAAATAAGATTCACATAAATTGGGGTTAGGATTGAGAAGAGGCAAAGACAAGGATATATCACTTTTACACGAGAGGGTGAGATGCGAGAGCTCGCATTATGCTTTTGTTATATTCAAAATTGGGTCAGTGACTTAAATGGTTACTATGGCCCTTTCTCAGTCCTATGGACAAAACAACAATGGATTTTTGGGCTACAAAGACCAATGTCCCAAAAACCAACTCCCACCTGTTAGGCTTTTTTTACCAATGAAACAAGGAATTTTGAAAACATAGAGTTATTTTATATTTATTATTTTTATATTGTATTTAACAATTTTGTATATATAACTATATATTTTCTTTATTATTATTATTAGTATTAACTATAGTTTTAGTAGTTGGTGTTTTATACTATATAGATTAAATTAATGATATTTTCATCGATTCAATCACTAACTCAATTTTAAGACATCATTATTTGTGTCATTTCTAGTGTTCATATTAATTAAGGGTTTTCGGAAACTAATTTGTTTATCATGAGCTGAATTGAGTAATGGTAACAGTTCTAAGGACCTACTTGATGTATTTCTGTATAATCTTTCTCTTTAACAATTTAAGTTGTTAACCTAGGCTATTAAGTTAAAGTTTCTTTTTGTTCTTCCAGAAATATTAAGAATGAGCAAATAATAGAAATCCTGCTGACAAAATTGACCACTAATAACCATTATAATTGAATTCAAAAGGGATTAGTTGTCAAATGTCTGATCGAAAAACAGAAAATACTCCACCCTCGTGCATGTTTTTCCAAAAAGAGTTGCATCACCGCATCAACCTATCGTGAAAATCATTTAATATTAAGAAAATAAGTGCGATAAAAAGTTATTCCTTTTACTTTAGAGGTGTATTTAAAAGAATACATAAAAATATAATTATATATAACTTTACCAAAGATAATTTATTAGAACTTGATTGGTTTATCGTTCCTGTATTCGAAATCGATTTGAGAAACAAAAATTAACAATTGCAGTTAATAGAGCACGATTTACTAAATACGTTTAACGACAGTGATTAGTTTTTAATTATGTAGAAATCGATCCTAACAATTACACAAACAAAAATGTTAACATGATGAAACGATAAAAATGGCTTAAATAAAGTGACAGATAGGCATATTAATTTGAGTTTACACACATCGAAATAACCACGTTTCAACGGCAACTATTTGTATTGGTCGGAATAAAAACACCATTTTTGTAGGATGAACTTTGTAATTCGTGTATAATAAGTCTAAGCCACAGATTATACACGGAAATTGTTTTCAGACCTTTTAAAGTATGTATTCTTTTCTTTTATATAACAACTACTCACTTATATATAATTACTTTATTCCTAACTTAAAATTAAAAAAATTAACTATAAAAAATAATTCCAAACATTGACTAAGGTTGAGTAAATTTTTAACGAATTCCTTATAAGAAAAAAATAATATAAAAATTATTAAAATTTATCACAAAAGATAGAAACAATTCATGTTTCTCTATTTAAAAAAAATTCTTTCATTTAAATTATCTAAAATTTAAGGACATAAATTATTTTAAATTTATACAAAAATTTATATATTTCTTTATACTCATAGTATATCCAATGTTTTTGTGGCACCTGCTAGATATTATGTGTTCCATTCAAAATGGTGGAATGTACAACTATTATACTTTAGGTACTGAACCTCGTGTAGCCTCACACTCACCTGACACTATCAAGACTCGGGGTTTTCAAATTTGGAGTGACGTCGTTTTCAATTTTATTTTTATTTTTTCTTTTAACCCTTTTCTTCAATTGTTGTGACTTCAACCTTACTACATCAATCTCTCCCATTCCAATACTATCCGTAAATTAATCTATATGATTTTACTATATGATTTTAATATAAAAAGTGGATTATTTGACTTTTTTTTTATTTTATAGACGAGGAATTAGGAAAAGTTATTTAAATATAGTATAAAATTAGAAAAAAATATAGCAATATGGTGTATTTTGCATTTTTACCAAAATATAGCCTTACAAAAAAATGTCATTGGCATTTTATGTAGAAACAACACCATGGCAGGGAGCTCATATGGGAGATTTAGGTGGCACAGGCTTTTTTGAAAATGCTAATGGCAATTTTGACCCTAATCAAAGCATCTTTGTAATAGTTGTTATGTTGTACTTTTACTGTGAAATTTTGAAACTTTATAAACTCACTAATAATAAGATTTGACTATTGTTCATGCATGTCATGTAGTAGGGAACTAGACTTAGGAAGATGTCTGAAACTCTGTAAACTTGTCAATAACAAATTTTGACCTTTGTTCATGCACGTTATAGAGGAACTGTAACTAGAAAATGACATAATTAAAATTTCTACATACCTAAATTTGTATATTCTGAAAACTTAAAAGTATTCATAGTATTAAGATCTAATTCATGCATGAAGGTTGACTCCCCAAAAGGATGTTGCTCACCCACACATGGGACTCCTCTTCATCAACACCATCATCAAAATCATCATTATTTTCCTTATCACTTTGATATTCTCCTTTAAAGTTGTAATAATCACTTTTGTTGTTGTATTCCTATTTTATCTCGACTCTAGTATAGTGTTTACATATTCTTCTTAAATCTCATTATATTTTGAAAATAATGTACAACTCAATCGTATTACTTGAAAAATGACGTTGTTGATATATCTGAAACATTTGTTGAACATCATCATCATTGATTATTTGAATTGTATATGATACTGCATAAAATTACCAAATATCGACATTGTATGCATAACACTTAACACTTTTTATTGTTTTTGAAAATGAAACTTCATGAACGTAATAATAAAATTAATACTTTAAATTTTTAAATGATACATGATATGAAATATACACACATGTTGGCCTCTCACATGCAAATGCCACACCTTAGATTTGTATTTGCTATAATCTCACTATTAAAATAAATTACAATTGATACACTCATTTTTTTTTCCTTTTAATAAACACAAGATTCAAAGATACTCTCTAAAGAGTGTTTCAAATAGTTTTAAGGGTGAGTTGCTATGAATTGAGATTGTAGTATTTATAGTCTCACCAATTAAAAATCACCAATAACGATTTATTATATTTTTTAAAAAGTTTTCATTAATTAAAGATCATCATTAACAAATTTTAAAATGTTAAAAGCTTTTTTGACATTCAAAGATTTTTAATAGTGATTTTTCTTATACTTTTTTCTTTCTTAAACGAGTTAATAGCGAATTTTCTTTTTAAAATTTTATTTTTCTATGCGCTATAAAATTATCATTGGCATTTTTTTTAATGTAACTAACTCACTGACATGTAAAATTGCCATTGATGTTTTTTTAGAAAAATCATATTTACGTAATTTTATAAAAAAAAATGCTATATTTTAGTAATTTTATTAAAAAAAATCATAATAAAAAAATGACCTAAAGAATTAATTTGTGTGTGTTTTAATATAAAATATTTTTAATAAAAATATATGATTTATATTAATTTATGTGTATATATATACAAAAAGATTTTAATAATTTAAAATTAATTTTACTTTACTTTAAAATAAAGAAACACATAGTTTGGATCATGTTGAAGTTGAATACAAACAGAGTAAATTAACTTCGTCACTGTTGCACTTTTTGCCTCTCTCCAACGAATATCGAGAGATGAACAATGTTCAATTAAGTACAATAGTGAATTTATCGTTCAAGACTCATTTACCAAGCATGAAAGCGTATTCTACACCTACACAGCTAGACAAGACATTTACAATTTGATGAAGTGTCATTTGTTAAGAGTGTAAAAAAAAATGGTTGTGATAATTATCTGAGTGGCAATTGATAATCAGCTTAGTATTATTTAAATAAGCTCTTCAATTCGAATCTTTGTGTATGATAAAGTGAATTATAATCTGACTTGAAAATTTATTTATGTTGGGTATGCGACTAGTGTGTATTAACACTCATAGCTATGTTTTGGAGTACAACACTCAAAATATAACTTATTTATCCAGATGATTACAATCTATTGTTTAGGCGCACTTTATTTAAGAATATAAATTTTAAATTAAGGTTATTTAATTTTTTATGGTTTAATTAGTTTTTATTTATTTATCAGACCTCTTCTTTAAATAGTTTTAATTAAATTTAGTACGTAAATTATTCAGGAGATGTCAATTATTACACTTATATGTCAATTTCATTTTCTTTTAAATGACTTTTGTCAAAATTATTTATTTATATAATTATGTCAATAATAAGAGTATTTTATAAAATATTTTTAAAAAAATTAAAATGACAAGTGACATATACTGTGATAATAGACACTTTTTAAAGTTTAACACATTTTACGTG